TAAAAACACTATCCAGATTATATACTGTGTGATGTTTTCTTAAAAGCCATCTAGATCTTAGAAAATCAATTTCTTATGTATCACACATAAAGTGTACAGGCTGTTTGAACCTTGCATCAACTTCTTGGGTATCCCTGTAGCTTCTATACACCAGAGATTTATAAACTGAGAAGATTGGATATGGAATCCATTTCTTATTACCCATATTATAGTTTTGTTAGGGCAATTGAACAGTTGCTAAGCAGTCTGGTTTTGGCTGGGTGAATTCTTTGGATGCTGAGAGGGAAGGTTGTTCTTTTACCTTTTTAGGGGGAACCGTACATAACATTTAAGTGTACACTAAAAATCTATTACAATTACCATTGACAAGTCACCGTCTATATTAAATCAGTGTCCCTTTTCCTGACTAGGGACTTCCTAGGTAACACTTTGGTGATTACCTTTGAACTTCCTAAACCACATCATCCCTATACTCATTCTAGGTCCCCTTAATACTTTAGATGCTCCCATATATGTGAGCCTCGCCTTGGTTCTGCAACTCTGCCCCAGTACTGTAGCAATGTTACCACTCAGCTTGCTGCATCTTGTCCTGTCCTGAGATTTGTTTTCCATAACTTTCCTAGTGGCACTTAGCATCATCATGTCTTTTTCTTGCCAAGAACCTTCAGTGGCTGTCCATTGCCTGCGGGGTGAATTCTGAGCATCTTAAAATGATTGACGAGGTCCCTGTCTGCTTCTTCAGCTCATTGCTCCCACTCCCCATTTTACATGTTATTTATAGTCTTAGAATCCCAACTCTGAACTTTCTCCACAACTGTAGAAAGAACTACATGTCCTTGCTAGTGTTTACTTTGCCTAGTAAGCTCCTCACACTCTTCTGGTTCAATTCTCACCCTCCAACGTTTGTATATTTATTCCTCTAAGTTCTAACCCACCCTCAGAATATGCCTGAGGCCTCTTGACTGTCCTCACACGGTGAATGTATGACTGAATGACTGTAAGCACAAGGTCCTCTGTGAGAGAACATAATTTGAATCAGTCAGCAGATGATTAATAACAGTTCAGCTCATTGTGCCCTTAATGCCAACAAGTCAAGTTTGAATGTTTCAGGCTACATTTTATTCCATGTTGTATTAGACCCATTGTTCCCTCAGCTGTATAAACAAATCATCTTCAAAAGTTCCTCTGTACCTACAATTAAAATGTGATGATCTTTTCATATTTGGAATGTACTCACCATCGATATAGTTGTTCACCTGACTTCTGAATTTTCTTTGCTAATTCCTCACTTTATTACTTCACCTAATTTTATCTCAACATTGTTTCACTGAGCTCTACTCTTCTCCCACACTCTAACGTCCTTCAAAGTATCATTACTAGTCAGAAAGATCCTGCCTGTAGTGGAAAAAAAGTATGGAAGGCTTCTGCAGGATTCAGTTGCCCTGTGTTACACATGGCTGATAGGCTGTCCGCCTTTGTGGAAAGCAGAACATATTTCAGACTTTGTGGGCCTTCTGGTTCCTGTCACAATGACTCACCTCTGCAGTTATAGCAGGAAATCAGCCACAGACAATCAACCAACAAATTAGTGTGGCTGTATTCCAATAAAACTTTATTTATGAAGAACAGATGGTCTAGGCCCACAGTTTGCCAATCCCCTGGGTCACCTGAAGGCTTATCTCTATGAAGAAAGATTGAGTCAGGTTTTGTTTGGACACAGAAACAATTTCCAAATAGCTTGCTCCCAGAGAATAACCTTTCTAATTATACATAATCTTGAGTAAATACTCTGAAGGATACTTGTACTATACCTTATTGTGCAGTTTTATCAGAAACAGAAGCTGAGGGAATAAGATTATGTAAACATTCATTTGCTTTAATAACCACTCTCACAGCTCAGCATATCAGGAGTTGCATCCCAAGTGAACCAGAAATTTCTGTATGCTGTCCTGGCACCCCGTAATGAGAGCTGTAAACGTCTTTACCAGCTCTATAATTTTTAGGAAACATCCAACAGCGATGACTCCAAGGAGACAAAATCAGTGTGCTCGGTGATATTGAGAACAGAAATATTTATTAAACTAAAATTCTAGAGTAAGCCGGTTGAGAAATGGAACAATAGCATGCAAGGATTCTGCAGACATTTTTTATGCCGTGATTGTGTGGAGTGTATTGATCCTTGGAAATGTACAGGTGAAAAATGACAAGGGAGAAAAGTCAAATGGAAGGAGAATGTTTACCTGATCTCAAACATGTAAAACTTAATACACATGAATTTATCATTCAACATTTAGTATTTATTGAATAAGAATCTACTATGAGTACTATGAGCAAATCTCTGTTCTAAACAGTGCAAAGACAGCAATGAATAAAACACCAAAATTCCTGCCCTCATGGAGCCAAGATTCTTATGGGAGAGAGACATATTGAGTATCAAAGGGATATTAGTGATTGATATATTTGGAAATTTAATATCATGAGATTTCTGTCCTATAAAACTGCTTATATATACATATTTTTTAAAAGCCTTTTTCCCCTACTTTGGTATGTTTTGTATTTTTAGGAATAAAAATACACATAATCATTTTATTCAATCAGCATTTGCTGAGTTCTTACCATGTGCCAGGCCCTCTTCCAGGCACATGAAATATAGTGTGAACAAAACATACAGACTTGCCTATTCTTAGGGGGCTATCGTCTAGAGGGAGAGACAGAATGTAAGACAATATTTTAAAAACATATATTCTTGCCCTGGACTGTGTAGCTCAGTTGGTTGGGTGTCACAAGTTCAATTCCTGGTTCGGGGCACACACCTGAGTTGCAGGCTCATCTCCAGTAGGGGGCGTGCAGGAGGCAGCCAATCAATAGTTCTCTTTCATAGATGTTTCTCTCTCCCTTCCCTTCTCTCTCTAAAATCAATTTTTAAAAAGTTAAATAAATAATATATAAGAATATGTAATTATATATATATTATAAAAATATAATATAAATACAGTATGTATAAGGTTAGATAGTGACTAAGGTTCAAAAGCAAGGAGGAAAACAGGATGTGAATGTTTGATAAGGCAAATTTCTAGATTGAGTGGTCAAGAAGGACTCCTTGAGAAGATGACTTTTTTTAAATTACATTTTTATCCATTTATTTTTGTTACAGATATTTCTCCTTTTTCCCTCCATTGACTCCCTTCTCCCTATCCCCTTCCCCCCTTCCCCAGCTTTGTTATCTATGTCCATTGGTTATGCATACATGCATGTAAGTTCTGTGGTTTATCCCTCCCCCCACCCTTCTGAGGCATGTCTATACTCTACTTCTATGTCTCTGGGTCTATTTTGTTCATCAATTTTTTCAGTTCATTATATTCCAGAAATAAGTGAGATCATGTGATATTTGTCTTTCTCTGCTTGGCTTGTTTCACTTAAAATGATACTTTCCAGGTCCCTCCATGTAGTCTCAAAGGATAAGAGATCTTTCTTTCTTATAGCTGCATAGTACTCCATTGTGTATATGTACCACAGCTTTTTTATCCACTCATCTATGATGGACAGTTGGACTGTTTCCAGATTTTAGCTATTGTAAATAGTGCTGCTACGAACATGGGGGTACATATATTCTTTCTGATTGGTGTTTCAGGCTTCTTACAGTATATTCCTAGAAGTGGGATCACTGGGTCAAATGGTAGTTCAATTTTTAATTTTTTGAGGTAACACCATAGTGTTTTCCATAGTGGCTGCACCAGTCTGCATTCCCACCAGCAGTGTACTAGAGTCCCCTTTTCTCCACACCCTCACCAGCCCTTGTTATTTGATGATTTGTTGATGGCAGCCAAGAAGATGACTTTTAGGCAATTTTTTTTTTTTTAATTTTCACCCGAGGATATTTTCCCATTTATCTTCAGATAGAGTGGGAGGGGGAGACAGAGAGAGAGAGAGAGAGAAACATCAATGTGAGAGAGACACATCAATTGGTTGCCTCCCTCACAACCCCGACCAGAGCTAGGGACCAAACCGCGACCCAGTTATATGCCCTTGACTAGAATTGAATTGCGACTCTTTGGTTCATGGGCCCACACTCTAACTGCTGAGCCAAACCAGCCAGGGCTCAGTAAATATGTTTTAAAGTGAGCATGGTAATGGGGCAATGGTGTGGGGGGAGAGGGTCAGCTGTGCAGAGGGAGCAGCAGGCATGCCCCCCAGGGGACAATGTGCCTGCGTTGTTCCAGGATCATCAAGGCAGCCAGTGGCCGGAGTGCAGTGAGTGAAAAAGAGAGAAGCAGGAAATGAGATCAAAGCTGTAACAGCAGAGCAGATCACATCCGGCCTTTGAAATCATTGGAAGGATATTGGCATTTATGCTAATAATGAAAAGCTTTGAACAAAAGAGGTATGATCAATTGTGCATTGAAATAACTCCTGCTGTTAGGAATCAACAGCAGGTACAGGGAGGCTTTTAGGAGACTGTTGCAATCATCCAGGTGAGAGATGACAGCCTGGACCAGCGGAGTAGGTAACGTAATCATCGTAAGCTATGGCAGCACAGAGCAAAGGATGGAGGTGTGGCAGGCAGGAAACAGTGTCCCCCTGTCACAGCCCACCTGAGACTCAGGAGCTGTGACCCTCCCTGCACCGTCGCTCTGTCCCCAGTGGGAAGCACACTGTCAGGCTTCACTAGGTGCTTCACTTAGGTTAGTTAAATGTTGCAAAACAAAAAAGAAATGTAAAACCAAATCTCTAGGTCATGACTGCCTTCTGCTATAGAACACTGTCCTTGCCACTTTGTCCTGAGTCATTCCCTGGCTTTGGTTATTTATTTACCAATTAGCACCTTTAGCATTTAGTTGTGCCCTAAGAAGCCTTCAGTTTTCCCTGACCTACGTTAAGATAAAATGACAGAATAGTCAAGATTCCGTCAAACCATTTCTTTCCACCTCACACCCTTATGACCCTCCTTTCACTGTTAAAGAGCCTAAACCTGATTGTAACTGGATGTAATTGTTTTTCAGGGAACAACTTAATTCTTTATTGAAGACCTATAACATTTTTTATGCGAATCAGGAAAATCTGCATATTTCATACGGACAGGTAAGTCCATCAAAGAAATGAAATATAGTTGATTCACAGAAAAAAATTCCATAAAGGTACACAGGAATAGGATGAGTTGGAGTTCATAAGCCAGCAGCACAAATGGTCTGTGAGAAACAGGTTAAAGTTGATCATAATTTTTTTTAAGTATATCACATAAACTTCAGTCCTGGGACATCAGTAACTTACTAAACATTTTGAGGGGCTAGGACAGCATTTAAAAATAACTTTAATGACACATCTGCTTTCTACTTTAAAATACGTGGATATCTTTTGAATAGCAACTCTGCTAGAAATTTATCCTAATACTTTCTTACAAATGCACCAGGATGTTTACAGAAGGATATCACAGTGATATCATTTGTAATGGAAAAAATCTGAAGGTATCTTAAGTCTCTACCAATGGAGAATTGCTCAAATAAATCATAACTATATAACATATCTGTAACAGTTTGATTTGGTTGTTAAAATAATGAACATTAAAATGAATGTGTACCATTTCATAATAATACATTTTAAATCATTAAAGAAACAAATCAGGAAAGTCCAGAAACTAGAAAGTATTTTAGGGGTGCAACTGACAAGCTACTGTATGCACTGGCCTTAAATCTTTTCTCTTTCTTCCTTTCTTTACTTATTTGAACGCCTCATTCCCCACAGCTCTCTCCACTCAGTCTTGTATTCTAATGCTACTCATTTCCCATTTTTATAATATCTTTCTGGTTCCAAGGAACATTATAATTTTCTAATATACTATTTTAAATCTTCAAATATGATGATAGAGCACTGACTTTAGGCACCATGATTTGGCTTAAATCTGCAGCTGGGACAGAAGAATATTTACAAACCACTCTGACGTTTACTAGTGAGCTTAAACAATTTACCTCGATTGGACATTTCAATTACCTTCCCAAATGTAATAATATACAAAATAACAAGTAACCCCTTTAAAAACAAATGGGCCACATTTTGAATAATTTTAATATTGGCCTATATCTTAGATCTCTAGTATCTATAATTATAAAAATATAAAATTTAGGAAAAGGTAAAAATTTTAATAAAATTATTATTTATACTTTAATTCAATAGTTTTATGATGCTAAGAAGTTTGTTTTCTTTAGGAACATGTTTGAACTTTGACGTTATGACCATACAAGTTGAGGCAGGCCCTTCCCAAACCTGTGAATCAGTACTCGATTTACAATACTCAACTTACAATTTAATTTTTAATAAAGTCTCATGTCTTATATCATTTTAAAAAATTATGTGAAGTAAAGCTAACAGTGAGCATATCAGATTTCTTAATTTTTTTCATCTTTATTCACTGGTCAACAAAGTTAGAATCCAGAGTTTTCCAGATCTTCTGACTGACTTACAACGAGGATAACATGGAGGATAACATGTAGCTTTCTCAATCTCTGATTAATTGATTAAACAAATATGTGTTGTTTACCAGCTGCCAGACACTGTTCTGTAAGCTGGGGATATAGCAATGAAAAAACTAGATAGAATGTGCTTCCTTTATGCTGCGTGCACTCTAGTGGACAGACAAGAGAAAGTAAGATGTACAGTATGTCGGACGGTGATAATGACTGTGGGGAAGCAGGCTCTGGGATCTAAGTGGGGTGGGGAGGAGGAGCATTGGACCAAAGACTCTGAAAATGTGAGGGAGCAGACTTTGCAGAAGTCTGTGGGACACACATTTCAGTGGGAAGAACAGTCTGGAGAAAGGTTCTGAGCCTGGCCCGTGTAGCGGAGGTGGAGCAGGAAGCCAGTGCACCGGAACCTGGTCAGAGTGGGTCAGTGGACTGCGATGCTAGAGAGACAACTGAGAAGAAGAAGGCACAGAGTGTGGAGGGTCTTGTCAATCTCTGTGAAGACTTTTAGCTCCTACTTGGAACGAGAGGGGAAGCCACTGGGTGAAACAGTGACATTGTCTAAAAGGATTCATTTGAAAAGGATCTTTCAGGCTACTGGGACTATAGGGACTAGCAAGAGAAAAATGACTCAGACTAGAAAGAAACTTGAAATAATTTAGATCATCAATGACAGTGGCATGGACCAGAATCATGGTAGTGGATGTGGTGAGTGCGGCCACATTAGGGATATATTTTTAAGGTAGTTAATAGGATTTCATTGAATGCTGAGGATGAAAGAAAGATAAATGGTGGTTGTAAAATTCTTGGCCTGAGCAACTAGGAGGATGGGGGTGCTATTTACCAAGATGGGAAAGACTGGGAAAGGAAAATATTCATGGAGTTAATTAGGGAGAGATGAAGTTTGATGTCAGGTAGGCAGTATGGCAGCTGGAGTTCAGGGAGGAGGTTTGGTAGAGATAAAAAGTTTAGGGATCACCAAGGTCCCTAAAATCACCAAAGGTATTTGTGTAGATGTAGAAAAGAAGAGTCCCAAGAATTGGGGCAAGGAAGTTCTATACATGTAAATAAGCCTTCGGGGATAATTATTTAGTTAATCTGCAAAGAGATACTTTCTGACATTAGAAAATATCTGGATATTCCTTACATGATAGTAGGAATATTTCTTCTTAAAAGCAAGACTTATATAACCTCATTAGAGCAGTTACTCTTGGAATGTTTAATGTAAGGGATTATCTGAATTATAATTAGGCAAAGAAATGACGCTATACATCAACTATTGAAATGTAGTATCTGCATCAGGTATTGCCATTTGAGAGTACAAATTATGTTTGGTTGTTGTAAACAACGGATTGATAACCTGATCTCTCAGTAATCTGAAATATGAACTCAAAAGTGGGAAAAAGAGAAGAACTTTGTTTCAGCAGTGGCTCCAGAGCAGGTTTATCAGCCAAGAAATAATAAGTAATAATATTCATTGAGCATGTGTTAAATGTTACTATAATTTAGGGACTACTATGATGTTCATTCTTCCAAAGAAGCAACCCAAGTTTGAAGGTTTCAGCAACTTGTCCAAGGTCACACAGCCAGGAAAGGGTGGAGCTCGGGTTTGAACACAGGGCTCTCTGATTCCAGAGTGGAGTTTGCATTACACTCTCAAATAAGAATTGAGTCATTTATGTTCTGTAATAATTGATTTTTTGTAATAAGAGTAGTTATTGCATGGTTAGAATATGACTCTTCTTAGTTTCTGTCTTTTCAAAGTTGCCTATAATGCTAACACATTATTCTAATAACACAAAGATTTATGTATATACAAGAGATTAGAAAATAAGTTCTATGGGAATGTGCTTTGGTATTAATATTTACATCCTCTAAACAAGTAAATATTCAATAGAAGTTTGCTAATTTTTCTTTGTTTGCCTGGAATTTCCTTCTTTTGTTATATTTCCAACTTAAAAATATTATTTCAAATGCTATTAATTATTTTTTTTCAAAACATAATTTATGTTTTATATTTTACACTGTTTTCACATACATTATTTTATTCTTTCTGCATAATAACTTTATAAGTTAAAATTTCCCTGTTCAGAAATGAGGAAAAAGCCACTAAATCTCTCAACAGTTGTTCTTCTGATTTCTAGTTTAGTACAGTTTTTAATTTTACTTGAATTTTAAGTTAAAGAGAATTACAGAATTAAACTTCCACTTAATTGAAGAATCATAGAGTTCAGAAAGTGTTTTAACATATTGTGCCCTCTGATGAGCATGTCATTACCACTATGACTTACTTTGCTGGTTATAGCCGTTTACAAAAATAAAGCAGTGTTTCAAAAATAGAATTATTTTACAAATAAATTGAGAAGAAAAATAATTGCTCTGGCCGGTTTGGCTCAGCAGTTAGAGCATTGGCCTATGGCCCAATGAGTCACGGGTTCGATTCCAGTGCGATTCCCCCAGCCCTGGTTGGGGTTGTGTGGGAGGCAGCCAGTCGGTGTGTCCCTTTCTCTCTCTCTCTCTCTCTCTCTCTCTCTCTCTCTCCTCCCTCCCTCCCTCCCTCCCACTCTATCTGAACAAAAATGGAAAAATGTCCTCTGGGAGGATAAAAGAAAAGAAAAGACAAACAATCCCACTTGGGAATTTGTTTTGATTTATTAAGATGTCTTACATAGTTACTTTCTACATCCTCAGTTAAAACATTTACCTTTTATAAATAATACAGAAACAAAGTTTGTGATGATTGGTCTCTTCCCTAGACTAAAGATGGTAAACTAATTGTTGAAGGAATGTTGGACATTTTCTGGGGAGTGAAACGGCCTATACAGCTGAAAATACAAGATGAGAAGCAAATCCCTTCTTTTACTGTGAAGTCACCAGATGTCTTTTGCAAAATGTAAGCTATCATTCAGTTTTTAATTCTTTAGATAATTTTCATATTTACCTTTATTGTATGCACTCTTAAAGATGGGAGCCCTCTAAGTGCTTGTATACAATCTTATTTAATCCCTCAGCAACTCTATGATAGGTGTTCAGACACCAGAACTCAGAGAGGTTAGGTAATTATGCAAGATCTCCAATCGCCACGTAGCAGAACTAGACAGAAGCTCCAGGCTATGGGCTCCAGCTCAAGAGCCCATCTCTTGACCTCTCCTCTGCATTGCTTCTCTCCTGGAAGACTGCATTTCTTCACTGGAAAAGCCAAACTATAAAGGCAAGATTTCATTAGCTCTGGCCTGGTTACTCACACATACACAAAGAAGAGGATAAAAATTAAGTTTCTCTTGAAACAAAGGGCTCTTTCTGCTTTGTGGAAAGGAGACTTAATTATGCTCCACTTGGTTGTCCTGATTCTGCTCAACAGACACTGCAAAGTTTATTTGAAGCTTGGTAAACGCACAAAACAGTTCTCTGGGTGGGGTTATGCACCTGTGCCTTGAATAAATAAGTTTGGCTGATTTTTTATTACCTTTTATAATTTTCAGAAAAACTAATAAATATTCTCAGAAGGAATCATATGTGTATATATATTTTTATCCTCACCCAAGGACATTTTTGCATTTATCTTCAGGTAGAGCAGGAAGGAGAGAGGGAGGAAGAGAGAGAAGCACTTAGGTGAGAGAGACACATGAGTGCTTGCACCCACATGACCCCAACCAGGCCAGGGACAAACCACAACCAAGGTACGTGCCCTTAGCGGGAACAAACCCAGGACTCTGGTCCACAGGCTCACGCTCTAACTGCTGAGCCAAACCAGCCAGGGCTGTATATATTTTTTTATGTTTTCTTCCCCCCTTTCACCCTTCCTAAGTTCCTTTTTTAATTTTTTAAAAAAATATACTTTTATTGATGTTTTTAGAGAGAAATGAAAGGAGAGGGAGAAAGAGATAGAAACATCTATGTGAGAGAGAACTTTAGATCATCAGCTGCCTTCTGCATGCCCCCTACTAGGGTATGAGCCTGAAACCTGGGCATGCGCCCTGACCTGAAATCAAACCAGTGACCTCTTGGTGCATGGGTCAACGCTAACCACTTAGTCACACTGGCTAGGCTGCCGGGCCCTTTTTTAAATTTTAATTATTTAATTAAAGCATAGTTGATATACAATATTCTACTAGTTTCAAATGTATGATAGTGGTTTGACATTTATGTATCTTACTATGTAAACACCACAGTAAGTCTAGTAACCATCTACCACTGTGCAAACTTATAACACTATTATTGACTATATTCTTCTTTACCTTCTCCACCCATTCCTCGAACTCCCTCCCTTCTGACAGCCATTTGTTTGTTCTTTGTTTCTGAGTCAGTGTTTGTTTTCTTTGTTCATTTCTTTTGATTTGTAAAAAATTCCACATACAAGTGAATCATGCAACATTTGTCTTTACCTGTCTGATTTATTTCACTTAGCATAATACCCTTTACATTCATCCATGTGGTCTCAAATGGCAAGATTTCATTCCTTTTTTATAGCTGAGTAATGTTTGTATGTGTGTGTGTGTGTGTGTGTGTGCATGTCTCCTTTATTCAGTTCTCTATGGATGGATACCTAGTTGCTTCCATATCTTGGCTAATGTAAATAATGCTGCAACAGCCCTGGCTGGTTTGCCTCCGCGATTAGAGCATCGGCCTGCGGTCCAGAGAGACCCAGGTTCAGTTCCAGCTAAGGGTACGTACCTCAGTTGCAGTTTGTCCCCAGCCCTAGCTGTGGTGGTGTGGGTGGCGACCACTCAATGTGTTTCTCTCTCTCTTCCTCTCTCCCTCCCTCCTGCTCCGTCTGAAGATAAATTCAAAAATGTCCTCGGGAGAGGATTAAATAAATAAATAAACAAACAAACAAACAATGCTGCAATGAACATAGAGGTGCATATATCTTTTCAAATTAATGTTTTTGTTTTCTTCTAGTGAATACCTGGAAGTGGAATTTCTAGGTTGTATGGTAACCATAAACTGTTAGAAGAAAACATAGGTGGTAAACTGATGTAACTCTGAGTAACATCATTTTGGGTATAACCCCTTGAGCAAGGGAAACAAAAGCAAAAATAAACAAATGGAACTTCATCAAACTAAAACGATTCTGCACAGCAAAGGAAACCATCAACAAAATGAAAAGACAACTATAAAATGGGAGAATATAGTTGCAAATAATATATCTGATCAGGAATTATTATCCAAAATATATAAGAAACTCATATAACTCAATAACAAAAATAATTAAACCAATCATAAAACGGGCAGAGGACATAAAGAAATGTTTCTCCAATGAAGATATACAAAAGGCCAGGAGAAATATGAAAAGATACTCAACATCATTAATCATTAGTGAGGTACCACTTCACACCAGTCAGAACAGCTCTTATCAAAAAGTCAACAAATAGCAAGTATCGGTGAGGATGCGGAGAAAAGGGAACCCTTGCGCAGCCATTATAGAAACCATATGGAGATTCCTAAAAGAACTAAAAATAGATCTATCATACAACCTCCCTTCCTTTTAATCATTGAGGTTGCAACTCATCCCCCTTCTGTGCGCATGTGAAGATATTAACCCTTCCCCTCACCCATCCTCCCATCCACAGGTAGATGGGCAGGAGTTCCAGCAGAGGAGAGGGCAAAGAGAGAGCTGCCAAGACCATTTCCCCAATCTGATTTTTTACCATAATCAAGAAAAAACAGATTTTACCTTCAGGGAAGCTCTGTTTTTCCTTGGAAGAAAACACTGAAGCTCTGCTATGATTTGCACAAACATGATGCTCCAGCCAGTCTGAACATTTTATTCCCTACATACAGCACGCAGTTTCTCACTTCACTGACTCTCTGCCTGCTTTTCCACACCCGTTGCCTGACTCTCTTCTACCCATGCTTTAAAATTCAGGTCAGATAACGCTTTCTCCAGGAAGCCTTTTTTGATTCCTCAGTCTGTTCTAGGTGTACTGACAACTTTTATATACCATTCTCAGAGCATGCCATTAATTATATTGTTATGCACCGATCTGCCCCTCTAGCCCACAAGCTCCTCAAGCGTAAGGAGCATGTCTTATTCATCTTTGCTATCCCAGTGCTCAGCAGTGTGCTTGGCACAAAGAAGGGACTCAACATATAGTATCAAATGAATTCCCCAGAAGCCTGGTGGTTAAATTACCTCTGTTGTGAGATCCGTCTGTACATATACCACCTCTGACTAGTCTTCCATCCAGTCCAAGGATTGCAATGGGCAAGGGCCCAGGATTTATGGAAGAGTGGAAGGGAGACCACAGACTTAGGGAGCCCTCAACTTCAGATTCTAGGTAACTGATGGGGCTGATGATTCTAAAGTAGTAGAAGCGTCATTGAAAAGGAGAAATTACCCATGGGCCCTGCTTTCAGAAAACTGTACAAGGTATGAATTTGGCAAAATTAGCTCTCATTCTTTATATTACCTAAGAAGTCATTGCCATGTTCTCTGAGCAGCCAGCTCCTCTTGATGTAATTTAATGATTTGCTTCATTTGATAAGTATGGAACATTATGGGAAGATGTTGAGGGGATACAGGAAGATATTGTATTATCACATTAAGCCATCATTATTTTGAATATCTCAAGATATTTTTTAATGTCTCTATTTAAAACACAAGAAACTTGTTGCTAGAAATACTGAATGTGGGGATGTTTTAAGAGCCCAGGTAGATAAGGCAATAATGATGCTTCTCCACATACTGTGGCAGATTATAAATTAATATCCTGATGATGTACTTCACAGATCTCATTGCTATTTTTCATTGTTTATCAGAACATTGCTGTGAATCAAACAGGACTATCCCCTTTAGCTTAAGATTGAGAAAGAATTTCCTAGAAAACTTTGCTTGCTTTTTACCACAATAATGAGACTTACAGGAAAACGTCTGAGTGCACAACAGATCTTTCTGGTGAGTAAGAATTGTCAGGAAAAGATCCCACTCCTCTCTTTCACTCACACAAGAGCAATATTACACTCAGTTGTGATTAATTAGCAAGAATCGAACCAGCTGAACACTCAGCAGGACAGTGCAGCAGAGTTTAGAATGTCTGGTGCCCGGCCTCTGGTTTCCTAGTTGGATGCATAGCCACCTAAGGTACTAGCCTTTGTTTCGATCCAATCCTAGACACCCTCATTCACTTCAGTACTGAGCTTCAATGAAATCGTGAAAAGAAGCAGACTGCTCCCTCACTCTGTAAAGCTTCTCTCACGTTCCCTTCCCCATGCTGGGTTCCTACAGGCAGAGCTTACACCTCTGCAGTCACAGGGTCACAGGTTTGATATCTCCAGTGGGTACATGTGGAGTTTATGAAGTGGAAGTTGTACTTAGTTGCAGGAAGGGCTGCCATCCTATCTCTCAGTTCCTTCTTTGAGAGAATCATAAGTTATGCTGGTTTATTTTAATTACATTAGACATGAGTCACACTGAGTCAGCTTAATGGGAGTGGTAGAAGCTTACAGTAAATCAATGTGTATGAGTTGTGATCACTTGTAATCCCTTATGGAATGGATTCTACAGACAGTACTTTGATCTCTCATGTCTGGTCCAAGTATTTCCTTTTGGAAATTTTTTATTAAAAAAAAAAAGCCTTATTATGTTTGCTTGTATCAGTTTTTATTTTTGCTTTTCATATCTTTTCAAAGTCAGCTTTGGCACATTTTGGACAAGTTGTGGCAAATGAAATAAAGAGCAGAAGCTGGACAGGTGCACATTTGAATAATATCAATAGTGTTTTTTTCTTTTTTACAATATGGGTAGAGAAGGGACCACATTTTATTTGTCTGTCAAATTTCTACTTCCTTTTTCTTTTGCAACTCATTAGAAAACCTCCCCACAGTTTAAATTTGCTAACGGTATACATCCTGAAGCTTGGTCAGAACAAAGCAAACAGTCTTGTGCTGGGGTACATTGAACATTTGATATTATATAAATTCTAATCAGTTTTTTTTTTGGAAAACACTAGGTAACTGCCCTCAAATATGGTCACATGCAGTCATATGTGGTGATACTTCAAATTACACAATCCAGAGCTAAAATTGGTGTAGTCTCCTAAAATGGTAGGAAGAAAAAGGGGTAAACTGCTGATACTGAGCCAGGTTTGTCTCCCTATAGTACTGTGACACCACTAAGCTATAAAAAAGTGGGAACAGGTGTTCAGTCTGCCAGGTTCTTCAAGCATTTATAGTACATCACTGGTCTGGCATTCTTGAGCATTTCATCTCTCCCCTATGAAATAGCATCAGGTTGCTTCGCCTTTTTAGTTTCTACTTTTCTACTGTATTCTGTCTTTTCAATCACTGCCACTTTTTTATGATAATTATATTTGCTTCCTTTGTTTATTAATCTTCTATAGATGAGGGGAAGAGATAATTCTATCTATCATAAAAAATAACTGAATTGTGCATCAGGACCTGAATACTTCTCCTTTGAGTTAAAGTTATTACCTATCGTTTTTTGACATTATGACATTTGTTGCAACTGGTCATAGGCTAGGTAGTAGAGTTTGCTGGGAAATTAATTAACAAATATATTAGGATTCCCTTATCTCCTTCCTATGGCTATCGTGACTCTCAAATGATGTAAATGTTGTAAAAAGACCTCAAAATAATTCAAAGATCAAGGACAAAAGAATCGCATTATTCACATTCACCATCACTAACATTTTAAGAAAATTTTATTGAATTTATTGGAGTGACATTGGTTAATAAAATTATACAGGTTTCAGTTATAAAATACTATAATACATCATCTGTATATTGATTGTATTGTGTTTACCACCTAAAGTCAAGTCTTCTTCCATCACCATTTACTCCTCCTTTACCCTCTTCTAACTCCCCACAACCCTTCCTCTGGTAATCACCACACTGTTGTCTGTGTCTATGAATTTGGGTTTTTTTTTTTGCTGATTCCTTCGCCTGTTTCACTCCAACCCCTTCAACCTCTCTCCCCTCAGTCTGTTTTCTGTATCTATGAGTCTGTTTCTATTTTGTTAGTTTACTTTGTTCAATAGATTTTACATTTAAGTAAAATCGTATGGTTTTCATCTTTCTCTGACTGTCTTATTTCACTTAGTATAATACTCTCCAGGTCCCTCCATGCTGATTAAAAGGATAACAGATTCTTCCTTGTTACAGCTGCATAGTATTCCATTGTGGAAATATACCACCGCATTTTTATCCACTCATCTACTGATGGGCCCTTGGACTGCTTCCAAATTTTGGCTCTTGTAAATAGTGCTGCAGTGAACATAGGGGTGCATATATTCTTTTGAATCAATGTTTTGGGTTTCTTTGGATATATTCCCAGAAGTGGAATTGCTGGGTCATAAGGCAGTTCCATGTTTAATTCTTTGAGGAAACTGCATACTAGTTTTGATAATGGCTGCACTAGTCCACATTTCCACCAACAGTGCATAAGGACTCCCTTTCCTCCACATTCTCGCCAGCACTTTTGTTTGTTGACTTTGATGACAGCCATTCTGACAGTTGTGAGGTGATATCTCATTGTATTTAGTTTGCATTTCTCTGATGATTAGTGATGTTGAGCATTTTTTCATTTATGTATTGGCCATCTGTATGTCCTCTTTGGAGAAGTGTCTGTTCATCATGTCCCTTTTTTGCCATCTTAATGGGATTATCTGGTGGTGTTGAGTTGTGTAAGTTCTTTATAAATTTTGGATATTAATCCCTTTTTAGATGTATCATTGGTGAATATGTTCTCCCATTCAGTGGGTTATCTTCATTTTGTTGATGGTTTCCTTTGCCGTGCAAAAACTTCTTAGTTTGATGTAATCCTATTTGTTTACTTTTTCTTTTGTTTCTCCTTGGCCAAGGAGACATATCAAAAAAAAAAAAGCAAACATCCAAAATTTTACTGCCTATGTTTTCTTCTAGATTTTGTATAGTTTCAAGTCTTACAGTTAAGTCTTTAATCCAGTTTGAGTTTATTTTTATATGTAGTATAAGAAGGTAGTCTGGTTTTATATTTCTGCATGTACATGTTCAATATTTCTGACACCATTTATTGAATAGACTGTCTTTATCCCATTGTACGTTCTTGCCTACTTTGTCAAATATCAATTGACCATAGAGACATGGGTTTATTTCTGGGCTCTCTATTCTGTTCCATTGATCTGTATATCTGTTTTTATGCCAGTAACATGCTGTTTTGATTACTATGGCCTTGTAGTATTGTTTGATATGAGGTAGAACGATTCCTCGAATTTTGTTCTTTTTTCTCAAGATTGCTATACGGGGATTCTTGTGATTCCATATAAATTTTGGAATATTTGTTCTAGTTCTGTGAAATAACCCATTGGTATCTTGACAGAGATTGCATTGAATCTGTAGATTGCTTTGGATAGTATGGACATTTTAATGATGTTAATTCTTCCTCTCCATGAACACAGTATATGCTTCCACTTATTTGTATCTTCTTCAATTTCTTTCTTCTGTGTCATATAATTTCCTGAGTATAGGTCTTTTCCATCCTTGGTTAAATTTATTCCAAGTTATTTTATTTTTTATTCAATTGTAATGGGATTGTTCTCTTAGTTTTCCTTTCGGCGAGTTCCTTATTAGTGTATAGGAATGCAACTGATTTCTGGATATTTATTTTATATTCTGCTACTTTATTGAATTCATTTATCAGTTCTAATAGTTTTTGTTGGAATCTTTAGGGTTTTCTATATATAGTATCACGTCCACTTCAAATAATGACAATTTTACTTTTTCTTTTCCAATTTGGATGATTTTCTTTCTTCTTCTTGTCTGATTACTGTAGCTAGGACTTCCAGTTCTATGTTGAATAAGAGTACTGAAGGCAGACATCCTTGTCTTGTTTCTGATGTAAAGGGAAACAAACACTTGTAGTTTTGCCCATTGAGTATGATGTTGGCAGTGGGTTTGTAATATATGGCTTTTATTATATTGAGATATGATCCCTCTATTTCCAGTTTTCTAAGTGTTTTTATCATGAATGGGTGCTGGATTTTATCAAATACGTCTTCTGCACCTTTTGATATGATCATATGATTTTTATCCCTGATTTTATGTGGTGTATCGCGTTTATTGATTTGTGGATACTGACCATTTTTGTTGTTGTTGCCACCAGAGTTAATGCCACAAATACCCTATGGGTGAATATTTTTGGTCAAAGAGATTCGTAGTAGGAGTAAGACTGGTTCTATCAATAATAATATCCATTAATCTAGAGAGATCCAAGGATATATTAGATCTCTAATGGTTCCTGGACCATCATGAAGTAGATACAGATAATGGTGATTATGAGGAAAATGTGGAAGATTATGATCATTTAACACATACTGAATGCTTACTACATGTTGAGCACTGTTTTAAGAATTTTACACAAATTAACTCAATCTTCTCAACCGTCTCATGCTAGCTCATACTATCATCACCCCCATTTTATAGAAAAGACACAGAGGAGATAATTTGTCTAAGGCCAGATAAACAAAATAAAGATGAATGTTGACCCACCTGGGAAAAATAAGCAGTTTCCCAGTTTTACTTATTCTGGGCATTAGAATTCATTAGGATTTGTTAATATCCTGTATATATCATAATTTTTTAGAAAAGAAGTTTCTATACACTTTCCCTTTTGTAAATTGCATTCTTCTCAGTAGTCACAGCCTAAAAAATAGGCACCATATCTTATTATTTTGTAGCTGCTTTACCTAACAACGCTTTGAACAATAAAAAAAGAGGAACACAATGCATGTTGGCAGAATGAGCACTTTTGTATTTAAACTCTCTTAAGAGCATTATAATATCTCTGTTTAAGAATGGATTATGTTGGGTTCTACTAGTTCTATTTGCACATGCATTTTTACAGAATCTATATGACCCATGTTTCAGTGTGTAACTGAATTATTGTGTCAAGATATGTTCAAAATAAATAAAGGGAGTATTTAAAACACATGCTGACCACTGGTATGAATACTATTTTAATAATGTAAAATTTTTATAAATTAAGGTGATATATCTACCTACAGAGGCCCACAGTAATATAAGTACTATACGTCTGAAAATCATCATAGACCTCATTATGAATGGAATTGATGTTACTTAGAGGATTTATTATTTTTTTAGGGGAATGACACGCTGGGGAGAATTTGATGATCTTTACCACATTAGTGAACTGGACAGAACCCAGATTACAGTGTCCGAAGCAATGAATTCCCAGAAAGGTCAGTGTCAAAACTGTTATTGACATTTAATACATTTCTACATAATAAACTCTTATGTTTGTTTGTTTTTAAAAGGCTTTTAGGAGCACACTAACCTAAATCACTACTGTTTTGGTATGATGTTTCCGATCATTACTTGGAATATAAAAATATGATGTTTTTAAAAATTATATTACGTCACTTAGATTTATTAGATTAGGGAGAGCTAATGGTTTGAATAAAGTTTGTGTTCATAAATTTGTTCAATATTTTTGCCAAGGATTAAGATTATTTAACATATTCAGTAGCTTTTTATGTTAGGCCATGCCTCTCAGAGTGAACTCCACATCTTTTTATAAGTTGAACATTTTAGTTAGCAGATATTTATATAACATTGCTTCTCAGAAAGAGGCAGATATTCTGAGGTCACTTTTTATATTTAATAGAGTTGCTTCAAGCATTTGTTTTAAACGGAGATAAATCTATTTGAACATCAAATGAGTTCATATCAACTTGCCAAACTAATGGAAAATGCCAGCTCCTGTGACAAGTGGCATCAGCAGTCATAACAATGATTATGTGATAGTAATTATGTTAATGACTATCAGTTACTGAGATTACTAAGTGTCAGGTGTGATATCTTATACTTTACTGGACCTTGTTTTTGTAGAATATATAGAGATTTAAGGAGGATGACTGAGGCTGGGTTGGGGGATTCATTTTCCTGGGTGGTGATATTACCAAGCTGGCTTCAGACTGAACCAGGGTTTCTGTTGGTACTACCTTCCTGAGTCTACCAACAACTTCCAGTGTTTAGTTGTTTTTTGTTTAAGCCATTCTTAATTTAGCTTCCTCTGCGGTCACTGTAACAAACCATATTCTGTAACAAACATCATGTTCCTTCCAGGATCCCCTTATCCTTGTCTTATGGCCTCTTGACATCTTTTAGATAAGGATCTTTCCAGTTAGCCCCTTGGAAAAAATTAGTAATCTAAACCAGGGGAATCTCAATATCTTGACAGTACAGATACAATAAAAATCTGTATTTGAGGACCAGTGCTAGAGAAATATGAAATACTTCTTACCTATTTCATGATTAATTACAATAGAAAATTATTTAAAATTATTTAAAATCTCAAGGTAAAAGAGAACACAAATGCCACCAGCAGGCCCTATTCTTACACAAGAGCATTGCTATTTCCTTACTCTTCAAGGGCATTAGAGTCCATTGCTTAGCTACATATTATTAAATACATACACCAATCCACCCAGGATGCAAAGAGGTGGGCAGCTAAATGATATATGCTTACCATCTTTATTCTTCCCAGATTATTTATCTTATCACAGCAGCACTCTGAAGCCTCTTGCAGATGAAGAGCCAGAATCTCCATTGCTCTATAGAACCATGAGTGAAGCAACCCTGGTAAGAAAAAGGATGAAGCTTCCAATGATGGACAGAAAAGACAGACAGAAACATCGAGCCTCTATTAATGGACACTTTTATAACCATGAAGTGAGTTACAATTCTATTGGTGTCATTTAAAATACTATTGTCTATTATACTAACAATACCACTCAATTCATCCTACAATTAAAATTATAATAACAATAGTAGTATATCTAATATTTATTGGGTGCTCTGTGTGTTATGTATTAGACTATTTTAAATCTATTTTTGGTTAATTATTTTATTAATCACTGTAACAATGCTATGAAGTAGGCACCATTATTTTTCCTATTTATGAGTTAATTGAGGTTCACAGAGGTTAAGCATTTTGTCTTAGGTCACATTGCTTTTAAGTAGTAACTTTAAACTTGCACCCAGCTTTGTCTGACTCCAGAATTCAAATTCTTAGTCACCATGATGGATGAACCCTATCTGAGTGGCAGGTACTGTGCCAAGCGCTAGCAACATAAAAGTGAATCAGTTGATGCCTCTGCGAAAAGGAGCTTAGGACATGGTCAAAGAAACCAATAGATTGATAAATGGCATAAGAATAATGTAAGTGCTACAATAGAATTTTATTTGAAGTACATTGAACAGCTCTGGCCAGTTGCTCAGTGGTTAGAGCGTTGGCCCATGGACTGGAGAGTCCCAGGTTTGGTTCCCTCTAAGGGCACTGCCTCGGTTGCAGTTTGTCCCTGGCCCCAGTTGGGGTCGTGTGGGGGGCAACCACTTGATGTGTCTCTCTCATGCTGATGTTTCTCTCTCTCTCTCTTCCCCCCTCTCTCTCCCACTCTATCTCTCTCTATCTTGAAGATAAATGCAAAAATCCTCGAGTCCAGAGAAAAATGTCCTCGGGTGAGGATAAAAAATAAATAAATAAAATACATTGAAAATTAACAGTGAACTTTTTTTAAAGTCCTATTTACTCCAATAAATCAAATTTCTCATTTTATGTGTTCCCTTGCAGGTCTTATACAAATACACATGCCACTTTCTACATAAGTATAGCTACAGTTCAGATATCATTTTTATTCTGATTTTTTACTTAATATGTGTTAAATTTACATGTGTCTTTCCATACTATTTATAAAACATTTCACTTTACTGAAGGTAAAACATGTATTATTTTTCTAAAACAAATATTTTTCATGTCATGTATTTTAGCAACATTCACCCATTCATTGAATAAAGACCTGAAAAGCACTTACTCTGTGCCAGGCACCACTCTAAGCCCTTTAGTACAAATATTGACTCATTTATCTTAAACTTTTTCCTATAGGGCTTTTACTTTATTTCTTCTTTCACCCTTGGGAGGATTATCAGTATTGTGCCTTTGGAGACTGGTGGAAACAAACCTCTCTTCTGAATTCTTTGTTTTAATTAGACATTTTTTTGGTTCAAGAATTATTGCTGACAGAATCATGCTGTGTGTGGTCATCTTGGGGGTGATTGTTGTTAAAGAAGGCTATTGTACCAAATAAGTGGCTTCCAGATGTAATCCCGTGCTAGGAATGAAATTGCCACTAAGTTGGCCACGTGGCATAGTAGTTAAATGATTCAATTGCTTGGGTGCTACAGATGGATGACCTGATTTCAAATTCTTGCGGAGCAAAATTAAAAATGTATTCAATCTTTTAGCCTTAGTTCCTTCATCCTTCCTACTTTATAAAATTGTTGATGTAGTTAAATGAAATAAGGTGAGTGAATCACAGAGTCTAACACAAAGAAAGAACTCAATTTACATTAGCTTTATTGTTGATTGAAAGAGATCAAACTAGGACTACAAGTATTTTATACAAATGTCATTCATTGCAATTTAATGAAAGAAAGAAAGAAAGAAAGAAAGAAAGAAAGAAAGAAAGAAAGAAAGAAAGAAAGAAAGAGAGAGAGAGAAAGAAAGAAAGAAAGAAAGAAAGAAAGAAAGAAGAAAGAAAAGAAAGAAAGAAAAAGAAAGAAAGAAAGAAAGAAAGAAAGAGAGAGAAGAAAAAAAGAAATAAGGGAGAGGGAGGGAGAGGAGAGAGGAGGAAGGAAGGAAGGAGGGAGGAAGGGAGGGAGGGAGGGAGGGAAGGAGGGAGGGAGGGAAAGAGGGAGGGAGGAAAGAAACAAGAGAAATTCTCAAAACTCAAAGTATTCTGTCTATGGATGGTTATGCAATTATGAGCACCTATAATCTTAAATTGATATAGTCTTTAAATGTGTCTGTATACCATGAAGCCTCTTGATAATGCCGGTATTATTAGTCTGTGGATAACACCCACATTAGAGGCTTACATTGTGATATTTGTAACTCATTCATGCCTTACACTGTCCACAAACATTGAATTTTCTCATATTTAACAAAAGTTTAATCCAAACATCCTCCATATATCTTCTCTGAAAATTTATTTCCATATCCAGAATTTTGCTCACACAGATGCTGTGCATATATATACTTTGATGTCTATTTACTGACTCTCAATATAGGACTCATCTATCTAACATTCCATTAAACCACCCCCAAACCCATTCATGTCCATGTCTGCTGAACACATTTCTACAGTCTTGGTACACTTTGAGATTACACATATAAATGAGCTCTATGGAAAAAGCCTTTACTTAATGTTCTTTTTTATTTTTAAATATATATTTATGCCATTATTACATTCTGCTACCTAATGAGTGAGAACATTTTTTTTTTCATTTTTTTATGCTGTGGCACACATAGTGTCATATTTTCTTTGAATGTCATAAGTTATACATATACTATCAATTACCTGCCTTGTGAGTCTCTACTCACTATTTTTGCAGTGGTTGTTTTTGTGGCTACTGTTGTTTTACTCTTTTTCCTCCTTGTAATTCAGTTTGGGAAATTTCTTTTGACCTAGCTTCAAGCTTATTGATTCTTTCCTCAGCTGTACTGAATCTATTAATTAAGCCATCAAAGACATTCTTCATTAATATTACAATATGTTTAGAGTCTTGCTTAGAGTTTTCACTTTTTATTTCATTACCCACTTAATCTTGCCTGTTGTCTACTTTTGTCATCAGAATTTTTAACATATTAATAGTAGTCATTTAGCCTGGCTGGTGTGGCTCAGTGGTTGAGTGTTGACCCATGCACCAAGAGGTCACTGATTCAATTCCCAGTCAGGGTACATGCCCAAGTTGTGGGCCAAATCCCCAGTGTGGGGCATGCAGGAGGCAGCCAGTCGATGTTCTCTCTCATCAATGTCTCTGTCTCTCTCTCCCCTTCCTTCCTCTCTAAAATTAATAAAGAAAAACATATATTTTTAATAAATAAATAATTGTAGTTATTTAAAATTCCCTTTCTGATCATTCTGATATCTGTATTATACTTGAGCTTGATTATGGTGCTTGCTTTGTCTCCAAAGATGTGGTTTTTTTCTTGACTTTTAACATGACTTTTAACTTTTTGTTTAAAGCCAAACATGTATCAGGTAAAAGAAACAGAGGTAAGTAGACCTTTCATGTGAAGATTTATACAATTAAAATTAGGCTCTGTTTAAGGTTTTCTGCAGGTATAGTTTCTGGAGGCTTCAAATTCTTCCCTTGTGGTTTTATGTTGTTGTTGGCCATGGGGTTTTGTTTGTTTGTTTGTCTCCCCTAATAACTTGTGGCTCCTTTACATACTTCTCCTCAGAGAAAATCATTGTCTTTCTCTTTTTTCTGCTGTAATCCATTGATATTATTCTGAAGCCCTGCTTGAGTGATTTTTTTTCACTCACTACATTTTTTTAAAAATTTTGAACATATCATTTATATCATAGAATTTAAATTTAATTTTGCCTATTTGTAGTTGTTATAAGGGTTAAATTTGTATTTATAAAGGGATTAGAATAGATCTTGGCACATGATTACAACTGTTAAATTAATAATTATTTTATTTGAAAAAATATAGAAAAAATTATTTTAGAATTCTGTGTTATTCTTTGGAATAATACCATTACTTTAAGGGATTACATATTCTGCCTAATAACCATTACTTTGCTTACATATTGACTTACCTAAATAGATAGATGAGCCCTTGCCTAAGTATCAACACGTCTTAATGTCTGTGTACATATGTAACCATGAAACATATACAAATTAGGGAAATCCTAGTTAAGTACATATTATTGGCCAGCATTTTCCAAAGTATGTTTTATTGGCTATTAATAGGTATATTTAAAAGGGATATTATTTATGTTAAAATAGAAATAATAATCAAATTAAGAGTGAAAAATTCATGGTTATATGTTTGTTATAACATTTTTTATGATGCATTACTAAGCCCCAAAAGGGATGTCTCAGACTTATCTGACCACAAAAACCTTTTACCAAGTATCATCTGGAAAGCAGACCCTTGATTAGTACAATTTATAGGAAATATTGTTCCAGAGCTTCAGTTGGTAGCACTTTTACTCCAACCCTTGGCTGAGATATAGGTTGCGCCTTATGCAATTGCCAACATTAAATCATTTCTGACCAACTAGAAAAGGAGTGATTTAATATGCTTCAAACTAAAAACAATTTAGGACAATTACTTCTAAGCGGGAGGAAGGTGTGGCATGTGAGTTTTAAAAAGCCTATTCATGTTACCTTTTGTTTGTGTTTAGTTATAATAGTTAACTTATTTGGGGATCTTAAATTATACAAAAGAATGGTGTGATTATCTAGTGAAAATACTTTAACACCCTCAAATTAGGTTTTATTTTATTTACTCTGCAACAACATAAGGCTGCTTAAAAGGAGACGTAACATTCAACAACAAAGAAAGCTAAAACAAGAAAACAAGTTTTTTATACTGGTGACCTTGGATTTTTTGCCCAAAGGTGGCCAGTTACAAAATATTGACTGTTGTTACTTTGATGTAATTTTAAAGACTTATATGACAATTTTTTTTTTTTTTTAAGACATCAATTTTCACTCCAGCCTTTGGATCAGAAACTAAGGTCAGAGTAAACAGTGACATGAACACTGAAGAAGTAATAAAGCAACTTCTTCAAAAATTTAAGGTAATTTTTTATCACTGAACTGAAGCATAAATATCTTGTATATAATTTAACTGTAGATACATAAATGTTCTCTTCTAAAGAAGACCTATGAACATATAAATCTAAAATCAAATCAATGTTCAGTTCTCAAGAATTCTTTTTTATGTATGACACGTTTTATTAATTATGCCCAGGAAAATTACATTATTCCCAGGGAGCAGAGGTTTTATGTCTAGAAATAAAAAATGAAAGTGAGGAAATGGATACATAATTTGGGTGTAGTTGGCTTAGAAAACATCATATGACAAAAAATTCCTGTCTGTTCATTTTTTTCCTACTGACAGATTGAAAACAGTGCCCAGGATTTTGCACTTTACATTGATTTTGCAACTGGAGGTAAGAAAGCTTGGTTACTCTTTTTTTTTTTTTTTTAAATATTGATTTTTCTTTTATATTACAGTTGTCTCTCCTTTTCCCCCCATTGACACCTTCCTCCCTGCTCTTAACCCCCACCACCCCATTCCCCCTACCCCCACCTTTACCACACTGTTATCTGTGTCCATTGGTTTTGCATATATGCACATAAATTCTTTGGTTTATCTCTTCCCACCCCTTGTCCCCCTTCCTTCCAAGATTTGTCAGTCTTTTACATGTCTCCTGTGTGGTACAGTTTTCTACCCACAAGGAAGGCAAAAAAGCAGTTTAACCTCATTCTGTGGAAGAAAGGGAGAGAAAAAAGGAGGGAGGGTATTTTAGAAGAACCAAAGAATAAGGTATGCTGGAAGAGTTTATGATACAAAAGAGTTTGCTTTTTGGCCAAACATTCAATAACCTGAATGGTGTCCAAGCCTATAAGAATCCATGACGTTCCCCAGGAACTTTCCCAGGAATTGTTAGGCATTTACATCATGGTTGATCTCCCTACTCCTTTCTTTTTGGCTTTCCTTCTCAGGGCAGCTCTTACTGGACTCATCATTGCATATCATGTTTCTCTGGTCTTGTTATTACTTTTTTTTTTTTTCTTAGCAGAGTGTGTGACACATTGTAAGAGTGTCACTCTTCCTCAGTAGAGAAACTTGTTCAGAAGTTGGTGGTAGGGGACAAAATGTTAGAACCAGCGCATTGGGAAGGTGCTATGTGTGGGATGCCAGGAGCAGCAAGTGAGATTAGAGAAAACCTAAGGTGATACTCAAAGTTTTGAAAACCTTAAAATTGAAAAGAGTCGAATGTTAAATTTTTGAAATATACCAGGTTATAATTTAAGGGTCAGAATGTTTAAGCCAGAATGAATAAAATAAAATAATTCATTTTGATGTCAGAATAAGTGTAAGAAATTAAAGCTGGATCTCCAACCATATACAAAATTAAATCCCTTATAATTTGAAAGTTTAAATATAAGAAAGAATACATACATATATATATATTAACCCTAAAGACACAGGAATAGATAATGTCACTTCAACTGTGGGTTTCTGTGTTCTAGACCCTCTCTTGACTTTTTCTTGGGGTAAGTCCAGCCAAGGGGATGAGAAGAGTTCTGACTCTTGGAACTTTTAAGACCCCAAGAGAATTTATTTAATAGATAGATGATAATTTGTAAAGAACTGTTCTACCTTTTCCTCTTAAGCCTATTTCAACATGGCAGACAGATTGTTTATTAACAATGTAAGTCAGACCATGAGATGTGAACCTCTTCTCAAATCCCCCAATGATCTGTCTTCTCACAGGAAAGCCCGAGTTTTTACAGTGGCCCCATTACTTCTCCTTGTCTTTGACTACCCCTCCCCTCATCTCCTGCATGCCAACCACCCTGGTTCCTTGCTGCTCTGTGGAGACATTAGGCACACCCTGGCCTTGAGGTGCTTTACTTGTTTACTTACTCTGTTTGGAACACACTTCCCCCAAATAGCTTCATGATTCCACCTTCATCTCTTTTAGGCTTTACTCAAATGTTTATTAATTGAGGGCTTCCTCAAACACCCTATCAATAATTGCAAAGTTCTCTGTACATATATTTACACACACACACACACACACACACACACACTTTCTATTCCCTTCCTTTTTGCTTTATTTTTCTTCAGAATAATCACCACTAATATATGGCATGTTTTATTGATTTTTTTATTATTTGTCTTGTCCAGTTGAATGTAAGGTCCATGAGGGAAGTGATTTTACTCTGTTTGGTTCTATATGGTCCCAAGCACTATGCAGCAATGCCTGACACATAGTAGGAACTCAAAAATATTTAAGGAAGGAAGAGGGGAGAAAATAAGATGACTATAAGGGCACTATGTTCTGTTCATGCTTCATTGTGATGAAAATGAAGTCACAGAGGTGAAAGCTACTTTGACAGAAAGCTAGGGGTGCTTTTGTGGTAGAAGTACTTAGATCACTTTTGGAAATTAGAATTGTTGAGAATATACCAAATTGGCAGTTATATTCCTTCTTATCTCATTGTCATAGCTGAATGGATAAAGCCCACAGATGAGTGAAATAAAAATACCCCACTATCAAAAGATTCTGAATATATTTTTAAGGAAGAGCTGAGGATTGGATGTGGAGTAAGAGAGAGAGGAAGAATTGAAGATCATTACAAAGTATTGGACCTGAATAACTAGAAAGATAAAATTACATTAAATGAAGTAGGAAAGGATCAATAAATATTTGTTGAATGAATGAATGAATGAATAAAAATTATAAAGAATTTTTGCAGTGTGTTGCTTGATAAAAAGCATAAATGGGTCTGGAGATTTGTCTGAACATTCTAACCAAAGGCAAGATTGAATTCTCTGAATCAAACTTTGAGGGATAACAAGAGAAGAAGTTCATTTTAGTTCATCTAAAGGTTTTAATTTCAATTTAACTCTTTCAAGTGAGTGCCTACTATTGTATGTGGGGTTTTTGTTTGTTTTTGTTTGTTTGGGGAGAAGTCTTCTTTCAAAGTGAGCTGGAGAAAGAAAACGAATGGCCAAATGATCTTTTTACTTTTTCTCTATTATGGACTTTTGATTGCAGTTGGTTCTTATTTTCATTCGCAGAAAGAAGACGGCTAAAGAAGACAGACATCCCACTACTGCACAGGCTCCTACAGGGACCCTCCAAAAAGAATGCTCGCATTTTCCTCATGGATAAAGACACAGAGGAAATTAGCAGTGATGTATGAATTCCATCACCCTGAATCTGTCTTTGCTTCCTCCTGACCCAGCACCTCTCACATAAATGTTCTGCTTTCTTTTTGTGTGTTTTTTAATCAGGTGGCTCAGTACATTAACTTTCATTTTTCTCTCCTGGAATCCATCCTTCAAAGATTAAATGAAGATGAGAACAGAGAGATTCAAAGAACAATAACAAAGTAAGTCAAGAGCATGCATGCTGGGTGCTTGCTCTTTTGATAGATTCAATGCACAAGATGTGTCCAAATTTTAATACTCTTTTTCTCCTTTTCATTTTAGATTCAGTACAGAAAGGGCAATTATACTGAAATATCTTCAAAGTAAACAGGTAGTACAAACAGAGACAACGGTTTAGTAGTTCAGGCTACTACTGCTAAAACACTTCAAAATCAGAGCGATGTTACTATTTGATGAGTGTATACATCCTATCCTTGCATTTGTGCAAATACATATGAACTTGAATATGTAGAAAACTGAATGTTGAAAAAGCTTGTCTCTCTTCGAGGTGCTGAGATTCACTAGGGTTCACAGTTGGACTGAAATGAGCTTGAATTTAGTTTCAGCAACTGAAATAAGCTTGGATACTGTGTATTCCAAATAGCTTTTATAGTGAAACGTTCAATGAACTGGAATTTAAATGGCATCCTCAGTGTCATGCAGTTTGAATGCCATTGAGCTTGAACCGTCAAAGGAACTGGAATAGCAACAACCAACTCTCAGAAACGATGCAACAGTAAACGCTGCCCGCTCGTGAAATAAAACAGAAGCGCATTCTTACCCCACCAGGAAATCTGATGGAGAAGGTGTCGTATAGCTCCTTGAAAACGCTAGTATTTTAATAAAATCTCGGGCTGTCCTTATGTAGGCAGGTGACTTTTGGCTCTCTGTAACATCAGAGCTATCGGATCGTTGGAGAGGAAAGGATTCAGGACTCTGGTAAGAAATCCAAAATGTAATTTCCTCAACCTGAATCCTTTTTTTTTTTTTTGCTCTGTTTTACTAATGACTTTCAAAAATAATCTTAAGGATTTTTTTAGGTCAGTTAAACTTTTTTTCTTTATTTTTACAAACATAAATGCCACAGAGTCTTAACATATTAATCAGCTAGGCCAACCTAGGCCCGCAATAACCATTGTTACTGAATGAATACACAGGATGATGCAAAGCTATAGTAGCTGAAGCTAGCAAGGATTTTACAGCACTGTTCTTTCTCTGAGTCATCTTTCTATAAAACGATGCTCAAACCAATTTGGGGGAAAAAACACACTGAGAATGCCACAAGTCTCATCTATGTTTTTATTTATGAACTCTATATTAAAATGGAATTGCATGCAGCTTTCTTCCATTCTGTAAACTACTTCCATTTGCATTTCTCATGCACACTGTATTAAATCGTTGTATTATATTATATGTACTATGGGATAAGGTTGTCTGTACTCAACCCAGTTGGTTTATGAAAATTTTCAAGACAAAAGCATTACTTCTCAGTGTCACCAAAACCCAAAGCAGATGAAAGGAGATGTGTGCTGTGAGATTTTAGTCCTAGGAAGTCTCTTTTATTGAGTAAAACAGAGATTGCATCTTTAACCTTTTATTTATCGATTAATAAGAAAATAAGCAGAAGTAACAGTTCAAATTTAGTGCACTTAAAAAAAATTTAAAGAAGCACCACGCACCTGCTATACACATAACAAAAGACTTATCTTTAATATACTGAAAGTCTACAGAATGCATTAGAAAAATACCAAGTGTTGGATAGGAAAAAAAGGCAGATGACATGTAAAATGATCACAGAAGAGAAAATGAAAATGGCTACTAAGGATATGAAAAAAGTTGTATCTTAACAGTGATCAACTGCATTAGTCTCTGTCCAATCAGGAGACAGAAACTACACAGTACTTTAAAGAGGTTGTTTATTATAAAGAATTATTAAGCTATGATGGGAGAATGACTAAAAGATGGAAATAGAACTCGAGAGAGCAGCCTAAAGCTGAGGGAGAGTGCTCCAAAAAGGAAAAGCATGGAACGAGGGGTTCAGAACTCACCAGAGAAGGTGTGGTTGCAACCCACTGGGTAGAGGAGAAGCTGGCTGGTTGCCTATGCCAGAGCAGGGCCACAGCCAGAGGGCAAGCAGGAAAACAACCTCTGGGAGGTGGGCCAGCTAGGGCAGCTGGGCAGGTAGGCAGAGAGACCTGGGACTTCTTTACAGGTACAAGGCTCAGATCACATAGGGTCTATGTCTGGAGATCCCCAGGAAACAGTTCAGAGGAACACGTAAGCCAAGGCTGCAGGGTGGCACAGAGAAAGTCAGAGGTGCTACTAGGTCTGGGAGCTGGAGGGGCCTCAAGGAACCTAATATAACTCTGTGTATGACTTGATTCTGTGGCATCTTTAAGGCTGCATGGGACAAAGGTCGGGCAAGTGGCTCACTAGATGGCCAGCCCCACAGAGCCTTCTAAGGGGACATGTACCAAGTTGAGAGGAAGGTGCAGAGAGTAATGATTTGAGCTAGGGCACAAGCCTGCCTTGGAGTTCCAGGCTATGTGATCACAAACATAATCAAAAATTGAAAAAGGGGTTGGGGAATAAATGCTAGAGAAAGCTGCACCCTACCAGCAACTAGCACTGCAGAACCCAGTGGAGGAAAAAAACAGGGGAGAGCAGTGGAGAAGAAAAAGTCAGCTTCCCAGGAGCCTGGCCAACCAGACACTGGAAGTCAGGAAAGACCTGCTTCCTCCAACAGTGTTTCTCCAGTGCCCTCTACTGACAAAACATGGCATGCAAGCTGTGAAGAAAACATTTAAAAGGTCCATAACCATTTCACAAAGCTGACAGCAAAGGATGAATTTGGAGTAGAGAGGCAATGAAATGACTGACATGTTAACAAAACACAAACTGAAGAACAGTGAAATATTCTTTTTGGTCTATTAAATTAGTAAAGATTAAGAAATGATAATATTAAATACTCATCAAGTTACTATGAGTTGGGCTCTCAAACCACTGGTAGAAATACATATGTGCTTTTTTGAAAGCAATTGAGCAGTGAGTTTATATTATAATTCTATTTTTAGAATCTTATATTGAAATAATCAAACATATAAAGACATTATATAAATATACTTACTATATTTCTATTTATTGTGGTCAAAGGAAGTAAATAGCATAAGTGTAAAAAATAGGAAGAGAGAAAGAAATATTTACCCATAAAATGTTATTCAGCTATTAGAATTGTTTCCAAATAATTTTTAATTATAGAAGTAAATTCTTCTTATGTATTCTAAATAAGAATATACACACAAATATTCCAAAATATTTACTATTCATAAAATATGTGTTTATAAGTGTGTAAACACTAATATTTGTACATAAAACTCACAAACCAAAGATAGCATGTTATATATGGTATTGTCTGGATTATAGAATTATAGATGATTCACATTTTAAAATGTTTTTATGCTTATTAAATATTTTATAACATATGTTACTCATTTTTTTTATTTTAAATCCTCACCTGAGGATATTTCTCCATTTATCTTCAGACAGAGTGGGAAGGAAAGAGAGAGAGAGAGAGAAACATTGATGTGAGAGAGAAACATCAACTGGTTGCCTCCCACACAACCCTGACCAGGGGTAGGACGGAACCATAACCAGGACCGAACCACAACCGAGGTTTATGCCCTTGACCAAAATCAAACCCATGACTCTTGACCAAAATCAAACCCATGACTCTTTGGTCCTCTGGTGGACACTCTAACTGCTGAGCCAAACCAGCCAGGGCGAGCATGTGTTACTCTTTAAATCAGGAAATAGAAAAGCTGTGATTAAAAAGTCATCAACCCATGAAAACAGACTTCTTCCAGATGCAAAAAGGTTTGAATAAATTATTTAAATAAGGCATTAATATCACTTCTACAGTAGTTTTAAAATATATCCATAGTGTCTTTGATACGCCTTCTCTCGGGAGGAATAGCCTAATCTTCCTCACCTTGCACATGAATTGTACTTAGGGACTCAATTCTAACGAATGGAGGGAAGTGGAAGGGATACGCCTAATTTTGGAGGCAGCTCATCAAGACACTTTGGCATCCTCCTTGCTCATTCTCATGGGTCACTGGCTCTGGGGGAAGCCAACTGCCATGTTCAGAGCAGCCCTGAAGATCTGTACATACAACTCACAAACCAAAGACAGCATGTTACATGTGGTATTGTCTGGATTATAGAATTATGCTTCTTACGTGATAAGAACCATAGACCAACAAGGCACAGCCGTATGTGTGGGCCATGTGATAGCCCAAGCCAAGCCTTCGGATGATTTCATCCCTGTGTAATAGCTGTAACTTCCTGAGAGACCCTGACCCAGAAAACCCAGCTAAACTGCCCCTGGATTCCTGATCCTCACAAACTGCAAGAGATAAGAAATGTGTGTAGTAGTGTGCTACTACATTTTATAATAATTTGTTACTTCACAATAACATACAATTTCTGAGACAAAAAAAAATCTTTCACTTCAGAGTCATCTTTGAAAAATAGAAGAATATAAACTTTTGTCACAAAATTATTTATTCATGTCTTAATGGTCCAAATATTTCACCACCAGTTATACAGTAGTTCAAATTCGATTCCAGATGTTACACTTATTAATGGTAGAGGACCTGTCACATTCTTCTTTGTATACTTTGCTGTACCTGATGTTGTGTCTTGTGTATAAGATGTGCTCAATAGGAATCAAGTGAATAAAGGACTGAATGAGTTGGTGAATGAGTGAATAAATTATCTGAAATATTTTTTGTAAAATCCTTTGTATAGATGCCTCCTTTTTCACAAATATGATCCAGTTGCTGGGGCACAAATAGAGTCGTTTCTATATGATTTTCCCTAATATGGTGGTGTAGATTCTTATCTTTTGGCTGAATGAAACATTCAGATTTTTCAGTGTTACTATTCAATATTACTATAGCATTTTGTTTAGGGCTATTCACATTGATTTCTGAACTGAAGGGGAAAAGAATAGTTTGCAAGGCAGTTGGCGAGTTGGGAAAGCCAGTGGGTCTACTATTATGATGGTATGTCTACATGTGAAAGGAAAAAGAGGAATAGGGCACAATTAGAGGGGGCAAAAGCCTCCAATGGCACCCATTTGTCTTCTAAACTAATGATGTAAGCTAACACCTTACTGAGCCATTTTGTCAATATTTGACCTACAAGCAGCAATTTCATATTGTTCAAACTAATAGCACTTACCATTTGCCAAGCACTATTTTAAATCCTTTACACATATCAACTTATTTAATGTTCATTGCAGTCCCATGAGGAAATTATGCCTTCAACCTGATTTTATAGATGAAGAAAGAAAGCCATGAAGAGGTTAGGAAATTTGCTAAAGGCTTTAGAAGAGCTAGATGAACTCAATCTACAGTTTTAAACCAGAATCCACACTTTTAAACCACCATAGTCTATGGCTTCACCCTAAATCATACTCCCAATCTGGCATTCTTTATGTGTCCTCATTTATAAAATGGTTGTAGGAGTTATAGGAGTAATACATGTAATAATACCCCGAAAATATGTGATTGTATGGTTGGCACTTTGCATGAAAGTGTGCAATGAATATTAGCTGTTATAATTAAACTCCACCCATCACTGTAGCTCCATCTTCCACTAAAACTTATGCCCACAACTACTTTGTTCTTGTCTTAAAACTAGCCAAATTGACTAACTCATCATAGCTTGAAACACCTCACACTCTACCACATCTTTCTGTGTTGAAACTATGCCCATTTTCTAGTCCTTAACCATGACCTTTCCTGGTCTCAGTGACAATGGGTGATCAAAAATTCAGTGCATTACCTTAGCTGGGGTAGCTCAATTGATTAGATCATTGTCCGGATACTCCAAGGTTGTCGGATTGATCCCCAGTCAGGGCACATACAAGAATAAACCAATAAATGCATAAATAAGTAGAACAATAAATCTCTCTCTCTCTTCTTCTCTCTCTAAAATCAATTTTAAAAAACCACTCTTGTGCATATCAGTTAGCTCTGTTCATGTGACACTAGAAATTTGAAACTTGCCCTTTGTTATAATTCCTTTTGTGTTTATATCGTGTATGAATTCATTAGTGATCTGGTCTTATCATATTCATGTTAGTCTCTGCAGCACCAAGCCCAGCATATTAAACGCAATAGTAACGTAACAAATATTTATTGGATTTAACTTGCTAATGTATGTAAACATGCTAAAAACACTAGAGTGAGGAAAATGATTTGAAATCAAGAGCACAACAGTGAGAATTACATTTTTTTCTGACTAAAAATAATTCAGTTATTTAGTAAGCAGTAATACATTTCTGTTTTTTATTACATTAAAAGTTTTGGGAAAGTAAAAAGTCCATGATAAGTTCTTTCTGTCATTTCTGCCAGGATTTATGGGAAGATTTTACAAATTATCACTGAATGCTGAATTTAATTTAAATATATTAGGACCTTTTCCAGTGTCTGCATCATATGTATAGGGTAAGATGAAAGGCAAAATAGTGATGAAGAAAACTTTATTATAAAGCACGTTGCATTCAATTCTTCAATAGTAATTTTTAGAAGTGGTATAGACAGAAACTCAGGTTGTATTTGGGGTTTTTTTACTCTAAAAACCCAGCACCCAGTTCACAGTGGGGGTGGCAGCCCATTACACCTACCTAAGGATTTTCAAAGACCCCTTAACTTCATATTTCTGTTGCTGCTTCTAAGAAGTGAAAGCTTGTGGGGAAAGGGAGAATGAAAGTGGGCTGTAAGGGGGTTACAATGAGCAGATTTCTCTGCTGAGTAGAAAGGAAGGACCCAGTGTAGACTGGCTAGTGTTCTTGAGCAACATTGTAAACAGCTGAAAAATAACTTGATTCTTGTGTTATTTTGAATGTTAGACGTGGGTTTCATTTTTTCATGAAAAACAAAATGCAGGTCCCAGCAAACATCCTGCATTGATACTTTCTCGAATCATTTAGCCTCCCAAGAGAGACTGGCATTTTTCTATCAGTTTGGACTCCTAAGGAAAAAAGCAAATAAGCACATCCATGAGAAAGGGAAAAACAAACAGCAAACAAACAAAAACCACATAAACAGCTCTGACCCCCTTATAGAAAATCTTAAGACTTCCCTATTGCATGCCTGAGATCTGCTCTGAGTCCCTGCTTCTCAATGTCTTAGAACCGCTAGGATTTAATTAACTGTAATGCTTCCCCCACTGTTAGGACTTCAGATTTGTAATAAACATTTTCTGCCTCCTCACAAAAGTATGAGATGATTTTGTGGCAGGGCAACATCAGCTTCTCACTGAATTTTAGAACTGCTCTAGGGTTATTTCATGCTAAATCATCACATAGTCAAGTACAGAAATTCAAGAGGAAAAAACTACTAAAATAGATCAGAGCATCTCTACCTCCTTCATGTATATTGCTGTAGACCTCTATATAAATACCAGCAGTTCCCCCAATTTTTATGTCTAGTCATTATTCAAAAAAAAAAAATCATTTGTGAAAGCCCAGATAGATACATAAAAGTGAGATCCTTAGCAAAATGGGATGGGAGCCCAGAACTCCACTGCTAAGATATGCACGCACACACACACATGCACACACACACACACACGTACACGCACAACCACACACACACACACACACACACACACACACCCTGGGGGATAGATGATGTACACTCCTAAGAGCCCCTAGGATCCTGTGGAAAATGGCTAGAAGTCTATTAATTTAGTCTTCCTTCCTATCCTCAAACAGTACCACACCTAAGTTATCCAAAGAGAGTGGAATCTATTTAAGCTCATTTTTAAAAATACCTCTGGATATAAGTATCATCATTTCTTTCGTAAGCTATGACTTTTAAAACCAATCTTCATAAGAAATTTTCCCATAAGCAACCTCAAGATTCTCATATTTAATCTTGTTCATTTTTTCTGTATCTGACAATAGTACAGAACTCATATTTCTCCACATCAGTCCTTCCTCACCTTATTTATTCCATAGTTTCTTGGTAAGTTTCTAATTTGTTATAATAACAAATGCTGGGGTGGGGTGGGGTAGTTTTTGGTAAAGATAAGGAAGAAGGAAAGCATTGGAGAACACTACTATAAAATGAAGAATGCCCTGAATAAGACAAGAAGTGATAACTCCACATCCTGAGGTAAGGCCCAAGCAAGGTTTTTATTTTTATTTTCTTTCAAGCAAGATTTTTAAATACAAAACATGGACTTATCTAATGGAATGTAGATAACAGAGAAGAGAAAGAGGAAAGATCTTCCTTATGCTGAGACCACATCAGCCACTCTGATTTCCCATGATCCTGGACACCTTTAGCAGACTGCTAGCATGTCACCCATCCTAAGACTTTGGGATAAACTTTACCAGTTTATTTCTCCATATCCTTTGGGACATGCTTTTCAATCCCTTTTCCATTCTAGATGCTCTTTGGACATAATTTGTCCATCTCCTTTTAAAATGTGTTGTCTCTCATCTCTTCCAACATTCCAGTTCAGTAACAGTTAAAATATACCAAAAAAATAAACAAATAAAAGAATGAAGCTCTATCAATGCTTTAAAAATCTCACATCAATGTAAGAGATATTGATAAACTTCTGGGAAACAAACAGAGAGCCTTTGGTATGACATTGACTGATGTCCCAAGGGCAGAGGTAGGAGCCCAGAAGAGGAACATGACGCGGTGTACCAGCACTAAGACCAGAGTCATTGATTCCAGCTGCTTTGGTTCTTGTCTGTGCCTAGACTAGATTCCTGAAGCCACAGCCATCCTTTCAGTAAATAATTTTTACTTAGGTGGGTTAGAATTTGACCCTATTATTTACAACTAATGAATCCCAACTGACATAGCATCAAAAATATTGTGCAAATATATGGACAAAATGATATTTAAAAATACAAGGACCCAGAAAATTTATCTCCCATGTGATCATTTGAAAAAAAAAAATACACACACACACACACACACGAATGTAACCCATCAAAACTTAAAAGTATCCAAGAAAAAAGAAAAAAAAACACAACTGGGATTTTAGAAATCATCAGATTTACCCAGGATTACACTGAAAAAAAAAAAAAAAAAAAAAAAAACTCCATGTAGACAGCCATGAATCAGTCTCCGAAATAACTAGATTCAAACTGAAAGACTAAGTCAGAGGACTTTGTGAAATGTAGCTTTAGGTGATAGAATATCCTATTATGAAAACTGTCCGATTAAGAACCTGAAATAGCCCTGGTCAGTTTGGCTCAGCAATTAGAGCGTCGACCTGCAGTCCAGAGAGACCCGGGTTCCCACTAAGGGCACATACCTCAGTTGCTGTTTGTCCCCAGCCCTGGTTGGGTCGTGCGGAAGGCAGCCACTCAATGTGTCCCTTTCATGTCGATATTTCTCTCTCTCTCTCTCTCCCTCTCTCTCCTCCCACTCTATCTGAACAAAAAATGGAAAAATGACTTTGGGTGAGGATATAAAAAATATATATTTTCAAAAAAAGAAAAAGGAAGACAATTAGAAACTCTCAAAAAAGAAGGATATACTAGAAAAAATCACAGTCCAAATATGCAAACTAAATAAATGTGGCATGATTTTCAGCAGTTGACAGTAGATAAGAAAAGAAAGTTTATTTAATCTCTACACCTTTTAGAGGACACAGGATAAGTCATTAACCTATTGGTCAATTTATTCATGGAACTGCTGTAAATAATATTTCAAGTAAACATACTACTGAATATACTATTTAATGGTTTCCTGTTTTGGGCATTAACCTATTAACACAATATATACAAAGCTGGCCACATAAATCCTGACAACATAGAAGTAATAGTAGAGTTTTAGAAGGGAAAGCTGGCAAAGAAATCATAGACATGCTAATTATGTTTTAAAGGCTGACTTAAGTTGAGAAACCAGTAAATAAAACATAACCAATATAAGAACCAAAACTGCATTAAAAAATAATTGAGAGTCTGCAGGAAGAGTTGTTGAAGATAGTGTAAGTGCACTATATTCTTTAATGATAGTAATATTTTAAGAAAATATTAAAGTGATGATGATAATCACTTGGAAAATTAAAAGTAAAAATTTAAAATTGGTTACCACCTTGGTCCGTATGGTTCAGTGGTAAAAGCGCTGCCCGCGGACCAAAGAGTCCTGGGATCGATTCTGGCCAAGGGCATGTACCTTGGTTGCAGTTCATCCCCGGCCCCAGTTGGGGCTGTGCAGGTGGTAACCAATCGATGTGTCTCTCTCACATGGATGTTTCTCTCTAATCCTCCCTCTCTCCTTCCAGCTCTATCTGAAGATTAATGTAAAAGTATCCTCGGGTGAGAATTAAAAAACTAACTAAATAAATAAAATTTGTTGCCTTTTGGGAATGGAAAATGTACCCTGCTCTTCTGTTTGAACTTTTATCATGTTCGTGTATTGTTTACATAATTTTTAAAACTTGTGTAAAGTATCCTAAGAAACTAAACATAATAACGCAAGATGACCTGATCCGTATAGGATGGAATTATCACATTCCTTAATCTGATACTTGTATTTTTCTTCAGAAATGCATCCCAAGATTGCAGTTATTTCAGGAGTAGACCTATCAAGTGGTTAAGCATAGATTACTTAAACCAACAGGTCTTTCCATATGAATTTGTGTTATGTCACACCTAAAAGCAGAACTTCATTTTGTTTTGTTAAATTTCATTTCAATCTGTCCAAATGTCTTCTAATTCATGTTAACTTTCTTCTATCTCTCAATTGCTAGATAAATATCTCAGGAGATAATTACCACTCCCCACTGAACTGGAAGAGATAATTTCCTCCTCGAACCTGCTAATGTCTACAATCCATGTTATTTCATGAAATGTGAGATGCCTTTTCTTTGGATAATCCAGATTTATCCTTTACAGTTGAGTTTCTTATTTTATTTCTTCCTTATGGTTCATTCTTACTCTTGCCAACATCCCAACATTGATTTTGGTTCACTTTTTTTCTCTTTAGAAATGTTCTTTATTCTGGCTTACTTCTCAAAATATGGCTTTCATCTTGCCTAAAAATGCTTCATCCTCCCAATAGCCATAGCTAGAAAGGCAGTTTTCAAACCTGCTTGCTTTCTCATTTAACAGGCAGAACAGGTTTCCATAACTATTACAATCTCAGGGGAAAAAAATGCAGGTAGATCCCTGGAGCAGTTAGTCTTTTAACCTGACTTGGAACATCTACAGACCAATAATTGGCTGAGTCTCTTTGCTCTGGGATCGTGAACCCATGGAGACTCCCAAAGCCACTAGGTAGTATCCCTTTACACTGAAGTCAAACCTAGACCCCTTCCACAAGCAATAGCACAAAGACTTACACAAGTTATTGACAATAAGATTCCAAAATATTTTGATTATCTAGTCCCACATTTTTTCTAAGCCTATTTCTTCACTATAAAGTTATTTTATTTTATTTTTTATCCTCACCAGAGGACATTTTTTGCATTTATCTTCAGATAGAGCAGGAGGGAGAAAGAGAGAGAGATAAAAACATCAACGTGAGAGAGACACATCGAGTGGTTGCCACCACATGACCCCAGCTGGGGCCAGGGACAAACTGCAACTGAGGTACGTGCCCTTAGCGGGAACCGAACCCAGGCCTCTCTGGTCCGTAGGCCGATGCTCTAACTGCTAAGCCAAACAGCTCAGGGCTATAAAGTTATTTTTTAATATTCTAGCCTACTCTTTATTTTTAATATCCCAATATTCTTTCACTCTTTTTCATAAATCTGTTTTTCCAGTTGTTTTATTATTTCTGTTGCTGTCCTTCATTCCAACTTCTCACATATGAGAATACTGGGAGGAGGCAGGGAAACAGTTTATTATTCTCTGTTTTCACCTTAAAAAGCAGTTCTTAAAGTGGTCTCCAAACCAGCGGCATCAGCAGCACCTGGGAACTGGAAATGCAAATTATCAGACCCCACCCCAGACCTGCTGAGTCAGAGACCCTGAGGATGAAAACAATGACTTTGTTATCGAAAGCCCTATAAGTGATTCTGATGCACACTCATATTTCACAATCACTACCCTGAAAAAACCATACAAAAGTAAACTTGACCAAACTTTAGAGATGAGGCATAATTACCTATAATAAGCATTTCTATCTGAAGAAATAATTCTAACACATTTTAATTAACATGATATATTTTTCAGATAACTTCTATTATCTCCTGAAGTTTGAGAAGAAACCCAAAAATAAAATAGAAAAGGAAGGGGAGAGAAAGGAAAAAGATTTGGGCTCTTCAACCATTTAGTTGAAGATTGCTATTAGGCAAAAAGTGTGGGGGAAAGCACACAAAAATCTTTCTAGCATGCTATTGATGAAATAGAGCAAGCAGTATTCTCACTCAAGAGCAAGAATACTTCAAGAAAACTTTCTTGGCAATTCCCAGACACATGCCCTTCTGCAAAAGTGTTTATTTGTGTGGCTATGGGGTTGACACTCAAGTAGAGACATGTCTTCTGAATGCTTTACAAAAAAAGTAAAAGGCTTTAAAATAAATTATAGTATAGGTGATTGTTTTCATTTTATGTGTCAGCTAATCTGGGAGTCAACAAATTTTTTTTCTGTAAACAGCCCAATAATAAATATTGGGAGCTTTGCAGTTAATACAGTCTCTGTCACAACTTAATTCTGCAACTACTCAATTCTATTGTTGTAGACAGAAAGCAGTGGAAGACATTAGGTAAATAAATGGGCATGCTGTGTCCCAATAGAACTGCATTTACATAAATGGGAAGTGAAACCAATTTAGCCTGGGAGCTGTAATTTGCCTGCTCTTTACTAGACTATAGATATATGACTTTTAATATAATGCACATGTACAATGTAGCTGAATAGGTAGAAAAGAGCCAGTGAAGGTAATTAAGGCATTCATGAAAATTGTTACCTATAAAAACATTTTCCTGGGCCATTGCTCAACTTAGCCCTAGTCCTAACTAGTCCCGGTCTGTTTTGACTTAAAGGGTGCTTTATTAATTTTCTTAACTTTATCCTTGCATTTCTCTACTTAGATGTTATTAGCTACTATATCAGAGTTTCTGCTCCTCAAGTCATATCCCTGAGAGGTCAGTCTGATCCAACTCTTCTTTAATTTACATGAATATTCTTTAAAATTTAGGTCACACTTTTCTATCTTATGAAAAATATTTACTTGTTAAACATATGTAAGTAGATTAATTACAGAAAGTAGTCTACTGGTAGTCAGTTCAGTGTGTATGCACAGATAGATACTCTTTTCTGGCCATTTTTCTTTCTTCTGTCTATTCTTCAACATCTAATCTAGTGATCTGGCTACTGAGAAAAGAAAATTCTATGTTCCCTAGTTAAGCCCCAAATTACATTTGGTGACTCTTCCTGATTATGTCCTTGAAAATTTCTAAAACAAAACTACAGTTTGCTCAGACATGTCTTTAAACTTATTTCTTTAAAAATTTCTCTGTGTTTCTAAGGACACTATTTCTTTACAATTACCAAAGCTTCAATTAATTCTTCTTCCTTTCACCCCCCCATCCTCAACATCCGCAGTACACCTGGTGGTATGACTCTTGTATTCATCTCTGATCATGTTTAACACTCCTAGTTTCCTCAAATAAATATAAATATCAACATATTCTAAACCCAAATGTAATCAATTACACCAATCGATCTAGACCAGCAATTTTCAGCCAGTGTGTGGCAAGAATTTTTAAAATATGCAATACCTGACTATTTAGTCAGGTGCACTGAACTCTTTTCCCTTAGAATGTCAAATTAAAAAATGACAACAGCCAACACAACAATAGTCGTCAAGTGTGAATGCCTTCTCTTGAACCATAAATACATAAGTCAAATAATAGGGTAGCATCTCATTGTTCATGTAGCTCAGTATGGTTGTGTCTGATTGGTTAATTCGAGGCACCAGGAATCCTTATATACAAATATAGGCTATTGATTTTTTTTTTTTATCCTCACCCGAGGACATTTTTCCATTTCTTGTTCAGATAGAGCGGGAGGAAGAGAGAGAGAGAGAAACATCGATGTGAAGGGACACATCGAGTGGCTGCCACCCGCACGACCAACCAGGGTCCGGGACAAACTGCAACCGAGGTACGTGCCCTTAGCGGGAACCGAATCCGGGTCTCTCTGTACCACAGGCCGATGCTCCAACCGCTGAGCCAAACCGGCCAGGGCAGCTATTGATTTTTTTTAAGTCACTTTGGCGCAAAAGGCATAAGTAATTACTATTATTACTTTTTGGAAATCAATCATAATTATACCTATTTTTTGTCACATTGGCAAAAAATACATTGTTTGGTGTGCTGCAGAATTTTAGTAATTATTTTATGTGTGCCATGAGTTGGAAAAGGTTGAAAATAAATCACTGATCTAAACTGTTATTTTGTCCTAATCCATTCCAGATCGAAGTGGAGACAATAGCTTTTTTTAACTTTAATAAGTCCTAGGAATGCTAGGAGAATAGACAAGGAAACAGGCATACAGTACCTCTTCTTGGAAACACGTTTCACGGTTGTCTGATCGGCAGCATGTCTGCACCAGGTGAGTAAAATTCACAATAAGGGGTTGGAACTGCGTTTCTGTTGCATATGGTTTCTGCTTCACAAGGTTGCAGAGGAGCCTGAATCAGAAATGAGTGGCAAAAATTAAAGTACTCCTGAGTTGTAGAAGGCCAGCTTGCAAACTCGCCTTGCTTATTTGAAGCTACACACCACCCATGCCTTTTCATCACTCCCGCTGCTAAGTTGAAAGGCCCTCAAAATCCCCATAGTTTTCACAATGTCCATCTATAGCTTCATGTTATATTTAACACTATTTTCTTCAAGCTCATCTCTTCAATATAATTACTATATTAAATTTAATTATTTTTATATAATTATTACTAGGGTAAACAATTCTGTTTCCGCCCTGGCCTGTTTGGCTCAGCGGTTAGAGCGTCGGCCTGCGGTCCGGAGAGACCCGGGTTCGGTTCCCGCTTAGGGCATGTACCTTGGTTGCAGTTTGTCGGCCCTAGTCGGTTGTGCGGGTGGCAGCCACTCGATGTGTTCCTTTCACATCGATGTTTCTCTCTCTCTCTCTCTGTTCCTCTCTCTCTCTCCCACTCTACCTGAACAAAAAAATGGAAAAATGTCCTCGCATGAGGATAAAAAAACAAAACAAAACAATTCTGTTTCCTATTTTCCATTGCATTGGATAATAAATGTTATATAGTAAATTAAATAGATTTTTCCTATTACACTTATTATGAACATTTATTCTAAGCAACTAGCTTCCAAATAAACATTACAAGTATACCATACCTGGAAGTTGAGGGCCCCTCAGATGTTATTAATTTTAAAGCCAATAAACTAATTTGAAACTTCCATGGCTTCACAATCATCACAGATTTCTCTCACACAGCATGTGTTTCCACAACCACTAGATAAACAAGAGTCTCAACCACTTTGAATATTTAAAATTGTAACCTATGTTCTGCCTATTTAATAAAATAGTATTCCAAATTGTCCTATGTTATCTTTCCCTTTTTGTACTGTTCTAAACCAAGAGAGATTTAACCACAAAGAAAACAAGGCATGAAAGGTAGGGGAAATGTACATTAATCGGTATTTTACTGCTTACCTAAACATTCATGACACCCCAAAACAATTACAATAGTAACATCAAAGATCACTGAGAGTGCCAAATCCTAACCACTAGACAACCCATCAGAAATAGAAACTAAGAAAATAATCTCATTTACAATTGTATCAAAAACAAATAAAATACCTAGGAATAAATCTAACTATGTTGGTAAAAAGAACTGTACTCATAAAACTATAAGACATTGAAGAAAGAAACTGAAGAAGATACAAATACATGGAAGCATGTACTGTGATCATGTATAGGAAGAATTAACATCACTAAAATGTCCATATTACCCAAAACCATCTACAGAGTCTAGCAATTCCTATCAAGATACCAATGGCATTTTTCACAGAATTAAAACATATAATTCAAAAATTTATATGGAACACAAAACATCCCAAATAGCCACAGCAATCTTGAGAAAGAAGAACAAAGTGGGAGGTATCATCTTACACTATACCAACTATACTACAAGGCTATAGTAATTAGAACAGCATGGTTCAAATATATAAAACAGACATATAAATCAATAGAACAGGATAGAGAGCCCAGAATTACTCTTATGCCTATATGGTCATTTAATATTGGACAAAGAAGACAAGAACATACAATAGGATAAAGACAGTTTATTCAATAAATAGTGTGAGAAAAAATGAACATATACATGCAAAAATTTAAAACTAGGCCACCTTCTTACATTATATACAATGCACTCGAAATGGATTAAAACTTAAATGTAAGACTTCAAACCATGAAAGTCTCAGAGAAAAACATAGGCAGTAAAATGTCTGACATTTCCCTTAGCAATATTATTTGTGAAATTGCCTTAAGCAAGGGAAAATAAATTTTTTTAAAAAGTAAACACATTGAACTGTACCAAACTAAAAAGTTTTTGCACAGCAAAGGAAACCATAAACAAAATGAAAAGACAGCCTACTAATTGGAAGAAGACATTTGCCAATGGCACATCTCATAAGGGTGTTAATAATCCAAAATTTATAAAACTCAGACAACTCAACACCAAAATAACAAACAATCCAATTAAAAAGTGGATTTAGACACTTTTCCAAACAGGATATACAGATGATCAATAGATATATAAAAATATGCTCAACATTTGTAATTATCAGAGAAATACAAATTAAAATTACAATAGGATATTGCCTCACACCTGTTAGAATGAATGTCATCAATAAATCAACAAACAAGTGTTGGCAAGGATGTAGAAAAAGGGAATCCTCATATCCTGTTGATGGGAATGCAACCTGGTACAGCCACTATGGAAAACAGTAAGGATTTTTTTTTTATAATTAATAATGGACTGCCTTATGACCCAGAGATACCATTTCTGGGTATATTCCAAAAGTAGTCCAAAATACTAATTTGAAAAAAAAATGTGTGTTCCTCTATGTTCATTGCAGTTATTTACAACAGTGAAGCTATGAAAGCAACCCTCATGCCCATCAGAGACTAGTAGATAAAAAATAGTGGTACATACATACAAGGGAATATTACTTGGCCATAAACAAGAATGAAATCTTACTATTTGCGACATCATGGATGGACCTAGAGGGTATTATGGTAAGTGGAAAAAGACAGAGAAAGGCAAATACCATATGATTTTACTTATATGTGGAATCTAAAGAAGAAAATAAACAAACAAAATTAAAACACACTCACAGACACAGAGATCAGACTTGTGGTTGTCAGAGTGCAGGCGGTTGAGGGACTGGGTGAAAAAGGTGACAGGATTGAGAAGTACAAGTTGGAAGCTACAAAATAGTAATGGGGACATACAGTACAGCACAGTAAATATATTCAATAATATTGTACTATGTGTGGGGCCAGGTGGGTGCTGGAAATATTGGTGAATCACTTTGTAAATTAAATAATTATCTAACCACTATGCTGTACATCTGAAACTAATAAAGTTAATATTGACTATGAACTGTAATCAAAGATTAAAAGTTAAAGTTATTTTTTAAGAAGAAAGAAAAGTTACCTACTTATAACTAAAGAATTATCTTAAGTATAATTTTATAAAATAATAAAGCGATCTATTGATGTAGCGTGTCAGCGAGCTAACCAGAGACGACAGCTGAATTGTAAAGGAACACTTCATTACACCAGTGGGCTGGCTGGGTGCAGCTTCCCCAAATCCTCAGCAGGGATTCTTCTTGCTCCTCTGATTTTAAAGACAGAAGCTCAATCCCCCTTTTGCCCCCCACAGGGAACCAGTAAAATAGTGGGTGTGACAGTGATTACAGAAATCAAAATTAGCATTATTCACCGTGCTCGCAAGGACCTGCAAATGCCTGCAAATACCACTACTAGGAAACTGCAAATGCCTCCCAACACGTAGGGCAACTATAATCTTAGGCAAAATTCCTTTACTTCTAGGGGTAATTAATCTATTATTGGAAAAATATCGAGGAAAGTCCACTGATGATAAAAATGGGATCTAGTCACCTTAGCCTCGGGGCCCAGGTCACTATTAAGCATGGGAAAAATAAAGTCACAAGCCAAACATTCAAGAACTCCAATTATCTACAGGCACTAAATAATTAAAATGCCATATTCTTAAAAAGAAAGGCAGGCCCTGGCCAGTTTGGCTCAGCGGTTGGAGCGTTGGCCTGAGGTCCGGAGAGACCCGGGTTCGGTTCCCTCTAAGGGCATGTGCCTCGGTTGCAGTTTGTCCCCGGCCCTGGTTGGTCGTGTGGGTGGCTGCCACTCGATGTGTCCCTTTCACATCGATGTTTCTCTCTCTCTCTCTCTCCCTCCTGCTCTATCTGAACAAAGAATGAAAAGGTGTCCTCGGGTGAGGATAAAAAAAAAAAAAAAAAAAAGGCAGAAGGTCTGAGACTGAGACTCAGAGCAGGGGTGTCAGGATGTCATGTTAGCTCTCCTCGGCGCTCCAGACGAAAGGACTGCCATATCTACAGCTGGGGACTGGGCCACTTGGAGGCTAGACCACCCCCGACAACTATGTCATACTTGTCATAAGCTTGCAGTTGATTTACCTCTCCTGCCCTTTCTAGCCCTTCCCCACTCCAATCTCTCTACCTGCCAATCAGACTGCTTTTATTTAAAACTATTTCCTCTCATCCTTTCTATTCTTTCAGTTGAACATTTGTAAATTCACCTTTTTAAATCTTATATGTTATTCTTAATTCTCAGTGCCATCAACTTGTTTTCAGTTGTTCATTTCTATGGTATTAATCATTTATTTTCATTAAATCTTACACCATTTTATTTAACGCACATTCTAGACTTCATATACTATCTTAAGTCTCTGCACATTCCAACTCAATATTTTTCATCATTGGGTATGAAATTCTCATACTTTGAACTCCTATGTCCTTTTTATTTTCTCCATCTTATTCCACGACTTCAACTTCTATTTTCCCTTCATTATCCTGCTGAATATTCTCTCTCCCTCCATGAGCCCCTTCACTCGTTTTTGGTTTGTTCATTTGTGTTAGCGTGTGTGTGTGTGTGTGGTGTATTTATGCTGTGATGACCAGCCAGAATTATATAGGGGTGAACGCTATGGTGAGAGTCCTTGACCCTAAACCAGGAAGTTGAAGTTTTTCCAGCCTGGCCTTTGACTCCCAATAGGGATCTACCCAGAATATTCCAGAAATCCCCACAGTAACTTTCTCTATGTGACTATACAGAGAACACAATGAATTCCCTGAAACAGGGATGTTTCCTAATGTTTCACATTTCTTATTATCTAGCCCTTGTATGAAGAGCTCCATGTCCTACAAAAAAAAAAAAATGACCAGTATTGTAACCATGTGGTTAGGGCACACTAGCAGTTAGATGTTGTCAGTTAATCATATGCTCTTGGAACCAGACTGCTTGGGTGCAAATTCCACCTCAACAACCTAGCTACCTAGCAGATTTCATACCAGGCCTTCTAACCTTCACAGCCTCAGAGAGGGAACAAGGAGGACCAGGGCCTCTTTTGTCCTGAGGACAGGACTGGGGGTATGAGAGAAGGGCAAGAAGCACGGTGGGCACTATGAGGGAACCGCCCCACGGTCCGAGATTGGAGGACATTCAATGTATCCTGCTGACTCAGAGAAACCAGAATTTTACCCTTTGCCTTTTCCTAGAATAGTCACCTTTTATTGACACCAAATGGGTCTCTAATATCACATCCATCAGTAGAATTCATTCCAAGGGAAAATGACTGGACCATGGGTGTATTTTGGCTCTAGGCCAAATGGAGTGAAGGGAATGGAGTGAAGAGATGGATGATTGAGGCCACTAAGAAGGACATTCTTTGTCTGCAACAGCAAAAACGTTACTCTTTTCTAAGACCTGATAGTAAGTGCTCCATTTCATCTGTCCATGTGGATGGGATAGGGAGAATCAGGGGAAATGTCAGCCACCTGTGAGCTCTCAATCACTTATGCACTCAGTAGCCAAGGGCAAGATCAGCTGCCCTGGGGTTGTGCGCTGCATGAGCTACTCCCAAGGCCAGTCTGGTCATGCCTCACCCACCCAGTCACAGTCAGAAGTCCAAGTCAGATCATCTGTCATCATATTGATGTTTCTACGTCCCTAGTCTGACCCACCTCCTGCTCTCCTGGTTCTCTCTAACTCAACCTCTGTCGCCTTTGTAACCTGAGGCTTTCTCAGCAGGAAACTGTTATACATCCACAGCCTCTTTTCTTAACTTCTCCTTCTTGCTCTATAAGAAAATGTGGCTCCTTAGAGGATACAGCTTCCCTAAGACCTCTCAAGAGGAAGCTATTTTTACTTGAACTCCACTTACCTAGTTCTCTTTTACTGCTTCCAACACTTCTCTCCTACGTCCTCTTTTAAAAGCCATAGTTCCTTCAAAGTACACGTCATCAAACTCTAACATCCCCCATCCCTATTTATTCCTGTCACACATAAGAAACTTGGTCATGCCCCCTCATTTTTGATGGCCTCAGGCCCAGTTAATTGCCTCACTTTTCGTCATATCTTGACATTCATCATTGTCTGTAGTTTCAACAACTGCATTAATGATTTACCCATGGCAAATTAGTAACAAAAATGAACCCAAGTGTTCACCTTTCTCTGTATCCATGTCCTTTACAATGTGACTTTCTGATCCTTTCTATTTGTCCCATAAGTAAAGTGTATTCCCACACCCCTGTAATCTGGTCTGGCCTATGACCTGCCTTACAGCGAAACTGGCATTGCATGATTCCAAACCTGGGCCTAGGGAGGCCTCCACGCTTACCCTTCTTTCCCAGGCACCATGTGAAAAGCCTGGGTTAGCTCTCTGGAGAAGACCATGTGCAGCAGAGACAAGCTATCCTAGTTGAGGCTGCTAGCACCCCGCTGATACAGCAGCTGACCATAGACGACTGAGCAAGCTCCATTGAAAATGACTAAAGCTGGCCCAGGTTAACAGAGTCATCCAGTTAACTCATAGAAGCTTTAGCAATAATAATTGATGCTGTGTCAAGCCACTACATGTTGGTATGATTTATTTAGCAGCAAGCTAATGCATGAGGAAAGAACAGAGAAAAAGAGATTTGAAAATGTGCAGCAATAGCAGGAGGGCAAGAGGATGGACAAACATGGTGAAATGACGAAGCGGTCCAATAGATGCTTTGAAAGCAACAGTAGAAAACAGCACTGGATGGAGTCCTATTGCTGATTTTATGCAGAAACACTCTTCACATAGAATCCACATTGGAAACCCTGATCAAATGTAAAGACATTGTATTCTGCTAGCAACATTTCTGATCAATGGGCTTCAGTATCGGTACCAGCCACTACATCAGAACAGCACTTTGTATATTGATAAAATTTTATAATTTATATATGTTTTTTTGTATACACTATATATGTTTATATCATATACATAATGTACACACACACACACATTTCCATGGTCATATGTAAGTTTAGAAAGCTTTGCACACCATCTCTCTTTCCTCATCCTGGAAGTCCATCTTCAGATTAAGAATATAACAACCTTGCCCTGGCTGGTTTGGTTCAGCAGTTAGAGCATTAGCCTGCGGTCCAGAGAGACCTGGGTTTGGTTCCCACTAAGGGCACATACCTCGGTTGCAGTTTGTCCCCGGCCCTGGTTGGTCATGCGGGTTTCTCTCTCTCTCTCTCTTCCTCTCTCTCCTTCCCACTCTATCTGAACAAAAAATGTCCTTGGGTGAGGATATTAAAAAAAAAAAAAAGAAGAAGAAGAATATAACAACCCTGCCCTGGCCGGTGTGGCTCAGTTAGTTGAGCATGGCCCCATGTACCAAGAGGCCACTGGTTTGATTCTCAGTCAGGGCACATGTTCAGGGTGCAGGCATGATCCCCAGTAGAGGGTGTGCAGGAGGCAGCCAATTTGTGGTTCTCTGTCATCACTGTTTCTCTCTCTCTCCCTCTCCCTTTCTCTCTCTCTCTAAAAAAAAATATATATATATATATATATATTAACAACCCTACCTCATCCTCAGTTGGTAATCAAATAATAGGGATCTAGCTGTACTCAGCAACACAGAAAATCAGTAAAGTATTTCTCTCTGTAGTTTCAGAAGTAGAAATTTGGTTGGAAGTGATAAGGAAACAGATTTCTATTTAATAAAAAATGATGAGATTTTAAGTTAAGCATATCTAAAGATCAATAGGCTGCTTTAAGCAAATTATCTTCCTGTCACTGGAAATATTCATGGAGGAATGCACAATGTGTTTTAGAAGGATTTCCTAATCTTGGGGCATGGGCAATGAAAGTTTCCTTCCATTTTCAGTATTCTTTGGTATTATCACATGTTCACAGATAAGATATATATGGCATTTAAATATTTATTTCCAGTATTGTGAGTTTCTGGCGATATCCTATTCTCCTATATTCTGAGAAGTTATAACAAAGCCTTATCTAGTGTGAAAACCTGCATTATAGGGGGTGGGGAAGTGGGAGGAGAAGGCAATTAAGAATTTAAGGAGTTGAATTCACAGGCATTATTACATTATCACCCAGCTGCCACCCACTAGTAATTATCCAAAAACCATTCTTCCAAACACATGTAACAGCCATTCCTAGTTACAGTAGTAGACGCGATAGTGAAAATAATGGCATGCTATAAAGTGATACACATCACTCTAGTGGAATGTTCCAAAGCACATTCCCAGTGTGCTGATCCTGACAAATCTTACTAGTTTCTATGGCCCAGATGACGCTAAATTAGAACAAGCTACATAGATTATTGCAGAACTTCCCCAACTTCCATTGTTAGTGGAAGGTATAAATTTCTGAGAAGAGCAAGGAACTATAGTATTCCCAAACTCATTTGATCATGGAACCCTATTCTGTATGAGACCTCTTGTAAAACTAACATCTGAAGTTCACATTTTAGTAAAAACACATTAATGTACTTCTATGTCAATAGTTTCTGATTAGCAGACTTCAATCTTATTAATTGATCAAGTTGGGGTACCACCCATGATAGCCACAATTGCAAAATTGCATAACATTCTCAGTTCTATTTGACCTTCAATATAACATTTAGCTGCTCCATTCATTATGCAGTATTTAGATCTGTGCCCACTTTATGGTTCTCTGTACCTTGTCTTCCCTTTCCTATCATCCTCAAGTGGAGTTGGCAGTAAAGAACAAACTCAACAAAGATTCTTACTTTTGCTTTTCAGTTTGAATTTCCTCCTCCTGAGCTTTGCACAAGTCCTCTTTAAGACTGATAACTTGATCACAGGATAAAGGCAGAGAAATGTATGTTCCATCGACTTGCAGATCATCAAAGCATAGCTTCCTGAAGGCATAAGAGTCATCACAACAGTGACCCATGCCAGCATTGATAGGCTGTGTGTCATGTCTTCTGCACAAAGCTCCAAGAATTAGCTTAGCCTTTCCCAGAAGAGAATTAAAATAAGAGTGATTAGGTTTGTGGTCATTATTTTCTCACTCAGAGAAAATAAGATTATATTTAAGTATTCTCAAATGCTAGTTTCTGTTAGTTTAGCCTGCATTTCACTGTTCAGGAAAAAGAAAGCATACCAGGTGCAGCCTGGTTCTGAGACTTGTCTTCCCTTTCCTATCATCCTCAAGTGGAGTTCACCCTATATATCTCTTCATATGGCTGTTCATCTATATCCTTTAATCAACTGGTAAACATAAGTAAGTGTTTCCCTGAGTTCTGTGAGTCACTCTAGCAAATGAATCCAACCCTCGAAGGGAGTTGAAGGAACCTCTGCTGTATAGCTAAATCAGTCAGAAGCACCGGTAACAACCTACAGTTGCAATTGTTATCCGAAGTGGGTAGGGGGCGATCATATAGAACTGAGCCCTTAACCTGTGGGATCTGATGCTATCTCCAGGTAGATAGTGTCAGGATTTACTTAAATTGTAGGCTACTCAGCTGTTGTCCCAGACCAATTGCTTGTCAGAAGTGCTATGATGTGGTAGCAATGTGAGAGTAAAGAACACAGGAGGAAGACTGGTTATTTTTTCCCCTATACATTTGATTAGGATGAGTTAATCTATAGTCAACCTTATCTTTGAAGTTAATGGCAAAAATCCTGACTTGGGGTGGTAAACATACATTACAATATACAGGTGATGTATTGTAGAATTGCATACCTAAAACCTATATAATTTTATTAACCAGTGTCATCCCAATAAATTCAATTAAAAAATAACTTTGTTGACTTGAAAATACAATAAATAGACCCAGGGGTATGATCCAGGCAAAAGTCTGTTGAATCTGACATCCCTAATGTTAGGGAAGTGATAGCCTTAATTCTGTTGCTAATCAAAGCCAACTGACATGAGCTGACCTGAAAGAATTTCTCCTGAGGACAGAATTATTAGACTGCATTGAAAATTTATAAATGTGTCCACTGACATGAGATTGATTGCTGAGGATTAAAGATCAGAACTTCAAGAACAGACAAACATGAAGTCATGGGTGTGCTTACCGCATCTTCCATGCAGACAAATTGCAGCTCATCACTCAGAGGGCAACATTTGGTGGTGGCAGCTGCCATGTTCTTCGTGAACATAACCAACTCTTGAGCAGATAGTTGTGGGCTTTCTTAGTATAAAGAACCAGGAGTCTGAAAGAATAATTTTCTCTTACTCTTGGCAATGACTATGGGCCTTAAATGAAGACTTCTACAGAGTTTTCCTCAATATCTGATATTGTCTCTGACTGAGGTTGAACAAGTCGTTAAACTGGGTTTAATTCTGTCTTTTTAGTTCTTGTTCCAAAGGCCCCAAAGGCTACCTCAATCCACCTGCCATTCTCTTCCAGCTTCACACACTATCATATTAACAACGTTGCTTAGAGAAGATCTCTTCAAAGAAACACAAACAAGGCAATTTCAGGTATTTTCTCTCTTGCTTATTTATGTGGAAGATTACACTAGTATTTACTAAAATCCTATTTCTCTGTTTCTGCCTACCGGGAAGATTCAACGTAAAGATTTTTTTTTTTTTTTTTTTTGCTTTCAATTGGGCACATTTGGAAAAATAACCTCTTTCATGTACAATTTAGTGACATGAATATTCATAACTATTTTCAACTTGTTTCTCTTAAAACTATCTGTAAAAATGTAATTTGAATAATTTGGTCTTATCAGAAGACTTTAGAAGATAATTATCTTCAGGGGAAAATAACCTACAAAAAATTTGCTCCATACTTATCTATCTTTTTCTACTTATCAAGGGTAATTGTAGCTAATTTGGATGGCTGCAAAATCAGATTTAAATACGTTCCAAAATAAATATATGTGTAGGCCATTAAAGCTGATATTAGTCCTCTACAATATGAAGGAACAGGTACTGCAGCCATGATCAGGGAGCACTCACTAGGGCTCAAACCTTAGTGGCTGAGGTAGACAAGTACACCTGGCTAGTGAGAGCAGTACCAGGTGCTGTTGTGCACACAGGATGCTATTGAATTCCAGCCCAGGGAAATCAGGCAGGCCTCCTGGAGGAAATGACATGTGAGCTGAGATCTGACAATAACTGAAAATGAACTGGGTAGAGGGGAGTGAAAGTGGGAGGGGAGCATTTGGGGAGTGACTGAATGTGATTTTTGTTTTCTTGATTTGAGGGGTGAGGGTGGAGAGAGGAGAGAGAAGATAGCTTAGTTACAGAATTAGATTTACACTGCTTTAAAGACAATCATGGTTGTTGTGTAGAGAATAGATTCAAGGTGGGCACAAGGCAATGTGACTGAACCAGAAATTTGAAGGCCATTTCAGTGATCCAGGTAAGAGATGGTGGTAGTCTAAACTAGGAGAGTGGTGGTGGGTATTGGGGGAAATAAAGAGAGATTTTAAAGAGAAAGACTCTACATACTTGAATTTGAGGACAACAAAAAATCAGTCAGTTATTGCATTTATATTATAATAGAGTTGGGAAAGAATTTACTATAATATCCAAAGAAACAGTCAACCTAATCCAGTGGTTCTCAGACTGTGCCTCCTGGACCAGCAGTATCAGCACTCCTGGAAATTTGTTAGAAGTTAAAATTTTCAGGCTCCATCCCAGAATTTAGAATCAAAAACTCTGGGAGTGGAACAGTATTTTAACAAGTCCTCCAGGTAATTCTAAAATTTGAAAACCACAGATCTAATCTTTAAACTAGACATTAGCAGCTGAACACAACATTAAAAAAAGTAATAAACCAAATAGTCTCTCTGAAACAAGAATACTTTTTCTGGGTCCATTATTCTGGACATTTCATTTAAGATCAGTATTATAGGACAGTATATCAAACTGAACTTTTCCTCAATACTCTTTCTAAATAGACTATTGCAGTGTGATTCTAAAGATCCCTAAAAAATGACTTTTGTTTTTATGATATATTAATCTTTGAAATACAGGGGGATTTACCAGTCTATGTGCACATAAAAAATTGTGTGTGTTCCCTCTGGCAAATAACTAAGGTATCCATTCATCTCCACTCTCAATGGTGGAAGTATTAAATTTGCTATATGGGCCTGATTTGAAATGTACAAAGGGACTCTACATCAGATCTCTATTGCAGCTTTGACTCAAAATTTCAGGCAAAGCCCTAAAAGTCCAAGTGTGCAGGATGCCCATGTGAGATTGCAGGAAGGCAGCCAGGGCCTGCTTGGCTCCCTAACCTCTGGGCATTGACTGAAATCTGGAATCTGGCCTGGAAAACAGAGGAAAAGCACCCAAAGTTATGTGGACATCTATCTTATTGAGACAAAGATAGGTTAATTCTGAACTGATTTTTCCTTGCCCTCTGAATTTTAAAGTTGGATGTAGACTCTTAGCAACTCTCAGCATCAGAAGTTAACAAAAACACATATAAATATGCATACCTGTCATGGAAGTTACTATCTCCTAATTTCTTATGTAAATCACAATGATTTTTAACACGCTCATGGCTTTCAAAAACCACTCTTTGGAACATCTCTTTCTGGAAAAATAAAGATAATCATTGTTTATTTATTATTGCAACAATGTATCTTCAGGTAGGATTGCAAAACCACTTTCTATAAGAGTTTGATGTAACTGTTTTCCTAAACCCAGGGCTTTATTTACTTACTGAGTTAACAAATCTTGAAATTCATGCTTTGCTAAAACAGGAATGGCCATGTACTTTGTGGAGAAAAAAGTGGGACAGCGAGATTGATATTGAGTTTCCTGTGATAAAAACTCATTTGTGATTAAATGATGTATTTTATAAGCATAAAGCAAATCATTCATCAAGCCAGAAAGAGATCATTAAGGGCAGTTTATAAATCTAAGTTTGACTGGTCAGTGTGCAGGTGCATGCGTGTGTGTGTGTTTATTGGATATTTTTAATAATACCACCTTTTTACATAAATAGCAAATATAGAGATAAAGATACAGGTATAGAGATATAGATATATATTAAGAAGTAGTGGTGTAATAAAAACATGTACCAGTCTTTAATAGAGTAAAATATTGCACAAATATATATTGAAAAAATAAATGAAATTCTCAGAGATGATTGCAAATTCCAAGTTCTTGAACCACAGAAGTGAATTCCAGTGGGAAGTACACGTGACCTTGCACACTTTGTACTTTGGTAGGAGCACCAAACCCAGTCCCCTTGATCCTAATAAGCAGTGTTTGCCATAGTTTAAATTTTGCCAGACATGCAAACTGTTTGCCTGGATTGCCTGCATTTAACCCTTAGCCCTGTCCTGCCTGTGTAGCATTGGGCAGTCATTTGAACGTTCTGAAACTCTATACTCTCATCTAAAAATTTTGTTAGTAATTCTGATGTCACCTATGTTACCAAGCTATTATGAGGACCAAACAGAACACTGGTTGTAAAGCTGCTGTGTTAACCCTAAACATCTGTGCTTCTGTAAGCTGCTGGTAATACCATGAGAGGGTGCTAACCTACAGGAGACTAAATCACCTTCGGTTAACCTTCTCTCTGGGAGCAGGAGGATGCTAGGCATACCTGCTTGTGCCCAGACAAGTCAAGAGATTCCTGTCACCCTCCGCCCCCACCCATACCCCACACTGTATAAATGTGTAAGCCATTGGTTAGAATTACAGTAGCCAGGGCAATCGGGTTCCTGGTAACCCATGAATAACCAATCATCTAGTCAGATCTGCAAGGCCACCTGCATGTTTTATGTCAAATGCATAACAGGAGCTGCTGCCTGTGAACTATATGATTTCTGGCCTGAAATGGGGACAGTTTCCAGGCCTGCTTGGTAGAAATAATCGACCTTCCCATTTCCTAGTAGGCTGTGCTGCTGTGTTACCTGCTACTGTGCCAAGCAGGCATTCACCTTGAAGAGGAGATTATTGCACAGCAAAGCTTCCATGAATCACAGAATCTCTAAGACAGCGACTTGCAGAGTCACTGCGGTATGACGGTGTGGCCTCTGGTTTAGATGGCAGTGGTATTCCATGTGTAGTGCTCACAATGAGCAAGGACATGTGCAATCATCTTACAAAAACATGGCACTATTAACAGCACTGCAACTTTTCCTGTTTCTAATCACTTTATGAGTAACAGGTTAAACAATAAAAAGACAATTACCCCATGGCGATAGCATTCCAGAGGATTTTCTAATTTACAGCATTTTCCCAACAAATTTTGATATACTGTATTCACTCTTAAAATCACTGGAACTGCCAACTCTGGATGTCTTCTTGAATATTCATACAGAAATCTGTATCCATATGAAACATATTTGAAAGTAAACAATAAAATTCAAAGGCCACAAGTTTTCTTTCAAAAGCCAATTATAATTATGAAACGTATTCTATATTTTAACTGACCTTAAGACATTTGAAAACCTTGGTTAGATTGGCAAGGTGGTTTTATTGACTACATTTTGAGATAAGAAATCCAAATCAGTGAAATTGTATAATTTTTTTCTAAAGTCACACAGTCGTGAGCAGCAGATCCAGAACTTGAACCGAAACTATCCTGATTAGCTGATAGTTAGTTCCTTGCTCAGGATCTCTACTTAATTTCACTAGAAATTAATTTCAAGTATTTGGGGGAGAACACATTTTTCTCAATGATCTTTGAGGCTAGATTTTATGAGTATTACAATTCTTTTGAAAGAAAATGCTGGCTAGGTATTAAATCACCATCTTCCCCTGTTTTCCATATATACCTTCAAGCGTGAGTAGTTCATGCATAATCGACACACTCTTCTGGGTTACAAGAAAGGAAATTTGGACTCTAGAATGTTTTCAAAGGAATCACAGAATCATGGGAGGCATCTTAGAAGTCATTCAACCACCTCACTTTACAGTCAAAACACAAAAGCCTGGAGGAATTTAGTGGTTTGACTTATATTCCAAAACCTATGGATGATAGACTTAAACTAAAACTCAATCAAGTCTTCCAAATCATAGTCTAATGTGAACTCCACTAGAAAGCTGTGCTTATCAGTTTTCAGTACCAAATGCAAGTTTAGGAATAAGTGGGTTCAGGAAGTGACATTTACTTTTTAAGCCAGTATCAAATGTAATTTCAGAAATATAGCTATGAGCATTCCACAAAGAACTTGAAAGAAAACTCAAATTCTTATACTTTTTAGAATTTAGTTGCTCCAAATAATGCTTCACAAAGTGACTTTGGAAATAGTTCAACCATACAACAATACTCTCTTAACATTATGTATTGAAATCAGTTTGTCTTAAGCACAAATTAATATGCACTTCTGAATGAGCACCAGGGATATTAATACTCCATCCATATCTCTAATCTTTAAATGCCACACCTTGGCTTTGGTAGCGGGTATGTCATTAACTAAAACAGAAGAGCTGACCAGGTATATCAACCTGAAGCTCTCACTTAGACAAGACGCTATGTCATTAGAGCAAAGCTTGCAAACTCTTGAGCCCCACTGCATTTTTTAAATTCCTGTATTAGTTGTCAACATTTAAAAAATAAAAAAAACTTCCGAATCTCTCAAAGTGCAGTACACTTAACAACCCAACGCCTGCAATTCAATATGCCAACTAGTGGCTGGAGCTATATATAGTAGCTGCCAACTTTCTACTCCACAAAACATCTCTTATTGGTCACAGTTCCATTTAGTCACTCATTTTACATCATTGGCTAACGTCTGTCATCATTTAAGTTTACAACTCAATATAATATTCCATCATTAAGATTTTACAAAAATCTGTATTACTCTTGTAGGAAGTCATCTTGCCGCTCAGTGAATTGTTTGCATACAAATCCGTCTTCCGTAAACCTGCTGAGTGGCAGGGGTGAAAGATCAGGTTTATCGTCATTTTCTGAGCTGATAACACATTCCCCTCTGAATGGCACCGGCAGTGCACAGCATGGAGAGATCTTGCTGGATAGGATAGCCGGTTTAGAGCAGGTATAGTTCATAAACTGGCTCTAAAACATAAAAGAAAGTAGTTATTTTTGATAACTTCATTCTAAAGTTTTTTGCTTGTTTGTTTTCTTTATTGACTTGAGAGAGAGAGGAAGGGAGAGGGAGAGAGAGATAAAAACATTGATGAGAGAGAACATTAATTGGCTGGCTTTTGCATGCCCCCCCACTGGGGATTTGGCCCACAACCTGGGCATGTACCCTGACCGGGAATCGAACCAGTGGCCTCCTGTTGGTGGTCGACACTCAACCACTGAGCCTCACAGGCCAGGCTTAAAGTTTTTAGTTATTTATTTACGTATATTTATTTATTTAGTGGATTGATTGATTACTCTTAGTAGAAAACAAGAGGGAAAAAAGTTTGTATCTTATGTTGCTTTATCTTTGGCAAACTGAGAGACCAAAAAACTCATTTGCAGTGAATCATTCTGATAAGAAAAGCTTCTCTGACTTTACTCAAGTGTTACAATCTCTTTTAACATTTCTTAAAGAATTTAAAGGGAGACAGACCATATTATTGTTTTCATGTTTAGCTCAATAAAATACAAATGAAGAGTTTAATTGTCTTGCTATTATTACTATTGTAAGATCTTAATTTAGGAAACATTTGTCTCTGTCATTTACTACATATACTATGATGATATTACTATTATACTTACATACCTAACATTGACCTATAGATACATACATATACACAAATAATTGTGTATGTATAAATAAGCTAGTCTCGACAGTTAAGGAACTCACAATCTAGTTGGAGAGTCAATTAATTAAACAATAATAATGCATTATAACAGAAGTTTTAAGAAAAGTGTATATATGTTGCTTTGGAAGTAAAAAGAGATTTGCAGTCCAGACCAGATGGAGGGCAGAGCAAAGATCTTAAACAATTCGAATCTAGAAGGACTAAGAGAAGTTAGTTGGAAACAAATGAAGAGGAAGAGCCTTCTAGAATTATTCATCTTTATATGTAAAGAATCTTAGAGGTAAGAGAGCATGAGGTATTTTTCGAAATGATATTAGGATATTTGGAGATTATCAAGAAAATTTAGTTGAGAAATAAAGAGGCTTGAACTGAATGAATGGTTTTGTAGATTTAAGAGCTACTGAGAGTTAGAATTGACAAGATTAAAAAAGAAATGACAACAATATTTAGATTGGAGGCAGGGGGTGAAGTGAGGACAAAGAATCTAGAATGATATAAGAGCCTAGGTAGATGATAGCACAATTTACTGAAATTGGTACGCAAGAGAAAAGAACAGGTTTGAAGAGGATGGCTAAAAAGGGAAACCAATGAGTTCAGTGTTGGAATATAGAGTTAAGATGGCCTAAGGCATCTATTAGGCATCTTCATGAAGATTTCTGCTAAGCAGTTAGCACTATAGAGTAATAATTTGGGAAGGAAGAAGAATGGGCTGAAGGTGTAAACCTGAGTGGGAATTAGGAGCTGTGTTATAGGGTCGGATTGAGCCTGGTAAGAAAAAGTGTGTGCATTATTTAAGTAACTGGCATGTTCTCCATGGCTTAATAAAATCAAGTTTGTTTCTTTCTCAATATTGTCAAGTCCTACTGGGAAGGGAGGAGTATTGCCCCTAGGCAGTAATTCTAGAATCCAGGCTTACAGAGGCTCTGTTATCTTCAACCTGTGGCTTTTAACATTGATTTTGGACTGGGGTGGGGAGAGGGAGGGTGGCCAGGAGGTTATTATAGGTCAAGCCTAGAAATTGCATAAACCACTTCTGTCCAGAACTTGGTCAGGTGGCCTCACCCAATTGCGAGACAGGCAGGAAATATAATCCATGGCCCAGCAACTAATCTAGACTATGGAAGAAGAGAGTGAATCCTTGCTGGATAGCTAGCCAGCTCTGATTGTATGTGTAAAATAAGAAAGGAAAAGGCTGAGAATAGAACTATTGGGAATATAAATTTTCAAAGGGTAGGAAACATGGGAAAGAAAATTAATAAAGGAAGCTATAAGGATAGAGGCATGCCAGGTTGATGAAAACTTCTGTGTGATTGTCCTCGACACAACACTTTTGCAGTCGTCACTGGATAAGCAGTAACAAAAATAAAAAACTTTCTAGGACACACAACTCAAATGTACACAATCCATATACAATTCCTGAGCATTATCAGAAATATTCTATTCAAAAGAGAATTAAATTAATATGAAAAGTAAACAGTGGAATATAGTGTATAAAAGAAGTGATAGTTCAAGTGAAATAATTATTGTCAACAAAGTTATTTTAAAAGAATGAGTATAAATAAACTAAGAAGTCAACCAAAATAATTGAGATAAAAACAACTAAATAAATAAACTTGAAAGAATTAATAAAATTAAAAGCAGAAACAGTAGAGCTGATAAATAAGTCCAAAAATTTTGCCTTGGAAAAGACCAGTAACAGCCCCTTCACAAAGCTAATTAATTAAAAGAGAAAACACAAATACATAGGAAAAGGAGGTATAATTACATAATTGATATGGTTTTAGTTATCAAATAATAATATTATCATGTAGAACTCTATATTCCTAGATGAGAAAATGCTGATGTAGACTTTTTAAAGGAAAATGTATGCTTGACACCTTGACCCACCACCCAAAAAAGTACATTCTCATTATTCATAGTTGTTATATAAACTGAATTTGTGAATACTGAATCATCGACCCTAGGGGAAATACAGGGTTAGGTTCCTGCCATTTCTGGCCACATCTTCATAAACAGATCAAGACATAATCTTGTTTTATGTATCTTTTTGTTTAAAGACACCTAATTTAATATATATGTTGGTGATTTATTCACATTGAATTCATAGCCACTAGCACTTATTACTCATGCATGAACAAAGCTTATATAACACATCTTTTTTTTTTTTTTTTTTAGGCACATCATGGTTTTTTTGTGCTTAGACTCGGCACTACCCTTGGGGACATTTTACACAGTCAATAAATCATCAATAAAAAGTACAAAAATAAGAAAAAACATGGCACTAAATAGACCACAAAATGAACAGTTATTTACAGTCTGAGAACTAAAGCAAGAAGGCAGAGCCCCACTTGGCTTCATCTCAGCTGGACTGTGCAACCAGGCAACTCCAATTTTCCACTGCTCTGAGCACGCACAAATAAAAGAATGACCACAAAGTGCTGTGAGTATTACGGGGTTACAAATAAATTTGGGCAATTATAGAATGCATAAGTAATGAGAATTGATTGAAAAATGTTAAATCTGTTAACAAAAGAAACAGAAAAGTTGTCACACCGGTTTCTATCTTCATCCCTGCTCATTTCACAGACAAGATCTTTCAGACTTTCACGGACTAGGTAAATCTCAATACTATTTAATTTATGTCAGAAAATTCAAAAGGAAAAAATTCTAATTTACTTTTTAGAAGCTAGCATAACTGAATACCAAAACCTGATAAATGATCATTGCTTTTTTAGATTCATTATATACCACTACCACCTTTATTTAAGAAATACGAGTTTTTGTAATTAAATGTATTGGGATGACATTGGTTAAAAACATTATGCAAGTTGCAAGTGCATAGTTCTGTGATGCCTCACTGCATTGTATAATCCCCACCCAAAGTCTAGTCTCCTTCCATTAACATGTATTTGACCCCTTTTACCCTCACCCCTATTCATTCCTTACCCCCTTTCTTCTTCCCCTATGGTAAGAATTACAAATATATTAAAGGCTAAAGTGAATTTTAAGAAAACAGAGGATCTTACCCTGCCAAGCACACATGCTACTGCATTTCCTTCACAACAGGTCTGATGCAGATTTTTAGTATCAACAGCCAATTTGGCAATATCAGAAAAGTTAGCTTTAGGTAGTTTTTTAGTCAACAGAACCAATTCCCTTAAAAAAAAAAATAAGTCAATTTTAAACAATACTGTGAATTCAATTCTTTCTAAATATAGTTCTAGTTCATTGAGTAACCAAAAGGCTAGAAACACACTTGCAAAGGGAGGGTGAAGAGAGTGTATTCTAAATGCTTTCCACTTCTTCAGTGATGGCACTGAGAGCCATACAAGATCTAAACCACAAAACAAACATGATTCAATATGCCAGGAAAGAGGCATATTGAATAACACAAATTCCTCTCCCAGCTCATGCTCCTCCATCACCACCCCCCAAAATACCAAAGGCTTTCTCTGTTCTGTGTAACATTGGAGCAGAATTTTTCCTGTCGTCCCAGAGAAAAGAGTAGCTTTTGTCCTCCAGCTTTGACCCAAGCAGAATAATTAAGTGCCTGCATCTGAATGTATGGAATCCTCTGTGCACTGAGAAAGAGACTAAGGGATTTAAGATGGAAGAAATTGAATCAGGAGATAATGGGTGGAGGTGAGAATTGTGTAATTTCATGCACAGCCCTGTGTACCCTATTGAACAGGAAGTAGCATATGTGTAGAGGAAGTAATCAGGTTTGTACTGAGAGACATTATTAAATGAAAGATACATGATTTTTCAAATGATTTTAATCATCAGGGCTGATCCAGCAGCAACAAAGTCCACAAATCTAAATAGGTAACTTACACTGCTTTTGCTACTTTGTGGTTGAATTTGATCCCAATTTCACATACATGGTGATGCCTCAAAGATATTTCTCTAACATATCTTCTGATGGATTCTAGCTGTAATTAGAAAAACAACTCATCAAAGAATATGGTAGTAACAGAAAAAGTTAATTTCATCACTAGTAAAGAAGAGAGAAAAGTAAAAATTAAACATCTCTTCAAAATTAGAAATTTTTAGTGTCTTATTTGAAAGAAACCAAATGCAACAGCATAATCTGGGAGTTTTGTTTGTTTTTTATAAAATAGCATCTCTCTTCCCCAAAGATCACTTGTTCCAGTGATTAAACTCTTGGAATGTAAATGAGAACAAGAAACTGAGCAAAGGCAAGTCCATAGAGTCACTAGAATACATTCAATATGTCTGACAGTTGTATTTTGGTTTTATTCAAGTTAACTCTGTCATTGTGGACATGTCTCTTAGTGTTATCTATAATACATGCTTCAGTTTAACAAAATATATTAATTAAGTCCCACCCCCAAATATGTTTATATTCTTTAACTCAGGAATTTACTTGTAAAACTATTGCAAATAGCCCTGGCCGGTTTGGCTCAGCGGTTGGAGCGTCGGCCTGCAGTACAGAGAGACCCAAGTTCGGTTCCCACTAAGGGCATGTACCTCGGTTGCAGTTTGTCCCTGGCCCTGGTTGGTCGTGCTGGTGGCAGCCACTCGATGTGTCCCTTTCACATCGATGTTTCTCTCTCTCTCTCTTCCTCTCTCTCCCTCCCTCTCTTCCTCTCTCTCCCTCCCTCTCTATCTGAACAAAAAATGGAAAAATGTCCTCGGGTGAGGATAAAAAAAAAAACAAAAAACTATTGCAAATAAACTTGTCTAAATAAATAAAAACATAATGACTCAAAAATTATATATTTTATGTTAGCAAATTTTTAAAATTTATTTTATGGAGACAAATAATGTCACAACAGCAGAGAGAAGGTTAAATAATAGCATATTGTTAATATTAATAGCATATTATAATATATTTTTGAAAAGATAGACATTTCTAATAAAAAGTAAGATGTTTAAATCTCTAATCAAAACTCTTTGTTCAGTATGATTGCAACAATGTACAAAATAAAATCTGTATATAAAAAAATTAAATAAATAAGATGAAATATACCAAAATTGATATATCTGAGTGATGGGAATATAAGTAATAGTTTAAAGTTTTAGAAGAGCTCTCTATTTTCACTGAAAACATTATACTGGCAATATAACATTTTTACTTTGGCTAACTGTACCTTATAGTGCTATTTTTAAGAACAAGTTAGAAAATGTATACAAAGGGAATATACTCAAATCACAAAACTGGCACCATAATCATAATTATATTTTTATAATTCATTATAAATGTATTTCTTTTTATCCTTATTTTGTTGTATTATGTTCATTTAAAATTAAGTACAAACAAGCTTATCTATTTCTTCAGAATAGAGTTTCTGAGGACTTAACTCATAAAGTTGTGTCTGATCATAGACACAATGTTTGCACAATTTGTTATGCAATTTTTTTCTGGGGTTGGAGCCAGAACTGGTAGGAACAGACATCCCGGAAGCAACAAGACTGTAAATATCACAAAATAAGGTACAGGAGGAAAGACCTCTTAGTTAACTTAAAAGCATTTACTTATGCTTAACATTATAGATGCATGTTATACATTAAGAAAAATTTTCCACTGAAAAGGGTTAAGGTTAAGGAAACTTTATAACTTAAAATAGTAAGCACCAAGTTACCTACAAAACTCATCATGAAAAAGTACATTCTTCAGAAATGCCAGGTAATGAGATACAAAGACACAATCATTTATTTTTAGTTTTTTTATATAAAAAAAACAAATATAGAAGACTGCCTGCTAGGATTTCAAAATTGTCTTCTGAAGAAATTAGAGTTCACCAGGAGAAAGAATAGAGCGTGAGGTAAGAAATATATATAAATAGCTTTCATAATAATTGCTATTTACATATACTGGAAACTCTTTAGATACATTATTTACTTTCTTACACAAGGTAGACAATGAAGAGCTCAATAGGAGAAACAGGTTTAAAGGGATAAAGAAATAACAGTTTAGAGGAATACGAGATAAAATCTCACTGAAAAGGTAAAAGAAAACAACAAGGAAGAAGTAGCACTGCATTTAGCCTTGAGGAATTCATCAGCATGATTTCCAAACTACCACTCATTTCAGCACAACCTTTTGAAAACCCATCTGGTGCCCTCTCAAGTAAAAATAGTTATTTTATGTTGATATTTAGAACCTTTAATGAGCATACATAAAACGTAATTTTATCATGAAACTAATCACTTTTACAACTATTTACATCGATTTAATGAAGGAGAAAATGCCACATGGTTAAAATAAATTGAGGCAAACTGTATATTCCAAAGATGGCTATAATAGTATCTTCTATCCCATGCCCTCCTTACAATGAGATGTTGACAATCCCCCCTTCAAGAGGTACAGTATATACACTGTGCCCTTCAAGCTGGTAAATTTCATGATGTTTCAACCATGGAGTATGGCAGAAGTAACTTCTGAGTCTAGGTCATAAAAGGTCATACAGTTTCTGCTTTATCCATTAGAATGCTCATTCTTAAAAAGTTTGGTCACAGGCAAAGTAGTCCAACTGCCTGAGGCTGCCATGCTGCAAGGAAGCCCAACTAGTCAAGACAGCGTGGACAAAGAAGAGGCACTGTAATAAATCTTACCAAAAGTAACTTCACAGGATGATCTGACCATAAATTTCTAACTAGGCCCATTATGGTGGGCAGTCATGCTAGGCATATAACTTTTTTAGCCAAAGGTTTATCTTTGCTTTACGCAAGTCCTATTCATTGTTTCTGGGCATCTATGTTAACACCTTTGAACTGCTTCTTTTCAGGGGCCTTAGAAGCCCTCAAGGGAGCACATAATATTGTTCACTATCCTGTAATCCAATCCCCACCTTGATTTCTCCCACCTTCATGTAATCTTCTTGACACTCCCTCCTTAATTTCAAATGTATAAAAGAAACTGCAAAATTGCCATTCTCCCGAGCATTTAATATTTTGGTTCCTGGTATTGTCATCAGTTTGGCTGAACTAATTTAAAAAAAAAATTCTCTAGTGTTTTTACATTCTTATGTCAACAGCAGAGAGACTGCTTGGAGAGGGCCTGAGATTGTATGAGAAAAAAGAGATGTTGAATCAGCCCCCTGGTGCTTCAACCCTTCAGAGTTCCAGATACAACCACTGTCTGACTAGAACCATGTGAAAGATCATGAGATAGAACCATCCAGATGAGTCCTTCCAGAATTCCTGGCCTACAGAAAGCTTGAGAGATAATAAAATGATTGAGTCACTAAATTTGGGGGTGTTCTGTTATGAAATATTAAATATTTATTATGAAATACAATCTATGCTAGATCATGCTCCTCAAACTTAAATGACTATATGAATTGCCTGGGTATCTTGTCAAAATGAAGTCCTGTCTAGTACAGCTCAGGAGAAGAGCTTCAGATTCTGCATTTCTAACAAGCTGCCAGGTGATGCATATCTGCTGGTCCACAGTCCACTTTGCTATGCAAAGTGTGGGCTAGCCACACTTTGCATAGCAAGGCCCTAAATAACAGTTGACATAAGAGTATCTTACCTTTATCTGGAAGCATTCAGTCTTATTTTCTTCTTGGCAACATGACTGAATAGCTGTTTCATAGCAAGTAGACATGGCCAGAAGAGTGGGTGTGTACAAGAATGGATGCTTTCTAGAAGTTTCATAAATGTACCTATAATTTGACAAACCTGAAGTTGTATAATTTGGAGCTTGACAACATGTGCTGATGCTGTTTCCTTAAAAAGGTAGTGTGCATTTAGTTTTGTTGACCTGTAACATCTAGAATATCATGGTGGAAAAAATGAGATAGCACTGTACATAAATGCATCAAATGTTCACAATGGATAGATAACTGTGAGGGTAATCAGACATCCCAGGTACCTCTAGGCCAGTGGGAAAAGAAAAACAGTAATCAAAACTTTTCACTTATATAATTAGTAGAGGTAGAAAGTCCAATAGTCTAAACTAAGTTGTAAATGCAGGATTGTACACCAGTGCAGAGGAATTAAATTTAGAAGCTATTGGTGGGTAAAGAGGATTCTCTGAAGACCATCCAAAAGTTCTTTCTAGACTAGGAAAGTTGCTATGCAGTCTGAAATAGCTGAATTTCAGTCTGAAATAGCTGACTTTTTCTCCAGCTTTGATATAAACTACTATTTCCTTAGTTGAGAATTAAAGTTCTTGGCTTATAATTATAAGGCAAATAGTTAGAAAACTATTTGTCCCTTGACTGTTTATAGTTATATGCATGTAAGTTAAAATTAGCATATAAAATAATTCCTTAATTATTGGCTTTATTGTAAATATTCAAGAAGAGCTTAGCAGAAGAGAGGGTGGGGGGTGGGAAGAGATAAACCACAGAACTTATATGCATGTATGCATGACCAATGGACATGGACAACTAAGTCGGGGACGGGATGGGGTGGGGGTGGGATGGGGAGGAGGGTGCCAATGGGGTAAAAAAGGTGAAATATCTGTAACAAAAAATAAATAAATAAACAAAAAGTCAAAAAAAAAAAAGAAGAGCTTAGGTTCACTGCCTGAGTGTTGGTTAGATTTTTACATCTCTGAATGTTCAATCCAAATCAAATTCTGTAATTCTTACCTACAGTGGATAACCCTACAGAAAATAGGTAGCCAAGCTCATATTTACATTCACATTTGTTTGCCCTAATGTTAAATAAGTTCTCCCTAAATGACTGAGGCCATTCAATTTTTTAAAAAATCTCAGTAATTGCAGGGGCAATTCTGCACTTTTATAGGTAAATGAAAAGAATTTATGTTATTCAGCATTATCACCCTGTCTTCTCATTCATCTCTGGTCTAGAGTTTTATGATTAAAATCTGAAATCAGAGATATCCATCCCCAGGCAACAGAAGCACAGACCAGCAGCTGAGACCCATCCCCCAAAACTACAGCAAAACATCAGCAGGAGTTGAGCCCCATGGGGCAGCACCACTCCCCAACCATCAGCGGCAGGACCTGGGGCTCCTGAGAGGCCTGTGTAGTCAGGCAGTTCACAAGAGCAGTGGGAAGGCGGATCCGGAGAGGGACTGGAGCAATCCAGCTGCCCACCCTCTGCACCTGCAGAATGCGGGGGCACCAGAGAGGCCTATGTGACCCAGCAAGGACTGTGCGATCCAGTTACCCTCAGGACCTGTGGGGTTCTGAAGAACCAGAGAGACCTGTGCAACCCAGCAGGGACTGTGCTATCTAGCAAACCATGGGACCTGCAGGGTGCTGAAGCAGCAGAGAGGCCTCTGCAACCCAGCAGCCAATAAGATAGGCATAAAGCCTGGTCCCCAGAGGGACTGTGCAATCCACTTACCCGTAGGACCTGCAGGGTTCAGGGTCACCAGAGAGGCCTGGGCAACCCAGCTGAGCACAAGATAGGCTTAGAGGATGTGAAAATAAAGGAGGAGTGAATGGAAGCTACACAGATAATCTTCCAGGACCAAACAGGAATTACAACTAAAATAAAGACAAATCCTTGGAAAAAAGCAACAGAAAAGCAGCAGGACAGAACCATATAACCAGGGACACTGGTAGGATCTGTGGAGGTGCAGAGGGTGGCAGGCTAGGAGCCCATGGACAGCAGCAGTCTTAGCTATGAGCAACACCTTTAGGGAATAAAGACCAAGCCCGCTCCACAGCACAGAGAGCTGAGACAGAGCACTAAAATAGCCACAACCACTCACGTGGGGGCTACAGCAGAGGGAGGGCAGACTGGGCTGGAACTCTGTGGGGACACCCGGGATTTGGAGGGCACTCAGAGTTTTTGCTGAGTTGCAGCCACAAAGGATGGTGGCCAGTGTGCTCCTTCCCAGAGCTGTGGGGAATAGCAGCAGCCCCCACCTCAAGTATTCAGCCATTGCCAATTGAGGCAAAGAAATGCAAATTGAGACTTATTAACAACCAGCATCTATCCCACCCTCTGGAAATCCTCTTATGCAGAACACCAGGGCTACATTCGAAGGCACTGAGTAACTGAGACTACTAGCCACCAGGAAAAAAACCAGAGGATAACTGAACCTTTCCTGGGCTTGCAAATCTACCCAGGACAGTAAGACCTGACAGTGGTGTTTTACGTGGGCCCATGCAGGCACATCCAAACCCAGTAGAGGGAGCCACCAAACTCAAAGAGAAAATTTGGCAGGCTCCAAAACCCACTGAGATAGCTAAAATGGTGAAACAAAGAAACAAATCCCAAATGAAAGAACAAGAGAACTCTATTGAACATTTGATCAATGAAATGCAGCTAAGCAAATGATCAGAATTAGAGTTTAGAGCCATGATCTTGAGGAAGCTCAACAGCATGAGTAAGGGCATCAGCACCATGAGTAAAGATATAGAAACATTGAAAACCAACCAAGTAGAAATGAAGTATGACATATCAGAAATTAAGAACACATTGGAAGGACTAACTAGCAGAGTAAAGAAAGCTGAGGACCGGATCAGTGAATTAGAAGACAGGGCAGAAAAAAATCAACCAATCACAAAACCAAAAAGAAAAAAACAATTAAAAAACAGGAAGATAGCTTAAGAGAACTGTGGGACAACTGGAAACATAATAACATTCGCATCATAGGAGTCCCCGAAGAGGAAGAAAATGGGCAAGGGTTAGAAAATATATTTGAAGAAATAGTGACAGAAAACTTTCCTAAATGGTGAAGGAAGAAGGCATTGAAGTTCAAGAACCACAGAGAGCCCCAATTAAGAAGAACCCAGACAGGCCCACACCAAGACACATAGTAATTAAAATGCCAAAAATTAAAGAAAAAGAGAGAATCCTAAAAGCAGCTAGAGATAAGCAACAGGTGACCTCTCAACAGAAACACTACAGGCCAGAAGGGAGTGGCATGAAGTAATCAAGGTCATGAAAAACAACGATCTGAATCCAAGACTACTCTATCCAGCAAGGCTATCATTCAAAATAGAAGGTCAAATAAAGAGCTTTCCAGACCAAAAAAAAAAAAAAAGGCTGAGGGAATATATTAACACCAAACTAGCACTGCAAGATATGCTAAAAGAACTGCTGTAATTAGTAGAAGAAATAGGAAGAAAAATAGAACCACAATAAGCAAAAATGGCAATAAATAAGTACATATCAATTATGACCTTAAATGTGAATGGTTTGAATGCTCCAATAAAACGACACAGAGTAGCTGACTGGATAAGAAAGCATGACTCACACATATTTTGTTTACAAGAGACCCACCTCACAACAAAAGGCTCACATAGGTTGAAAGTGAAGGGATGGAAACAAAATCTTCCAAGCAAACGGAAAGGAAAAAAAGCTGGGGTAGCAATACTCATATCTGATAGAGTAGATTTCAAAATGAAGGCCATAACTAGAGACAAAGAGGGCCACTACATAATATTGAAAGAATCTATCCAACAGGAAGATATAACCTTGGTAAACATACATGCACCCAATATAGGAACACCAACATATATTAAAAATATTTTGGAGGACTTCAAAAGAGAAATCAACAACAATACAATCATAGCAGGGGACTTCAACAACCCAGTGACATCACTGGATAGATCTTCTAGACAAAAAATTAACAAGGAAACACGGACTCTAAATGAAGCACTAGATCAAATAAATCTCATAGATATCTACAGAGAATTACACCCCAAAACTGCAGAATTCACATACTTCTCAAGTACACATGGGATATCTCAAAGATAGACCACATGTTAAGGCACAAACTAAGTCTCTACAAGTTCAAGAAGATTGAAATCCTATCAAGTATTTTCTCAAATCACAATGGCATGAAACTAGAAATCAATTGCAACAAGAACATGCAAAGACATTTGACAACATGGAGGCTAAATAGCATGTTATGGAAAAATGAATGGGTTACCATGGAGATCAAGAAAGAAATTTAAAACTTCCTGGAAACCAATGAAAATGAACACACAACAACACAAAATGAATGGGATGCAACTAAAGCAGTTCTGAGAGGGAAGTTCATAGCACTACAGGCCTACCTCAGAAAGCAAGAAAAAATTTTAATAGACTATCTAACCTCACAACTTAAAGAACTAAAAAGCAAACAAAAAGAAAACCCCAGAGCAAGTAGAAGGAAGGAAATAGTAAAGATCAGAGCAGAAATAAATGACATGGAGACCAAAAACAATTCAAAGGATCAATGAAACAAAGAGCTGGTTATTTGAAAAGATAAACAAGATTGATGGACACTTAGCTAGACTCACCAAGAAACAAAGAGAGAAAACCCAAATACACAAAATCAGAAATGAAAGAGGAGAAATAATAACTGACACCAAAGAAATACAAAAGATTGTTAACAAATATTATGAACAATTATACGGCAAGAAATTAGACAATCTAAGCAAAATGGACAAATTTCTAGAAACACATAGTCTCCCATAACAGAACCGGGAAGAGATAGAAAACTTGAACAGACCAATATCAACAAAAGAAATTGAAGATGTAATCAAGACTCTCCCAACAAACAAAAGCCCAGGCCTAGATGGCTTCACAGGGGAATTTTACCGAACATTCAAAGAAGAACAAGTACCCATTCTCCTCAAACGATTTCAAAAAATTCAAGAAGAAGGAAGACTTCCAAATTCGTTTTATGAGGCCAGCATAATTCTAATTCCAAAACCAGAAAAAGACACTACAAAGAACGAAAACTACAGGCCAATATCCCTGATGAACATAGATGCCAAAATCCTAAACAAAATACTAGCAAATCGAATCCAGCAATACATCGAAAAAATTATTCACAATGACCAAGGGGATTCATCCCAGGGATGCAAGGCTGGTACAATATTTGCAAATCAATAAATGTGATACACCACATAAACAAATGAAAGATAAAAACAATATGATCATATCAATAGACCCTGAATAAGCATTTGACAAAATCCAGCACCCCTTTCTGATAAAAATGCTCAGCAATCTGGGAATAGAAGGATCATATCTTGACATAATAAAGGCCATATATGAAAGACCTACAGCCAACATCATACTCAATGGGCAAAAACTAAAAGCATTTCCCTTAAGAAGAGGATCAAGACAAGAATGCCCACTTTTGCCACTCTTATGTAACATCATATTGGAAGTCTTAGCCACAGCAATCAGACAGGAAGAAGAAATAAAAGGTATCCAAATTGGAAAGGAGGAAATGAAACTGTCATTATTTGAAGATGACATAATACTATACATAGAAAACCCCAAAGACTCCATCAAAAACTTACTAGACTTAATAAATAAATTTGGCAAAGTAGCAGGATACAAAATTAATGTCAAGAAATTGACGGCATTCTTATACCCCAATGCTGAACTCACAGAAAGAGACACTAAAAAAAAAACCTATTTACCGTTGCAGCAAAAAAGTTAAGATACCTAGGAATAAAATTAACAAAAGAAATAAAGGACCTATTTGCAGAAAACTACAGGTCATTGAAAAAAGAAATAGAGGAAGATATAGAAAATTGGAAGCACATACCTTGTTCATGGATTGGAAAAATTAACATCATTAAAATGTCCATACTACTCAAAACAATCTATAGATTCAATGCAATTCCCATCAAAATACCAACGACATACTTCACAGAACTAGAACAAATACTTCAAAAGTTTATATGGAACCAAAAAATACCACAAATAGCAACAGCAATCTTGCAAAAGAAGAATAGCCCTGGCCGGTTTGGCTCAGCGTTTAGAGCGTCGGCCTGCGGTCCTGAGAGATCCGGGTTCGGTTCCCGCTAAGGGCGCGTACCTCGGTTGCAGTTTGTCCCCGGCCCTGGTCGGTTGTGCGGGTGGCAGCCACTCGATGTGTTCCTTTCACATCGATGTTTCTCTCTCTCTCTCTGTTCCTCTCTCTCCCTCCCACTCTACCTGAACAAAGAAAAAATGGAAAAATATCCTCGGGTGAGGATAAAAAAAAAAGAAAAAGAAAAAGAAGAATAAAGTTGGAGGGATCACATTACCAGATTTCAGGTTATACTACAAAGCCACTGTAATCAAAACAGCCTGGTACTGGCACAAGAACAGGTAGATAGATCAATGGAACAGAATAGAGAACCCAGAAATGGACCCAAGACAATATGCTCAATTAATATTTGACAAAGATGGCAAGAGCATACAGTGGAGTAAAGACAGCATCTTTAATAAATGGTGCTGGGAAAATTGGACAACTACATGCAAAAAAAATGAAACCAGACCATCAACTTACACCATACACAAGAATGAACTCAAAATGAATAAAAGACTTAAATGTGACCCATGAATCCATAAAATTTCTAGTAGAAACTGTAGGCAACACAATTTTAGACATCATACGCAGCAGAATTTTCATGGATACATCACCTAATGCAACAGAAACAAAGGAGAAAAATGAACACGTGGGACTACATCAAACTCGAAAGCTTATGCACAGCAAAAGAAACAACCACCAAAATGGAAAGGCAACCCACTCTATGGGAAAGCATAATTGCCAATGATATATCAGATAAGGGGTTAATTTCCAATATATATAGAGTGCTCATACAACTCAACAAAAGGAAGACAAAGAACCCAATTAAAAAATGCGCAGAGGAACTAAATAGACACCTTTCTAAACAGGACATATAAATGGCCAAGAGACATATGAAGAAATGCTCAACATCACTAATTATCAGAGAGATGCAAATTAAAACAAAAATGAGGTATCACCTCACACCTATCAGAATGGCCACCATCAACAAATCATCAAATAAGTGCTGGCAAGGTTGTGGAGAAAAGGGAACTCTAGTACACTGCTAGTGGGAATGCAGACTGGTGCAGCCACTATGGAAAACAATATGATGTTGCCTCAAGAAATTAAAAATTGAACTTCCATTTGACCCAGTGATCCCACTTCTAGGAATATACCCTAAGAAGCCTGAAACACCAATCAGAAAGAATATATGTACCCCTATGTTCATAGCAGCACTATTTACAATAGCTAAGATCTGTAAACAGCCCAAATGTCCATCAGTAGAAGAATGTATAAAAAAGCAGTGGTACATATACACAATGGAGTACTATGCAGCTGTAAGAAAGAAAATCTCTTATCCTTTGAGACTACGTGGAGGAACCTGGAAAGTATTATCCTAAGCGAAACAAGCCAAACAGAGAAAGACAAGTATCATATGATCTCACTTATTTGTGGAATATAACAAACATAACAATCTGAGATGTTAGTCCTAGAGATGTGGAAGTGGGGTACAGACTGACAATCCCCAGAAGAGGGGTGGGGGAGAAGAGGAGATAAACCACAGAACTTATATGCATGTGTGCATGAACAATGGATATGGACAACAAAGCTGAGGACAGGGCTGGGAATCAGTGGGGGAAAAAGGAGAAAAGTCTGTAACAAAAATAAATAAATAAATTTTTTAAATTAATTAATTAATTAATTAAAATGGAAAAAAATTTAAAAAATAAAATCTAAAGTCAAACTTCCACCATGTTCTTGCACTTTAGATCCAGTAATCAGATCTTTGCCTTATTCCTGGTGTCTGAGCCTGTATTGATAAGATGGCCAGTACTGGATTTCTTGAGAACTGAAGCCTCATATTTTTCTTGTCATTTCTACCTCTCTGGGTATTGATTTCCTGCCTCTAAACCCCAGCCACTTGCTAGCACACCACTCTCAACATATAGACTTTTCCTCTGTTAACTAGAAAACCAAAATATGAGCTTGTCTACCCATTTGCTCTAATGCTATCCACTCCAGATGGGAATTATAGAATCAGAGTTCTTGAAATGAAAACTCATCTCTCTCATCAACAATGGTTACTTATTCCTAGGTTCCCAATGATAGACTCTATGTCCATGCCTATCAGATACCCTCCCTGATATCCTCTGATGAACATTCCAAATGCCAGCCCCTTGCCCAAGCTATTACCTCCTCTCTTTCTCCAGTACTCTGTTTATTAAGCTTTACCCTCTTGACCATGCATTTCAATATCATTTACTACTGGTCTGACCTATGTAACCCTTAAGGAGATGGGTCTATTACAGGTCATAGTCATCATTAATGCTTCATGATGCAGACATTTCCATACCCTGTTGGATTCATTGAGACGATAATTGTCATTCAGAGGGAGAAAAAATATATTGTAGCTCAAATTTTCATTTTAATTTCATGTAATAAAGCATTGTGTTCTCAGAGGCTGTTATGTTAAAAAACAAACAAACAAAAACACTTGTCTTCAAAACTACTCTTTTTCAAAGACAATGGCAAGGAGAAACGACTTACCTCTTCTTCACTGACACTTGATTCTCTTTGTTCACCTCACAGATATGCTCAGGATTTGGAATTTGTAATATATCCTTGTAATCTGCTTCATCTTTTTTTTTTAATAGGAAGCACTTGGGTCTTGCTGTATTATTTATATTGCAACAGTCAGAAAACACATGTTTGTCAGCCATTCCTTGGTTATTACAAATATGTTCTAGGAGGGTAGCCACCTGTAGGACAAAATGATAACTTAAAGGGGAAGCATGTGTGCTCTACATTCCTAATCACAGGAAGGGTAGGGAATTATTATTAATTTCTTTTAAAGGCAAATGAGTGTAGAATGTTACACTTTGTATCCAATAATCCCTGGACATAGTTCTTTGGAGCAAAAGCCATTTAGGTTTTGAAGTCTAAATTCCCACATGTTGGGCATTGACCAAATATAATTTATTATTCCCACTTTTCTGATACAATTGCTTTATTTTTTTTATACTATTCATAGGCATTAAAATAAACATAAGCCAGAATGTCCAAAGCCTAAAGAAATCAAGGTTTGTTTGTTTTTTAATCCTCATCCGAGGACATTTTTCCATTTTTTGTACAGACAGAGTGGGAGGGAGAGAGAGGAAGAGAGAGAGAGGGAAACATCGATGTGAAAGGGACACATCGAATGGCTGCCACCTGCACGACCAACCAGGGCCGGGGACAAACTGCAACCGAGGTACATGCCCTTAGCGGGAACCGAACCCGGGTCTCTCTGGACCACAGGCGGACTCTCTAACCGCTGAGCCAAACTGGCCAGGGTAAGGTATTTTTTGGAGAATTATCTACCAATAAATAGTAGTTTGCTTTCCTTGCTTCCCAATTTTGTTTCTATGGCAACTTATTTTAAGAATTGAATCCTGAACCAATGTGTATTTAGTGTCAAATATTTAAATGGAAATGTAATGATTCAGTTAGTTTCCAAATATCTTTGGGTAGCAGTAAAGTGTGGGATGCTGTAAACCTCAAATGACCTGTTTTCAGATTTAGGGGATAAGGGCATAAAATCTTCCTCTTTTGAAATGGAAATAAGAAGAAATCACTATAAAATAAATGATATTAGCTACTGACAGAAATACTTCATTTAAAATCTGTTTCTAAGAAGACTAATTATTTTTCTGTATCTACAGAATCTAATAAAAAGTAGGTCTTAGCCCCCAAGAAGATGGCATAAAACTATTAAAAATAAAGAAGAAAACTACTTATTTGGATTTTAAATTGTTTGGCATGAGAATAATTGTTCAAGTAAATAGGTAGGTAGGTAGGTAGATGATAGATAGATAGATAGATAGATAGATAGATAGATAGATAGATAGATATACAGATAAATAATGTTAATGTTTATCAAGAATTTTCTAATCACAAGATAGACATTCTTTATAAGAACAATAATAATTCACAAGATTATCTACTAACTGGGAAAAGAACCCAAAATTATATTCACTTCTTTCTTCTATTTATATTCTCAAAGAAATGTTTTTAAATTAGTGCTTCATTTTCCCAGAAACCTTTACACAAGGATGTCAGACAACAGTATATATTAGTGATAGAGGCAGAGCAACCAACTTAAGTTGGCTCATTGACATTCTAGGCTATAATTCATTCTCTTGAATGTTTGGTTCAAAGAGCCCCGGGGTGAACTGAAAAACTGAAGGTTTATAAACCTATAAAGATTATATCTTGCATATGAATCATGTATATATTGCAGCCTTACAATCAATCCCCTACCAATTTATTCAATGAGTCCTTCTTATAACAACATCTTTTGGTTGCAATTTGGTTTTTAAAAAGAGAGAGGGAGAGGAAGGTAGAAGGTGATTCACATACCAACTGGTAAGAGCATTCTGGAGGTGGCTCACGTAGCTTGAGGTGCTGGCACTCCTCTGCAAAATCTAGTAACTCTTTAACTATGGTTTGTACTTCTTCATAAGTGGATTTCTGAAGAAACTGAGCAACCATAATGCCAATGCTGAAACATGACACTGAGAGCTAAAGACAAAATCGAACCCTTTCCTCCATCGTTCTTGTTATTATATCATTGTCCCACTCCCCTCCCACAAATTAATTAATGTAATTTTAAGTTTCAGAGAAAAAAATATTGATAACAAAACTCACATGTCTCTTAAGTTCTCCTTTAGGTAATTCTGGCTATTAGTGTGCTGCATGGCTGGAAAAAACAAGAGAGAGAGAGAGACTTTATATGCATAAGAGGAAATTTTCTGAATTGAAACACCCCTTCACAATTCTGAAACCTATATTCATGCATAGATTTCCAGACATACTTTTATTATCATACTAAATTATAAACATTACCAGAATATATCTTCACTTTCATTTAGACTGTATTCTGTGAATGACTTGTTCCTATTCAAATATATTATGCACTGGAAATCTATCATTGGCCTACAAATAAGTTGCATGTACTTATGTTGAAACTTCTAATTTAATTAACCTTTATGATTTGGTTATTTTATTCATTACATTAGAAGAGTTAAATACCACACCAAAGAAATATTAAGAAAATTAGAGTTTGCTTAATTTGGCTAAAGCAGTATATCACACTTCTCGGATTTGCTCATCATCTTTATCTTCTTTATCACCTCCATTCACCACATACACACACATATGTTTTCTATTGAAAACGATGTCTTTCTTATTATCCTAATAGCTTCTAAAATGCTTAGCAGGCATCTATTAAATAAAGAAACCATTATTATTTGCTCTATTAACATAGGAAAAGGCTTTAGAGACAGCTATTCAGAGTTCAGCTTCGAGCTCTGATGCTTAATGTGGCCTTGGAAAAATAAGCTCTCTGAGTTTGTATTTCTCTATCTATAAAATGTCAATAAGCTTTGTTACACTGGGCAGTTGTTCAGATGAAATGAAATCACATGTGTGAAGCACTGAGCACAGGGCCTGGCTCATATGGGTACTAAATAATGTAGCTCTAATATTATTCCTGCCACTATGAACACTTTTTCTTTATCTAAAACCATTTTTCAAATTTCAAGTACATGTTTGAAATGTATCATTCTCTCATCTACAGTGAAAGTGAGACTAAAATGAGATCTTCCTGTGGTTGCCTCACTATATTAGCTCTCTTTCGTTATTCATCCCCCAAGTTCATTTCTAGCAAGTTTCACTGACCCTATTGACAGTGATGAGAAGAAGTCTTTCCTAAGCATTATAGTAGTCATTGCACCTTACTCCTGGCACATGGGATGTATAGATTATAAATAGGATTCCCTACCTGCATCTAGTAAACTTCTTTGAAGAGTTTGGCATTTAACGTAGCTGAAGAGAACAAGAAAAGGTATGAGTCTAACAGCCTTCATTATTTCCGACGATCTTTTATAGAAGGTGTTCTATCATTTGAGAGAAGTGAAGAATCCTTTTATAGTCTTTTCAAGTAATTAATATTAATAATTAAACTTTTCCTGGTGAATATTTTTTCCAAGCCACGATGACCCTGATCAAATCGAAGAATTCATGGCAATGAAGAAATGTTGTTGATGGATAGCCATTCATTAATGAATACTGGATTTTAAAATGAATCATGTCGATGTACTTGTTTTTTCAAGATTATACCATGTAGGCCTTGTATGAAGTAATCAATAACACGTTTAGTAAATATCTCATTTCCTGGAAGTGTCTGTTGACAAGAACAAAGTTCTAAAGAGCCAGGGGAGAAGACAAACATGTATTACCCCAGCTTCAAATAAACGGGTAAGGCCCCAGTTGCAGTGCCAGGCATATTTTCAAGCCCCCGAAAAGAGTAGGGAGCTCAGGCCTTTAGAGAAAAATCAAGGGACTGGGACTGAATTTACTGAGTGTTTACTGTGAGTCTGGAACTTTATATGACTATATAATAGCAATACTTCTACTTGAATAAGGAATTAAAACTCAAGGTTATATTACTTGCTCATGGACTCACAGGTAGGAATTAAGGTTTGTCTAACTTTAGAGCCCATACTAGCCAAGAGCTAGTATCAAAAGCTGAGGTCCCTTGCCCTGGTGGGTTTGGGTCAGTGGTTAGAGTGTTGGCTCGTGGACCGACATGGGTCATGGGTTTGATTCCCAGTCAAGAGCACATACCTGGGTTGCAGGTTCTATTCTCCAACCCTGGTCAGAGTCATGCAGGAAGAAATCATCTATATGTCTCTTGCATATGAATGTTGCTCTCTCTCTCCCCCTCCCTCCCTCCCTTCCACTCTATCTAAAAATCCTCTGGTGAGGATTAGCAACAACAACAACAACAACAAAAAGCGGAGGTCCCAACATTTTTCAGCCACTGTCTGCTTTCCTGTCATTTAGTTCTTGGTCCTAGGGCAGGAAACAGGTAATTATTGATTAAATAAAAGGTCTAAAATACATGTAAAGTCTAATATTTTTGGAAATAGGAGATCACTGGTTACAACTTCAACTGTACCTGTTCTCATTTTCCTCATTTATAGATGGAGGGTTTGGGCCAGGTCATCTCTAAGGCTAGCAGTCCATTTCTTGATTTTGCTACCCACATGTTCTCATTTCTGATCTTCCAGGCAAATAAATATCACAAGGATGAAAGATATGTTTGCATAAAAAGCAAAATAAGACTGTTATTATTTAAATTTGGGACACACTAGCTAATGTAAAGAATACTGATGGCCGTGTGTGATAGAAAGCTAGGGTCAGCAAATAGAAGAGCATCTTTGGCAGGTTTCCATCATTCATTTCAAGGTCCTCGAAACAGTCATAATGTTCAACATTACTTCTGTTGCGCATCCTTACAGCTGTTCCCTTGAAATCTTACTCTAAACCTCCAGGAACTATCAGAAATGGACCTATTACTCTAGGGATGGCAAAGCCTTCGTGAGTGTTGTCACTGACACCTACTGCAGACCTCACTAACTGATGTCTGCACACTTTCTCTCTGCACTGAGGCTGAGCCTTAAAATCATTCACAACACAATGCCACAGGACAGCCATTATTAATTGATTGGAGTTGGCACTTAAGGGAAAAAAAATGGTTGTATGTGTACTAAATTAATTTATCTTTTTAAAAAATGGAACAAAATTAACTTCCCAGGGGAACCATTCTCTCAGAGCTTTAACACTCTTGAAAACATAAAAAGATGTTAAGTTCTCTCTATTAGTGCCGCATGGTGGAGTTTCAAACCAGAGGAAAGACGAGTAGTTGGGATTTTTTAAGCAAAGGTAGAAAATGAGTTTTTGATTGGACTCAAAAGACAGCAAAGAAGTTGTTCTCTAAGAGAATAAGGTCTTCACGCTGACTTTAGTATAAACAATGGAAGGTACACAAGTACAGGACACACTGATGATTTTTAATAAATACTATTTGCACAGCAAACTTAATTCTTGTCCAACTCATAGGAACTGAGTTCAGACAAAGACTACAACTGGATCTCTAGATCCCACCCAAACCCAGGGTGGTAACTGACTGCTCATGCCCTTGATAACTATCACACTAATAGGCATCTCCAGTACTAGAAAGTTCATCCTGCATCAAACCTAGGTATGTTTTATTCACCGGTATGAGTTTTGTCTGCGCAATACAGAACAGGTTCTTCTCAATCCTCTCTTCTCCATGCAGAGTGTGTGTGTTGAGTAAACCATTCCTCCCCCTCTTCATATTGCAGTGGTTGCTATTAGCTTGCTCTCTGGCACATCAGTGGAGAGTCATCTGAGTTTCCTCTGTGACAGTCTTGTGATGGTAACGGGTTCCTGGGGCTCAGGTTTCATGTCTGCTGCTCTAAGCATAGTATTGGACACATTGTAGGATCCACCATTGGATACAAAATTGAATTAGGTAATGGTGCTCCGTTTCGCCTGTTTGCTGAATTTATAATCATCCATTATAAGTTAAACTTTCTTCCTTGATATCCTCATTAGTAAATGAGAGTGTTTAGAAAAATGGTAATGGACAAAACAGTTTCATGAACTAGATACCTATCGTCTGCTGGCCATTTTATTAGGGACTTTATAGCATAGTAGTTTACCATTTCTCTGAACCCTTTGTGACGTGGAGCTTATGCTCCCATCCTGCACAGAGAAATGGAGGTCTCAGGTTGTAGGGGGCTTTCCGAAGCTGTGCAGGGGTTAATGGCAGTAAAACTTGAAACTCCCCACCCTCTCCTCACCCTGCATCTTCAGCTCAGACCAAGGGCCTCTGCAGTATGTACCCACACACAGCAGGGCCCTTTCCCATCCTGCACCTATGACATCATGTGTGATTGTTTGCCCTGCAAGACACAAGGACCATGTCTAATTGGTTTACATTTGCACACACAATTAGAGTCTAATAAATAAATAAAATTCCAAAGACTATGCCCTAAGTGCTATACCCACTCGACCCCCCAAAAAACCTTTGTGAATATTTTCAAGTATTATTTATTAAGTGATCATCATTTTTAAGTTCAGACATGGAAACACTAAAAGCCATAAAAGTTTAGAGACTGATAAGGATGATCAGGCCCTGAGCCCATGACCACCCTTCATTCCCAGGCTCCCCAGTTCCTACTACCCCCTCCCCTTAGACATCTCTGCCAAGCACTTACAGTTCCAACATCACAGCACTTTGGGCTCAGAATGAAAGGAGAGGTGCGTCATTGTCAGTTTACCTTCTCTCCAAATAACAGGTTGTATAAGGCAGTCAACAACGTGGCCACACCTGAGAATTAGTGTGTACAGGGGCTAAGAATATTCTCCTGGAATTAGAGGACTCAAACCTTGGTTCTGCCAATTATTAGCCATAGGACACTGAACAAACTAGTTTATCTCCCTAAGCCTCAGATTCCCTGTTTGTAAAATGGGAACAGGTATTATCTCTACTTCATAGAGTTGTTAGCATTAAATGAGATAATGCACAAAAAGTATCTAGGGCAGTGTTTGGTGCATGGAAAACATTTATTGCCAGCTAATGATAGTGGTGGGACAAGCGGCAGCAAAGCCGAATGCCCCCAATTCCCCTTTTCTTTCCCCACAGCAGTATTATGGGATCCGTGAGGACTCCGCCCACACGACCGCTATTTCGAGTCCTGCCTTCCATGCAACAGAGTTAGCCTGTGAGCCAGAGATGCTGATGGAAAAAAATGAATCTTGATTGCTTAACTTTATCAGTTTGACACATGACATCAGTCTTTGAGAAACAGCTTTATAATTCTGTTGTTTACTGCTTGCTGCAATAACATGATTTCAGGTAAAGGTTCTTTTTACTGTGTTCTTCTCAGAAAATGAAATTCACAACAGGACAGCTGAAAGTAGGTCAGTTGATCTTTCTTTCTGTTCTCCACAACCTGGGAAGAAAAAAATAGTAGCTTATGCAGCAAAAGAATATGAAATATTATAACTTGAGTGATGGAAATTCATGTATATAAAAATAGCTAATGGTAACCATGTTTTGCCTCTTGTAGATACAAACCTACTTCTGTGGTGGTCCAGGTCTCTCTTCCTAGGCATTGAACATCATTGCTACATCTACCCAACATTTTGTTCCTAAAGCTTGTGTACCTAAACTGCAGAAGAAAGTGCATCCTTTATATATATATTTTTGAAATCACAAACATTGCTTTTTGTTTATGTAAATTCTGCAGTAAGACTCCTGGAACAGGTTTGCTGCGGCCTGTTTGCCACCCCGACCCTCGCCTCTCTGTCAACATTCAGACATTCAGTTGCCTCCCCTTTCTGGTCTAGAGAGCTGAGTGCAACAGCCGAGAGGCAGAGAAGTCCATGTCTTTGGAAAACTGCTTGCACAGTAAGAAGTGCCCACTGACGCCCTGGATGGTTTTGTTCAGTGGTTAGAGCATCGGCCTGCGATCCAGAGGGACCCAGGTCCGGTTTCCGCTAAGAGCATGTACCTCGGTTGCAGTTTGTCCCTGGCCCTGGTTGGGTCGTGCAGGTGGCAGCCACTCCACGTGTCCCTTTCACGTTGATGTTTCTCTCTCTCTCTCTCCCTCCCACTTTATCTTAACAAAATATCAAAACATGTCCTCAAGTGAGGATAAAAAAAAAAAAGAAGTGCCCACAGAAAGGCAGCAGTGTCAGCCCATGAGGAGTGGTAGACGCCCATGAGGAGTGGTAGATGCCCATGAGGAGTGGTAGACGCCCATGAGGAGTGGTAGATGCCCATGAGGAGTGGTAGACGCCCATGAGGAGTGGTAGATGCCCATGAGGAGCGGTAGATGCCCATGAGGAGCGGTAGACGCCCATGAGGAGCGGTAGATGCCCATGAGGAGCGGTAGACGCCCATGAGGAGCGGTAGATGCCCATGAGGAGTGGTAGATGCCCATGAGGAGTGGTAGACGCCCAGAGAACTGTCACGGGACTAATACGGGAGTCTGTTAGGTACAATGTGTGTGGGAGGAACCAGAAATAGACATTAATGCACAAGAGGGGGAAAGCCAGGGCAATCAGAGAAGTTACAAATACATTTGGTGTTTGATTGAGACAGAAAGTATTACCTTTGGTGGGTTATTTTTATGTTTCTCAAGAAGTCTGGATTTTGGCTGCCAATTTTGGACCCTAACAGGGGGAAATAAAATAAATAAATAAACAAACAAACATATAGGATTTAAAATTTAAGACATTATTTAAATTTAGAGAAGCATATTGCCTTGAATTTTGGAAAGAGCTATTCAGCTACTCATATACTGTACAAGGGAGACAGTGAACAAACACTCTTTCTTCAGGTGAACCTGACTTCAGACACCCCAAGCTTTTTATGAACTGTCAGTGAATTTATTCCTTTCTTTACATGGTCTCAGGTACACAGTCACTCGGTCAGGTGTTCGATATTGAGTCATGTCTCTAATTACATGAAGCATATTTTTAAGAAACTAATGATTTGTTCCCCAAAAAATTGTCTCACAAACTAAGACAGACTGATCTCTCAGTTGGCAAGGTGGAGGGCTCTCAACCTGAATGAAAGCCACGCATGAGTAAGTGTGCCTGGGAGTGTGCATGAAATACATGTGAGCACGTGAATTGTGAGGGAGTCTGGAATGGAGTGGGTGTTGCACTAAAAGAAACAGTGAGAAAGAACATTGGAAAACAGTGAAGAGGTACTTCCAAAGAGTCATCACTGGGCTGCCACTCACAGGCACCCGAGAATCCTGGAACACTACAGTGTGTCTGTCACAGGCTCCAGTCACTGCAGTGAGACCAAGCAGGACACACGTCCTTTCTCCCTCCAACCCCCACTACCCGTACCTCCCACTTCCTCACTTCACACACATGCGTTCTCAACCTAGGGATGCTGGGCAAGACCCATGGAGGTGAGACAGCCATGCCCTTCACATACCGATGCCCTTTCTTCTTCTCTCCCTTTGGAGCTGATTCATTTCCTTCCCCAGTCAGTTTGACTGTTTGTTTTATTGAGATAATGGGTGATTCAAAACAGAAAAGGGCCAGAGGTATCATTCAGAGACAGTGATCACCAACCATCCTCATTTACAGGCGGTGAACTGCAGTTCAGTTTTAGTTCATGGCCAAGACTGGTGGCATCAGAACCCAGGTTTTCCTGACATCTTTTCTTAACCATGTTGTTGCCAAGGGACTGTGCCAAAGCCTTGTCAGAGACAGGCTGCATATTAGCTGTGTAGCAATTGTCCTCTCAAACATCGGCTTCAGAGACACTGTGGGGAGGAAGCAGGATCCTATGGGGAGTTCTGCTGTGTTTTATTTGACCAGGAAAACCAGTAGAATTTCAATGGAAAATGAATATAGCTACCTGTTCATTAAAGCAGGCTCCGGGCCCCGTGGCCTTGCAGCACCTGTCCACCAGGTTAGAGAACTCCGTGAACCACGACCGCAGCGCCTCATCTGCAAGTTCGGGCTTTAGCTTCACTAAGTTGACCAGAAACCTGTGACCCGAAGGTGGCAAATAGAATTGAAGATTTCTTTCTTTCTTAAGCTCCACTTATCCAAAATGTTTGTTATAGTATCACATATCTTGGGGTAGGGGCTGTCTCAATTTGGGTGAGTATAAAAAATTAAAATATTTCACTTTTGGAAGGGTATCCTGAAATTTTCCATGGTAACATTCTTTATAGGGTTCTGTAACTATAGGCAAGATAGTATAAAACATGTGAACATATATTAGGTCTTCATTATCACAGTATTATAGACTATGTGACTACATTTGATTTTTCTAAAAAATTGTTTTCCACTTGACTTGATATAGACACTGCCTAAATCTAAAAAAAAAAAAAAAAATAGGTCTTATTTCTTGGCATTTATGGCATTGCCTAAGAAAATAAAAATAAAATTCCTTTCTCTTTTGGGCCTCTTCTTTTTTCAAACACTAAGCCAGATTCATCTAGGACATTACCTCAAGAAAATGTGATTTATTATGATCCTAACAGCCTTTCTGCTGGCTACTGCAAGTCACTTTCTCGAATCACAGTCTGCTGGACACCTCATGTCTACAGCAAAGGAAAAGGCTAGCTAGGTTTCCACCTATAAACAATGCAATCAATATGTTCCAGTGTTTTCTGAGTTAGAGAGACAGGATAATTTGATGGAAGGTAAAGGATTGTGACACCAAAACCACTTATCCATTACAATAAACCTTCTCCTTAAGACACGGTGTGTCTTCAGGCTGAAGAAACGACGAATGAGAGAGGATGATAGTACCTGTCTTTCTTTCTCTGGAGCTCCTCATTATGCTCCTGACACAAGCCTGTGTGAAAGGTAAATAAACCTAGAGAGGCAGATGGAGGCACGTATGTGTTATCGAGTTCCAAGGACTCAAAGCAGGGCCTTCTGAAGGCAAAGTTGGTTTTACAGCAGTGGTCCACAGCAGGGTTGATGGTTCGATTTTCATTTACTCCACATATCTCTCCAAGAACTAAATCCACCTATACCAATGAAAGTTGGAACTCAGGTCTTTAAAACATGAATGGAGCTTCGAAATATGGTTAAACGAATAGTTAGATTATTGTGAGTTCACTGTTAACTTTACTCAGAAGACGCATACTCATAATACGACACTACGTACACAGAAAAATAGAGGCTGAGGTCCTAAGTGGCATAACTTATAACAAAATTTCAAACCAAAGCAACTTAAATACTTAGAGATTAATTTCTTGTTGCCATATATATAAATTTTTATTGTTAGCTGCGAACAGCTAAACAAAAGTGGCAGCCAAACACTATGTTCCTTAGATTTATCCTTCTCCTGGGCTGTCTCCCAAGGTACTGTTCACCCAGCTCTAAAGAAATACACCCAACTTGCAATTGGGTGGGAAGCAGTAACTCTTTTACTGACCTGGTGGGGCAAGAGGGAGAATTTGTAACATTACTTAAAATTATAAAGTCTACTATATCATTCTGAAACATGATTGTGATTCCTAAAACATTTGCACAAATAAATTACTTAAGAAGAAGTAAGAAAGATGATTTGGATAACTCCATGTATTTAAGACATTCTCTTTTGCTTTTTAAGATTTTGCTTCAGTGAGCCCAAAAAAAACCTTGACATTCCTTGCTTAACCATATTGAAAACAATGAAGAGAGGAAGACAGATAATTGCTATAAAACAATTAAAATATATGTATACTTACATATACATATACTCTTGTATATATGTGTTTTTTTACATTTTTTTAATCCTCACCCGAGGATATTTTTCCATTTATTTTCAGATGGGGGGGGGGGGAAGAGGATGGAAGAGAGAGAGAAAAACATCAATGTGAGAGAGTCACACCGATTGGTTGCCACCTGCTCTTCGGGGACAAACCTCAACGGAGGTATGTGCCCTTGGCCAGAATCAAACTCAGGACTCTTTGGTCCACGGGCCCACTCTCTAACCGCTGAGACAAACCGGCCAGGGCTGTATATATTTGTTTTTGTCTTTTAGGAATAGTCAGGTACGTGGTCATGCTCACCAAATTATCAACGCAGGCAAACTCTTCACTCAGCGTGCAGCAGGAGGTCAAAGCTGTCACCATTCCCTCGCCAAGAAAGGTCAGTTCGTCAGTGGAGAGCTGAGGGGCTATCTTTGTGAATCTGATCAAGTAGCTGAAAGGACATTGTCTATTTGGTTCTGAACAGAGCAGATCCCCATTTTCCCTTGTCTAGCTACTTGAAACCCTGACCCGTCAAGGCTATGAGCAATCAGTGTAAGGACAATGTGAACCCCAGCTCTCTCATAAAAGCTAAAGAACTGTCTCTTCACTCTGTTTTCCTGAACCCTGCCTCCTAGATATCTGTAATTTGGCTTCCTTCTAATTTCATGGTAATCTCAGAAACTCTCAGAGTTGCCCACTCTGTTTTACCTGTGAAATGAGGTGCTCCTTGGGAGCAAATACCCTCGCTAGTATGTAAAATCCTGCTTGAAATCCCTTGCATAAGTAACAGATATTTTAAAGGGAGAATTTAATAATACAAGCTAGTACAGGGTAACCTGAAATGAAATAAACTAAAATATTTAATGGGCTGCGTGACTTCCCAGCAAACAGCCAGGTTGTAGAAATAGTTAAATCATATCTTTTAAACCATGTTTTGTGTTGATCTGAAGATGTTTGGTTTCAACACACATTACATTATGTGGTAATTAATTGAGGAAATCTAGAATAAACTACGTATTATTCATGAATGCTCACAAGTGCACTAAAAAGTAAATATTACAGTGTTAAACAAATCCAGAATTATTCCTACAAACTCAGTAAGTTGGACTCAAATCCTGGGCAAACTATCCTTTCCTTGGGAAATTATAACCTAAAGTTTGCTTCATCTCACTCCCCACACCCAAATGGGGAAGAATCCAGAAATTCTGGGTTGAGAGTGAGAAAGACAAGTCCAAACAAAAACTAAAGCTCTACAGAATCCATTTATCCAGAATCATGTATTTCTTTAATTTCTAACCTGCTTCCTAGTAAAGGTTTAATATGACAGCTCGATGTACATTCTTGATTTTTATGGTTTTATTCTTTCCCAGGGTTTATGAATTGACCATAACTGAAAGGCTGAGCTAAAATTTTGACCCATGGTGGCTCCCTTTGTTGTATCCTGGTCACAGGGTTAACCCACTTGTACACACAACTTACTAGTATTTCAAGCCATCCTTTCCCAGGCTCTGGAAACGTTCACATTCTCGTTGTACCATCTGGAGACTTTTCTCAGTTGTCTCATTGAATTTGCTTTCCTGAAAATAAGAGTTATGAATATTTTATCTAAAATTTAATCATAAATTTTATGTCAACCTGTCAAATAGCTTTTTTATTTATATAATATTTTCAAACTACGTTAGCGTATATTACTCACTAAATGGAGAGTAGTTTTCTTTATATGTGTGTAAAAATTTGAATGTCATCAATTATAGTAATAGATATGTGTTTTAATTAATTAGGAAAGTCCAAATTTTTCATCATCATCAATTTGTACTTTTACTGGAACTTTCTAGTTTACAAAATATACTTCAAATCTGATAATAGCATAGACCGTATTCAATTCTCACTTTGAAGTAGTTGTGACCTCTGATTTTACGTAACAAACATTGGCCTTGTGAAGTAGTGACTTGCCTAGAATGATCCAGCTAGAAAGAATTGCTACAGAACATTTTAAATCCCATTTACCTTTATTTTATACCTTATTTTTCATCATTTAGTGTTGGAAATTAAAACCTCTAATAATTATCTTCAGATATTGACAAACTCCCTCTCATGAAACATAAAATTTGACACTTACTGAGTGGACACCAGAGAGAAAGCTACACACCAGTGGATGGATGCTGTGGGACATATTATGTCTCCATGTTTAAAAAAATTATAGCAATATGATTCATGTAAGGAGCAGAAAAAGACCTCTTCGTTAGGGCCAGCAGAGCTGCACTAAAACTCAAGTCTTATTTCATTGCTCAGATATCAATGGGCATAAACTGGCTTTTGTGGCAAGTGGGAGAAATTTTTAAAAGAAATCCAAAGCATGTCCGGCCAGTGTGTCTCAGTGGTTGAGCATCGACCCATGCACCAAGAGGTCGCCAGTTCGATTCCTGGTCAGGGCACATGCCCAGGTTGCAGGTCAAATTCACACTGGGGGGCATGCAGGAAGTGGCCAATCAATGTTCTTTCTCATCAATGATTCTGTCTCTCTCCTTCTCACTTCCTCTCTCTCTAAAATCAATAAAGGGAAAAAAAAATGAAAAATAAAAATAAAAGAAATACAAAGAAGCATTTATCAAATGAATTAGAAACAAATCAGAAATGTCAAATAATTTTTATAGTATAAAATAAGTACATTTGAATTGATATTAAAAACACTAATTTCAATAGGATAATTGGTAACAAACATGAAAAAGTTATATATAGAAAACATAACTACTATAGCTAAAATTATATGGGAAAAACTTAATTTTGTATTTAAAAATCAAATAAATGTTTGCTTAAAACATGCTCACTATTTTTTATACATATGTAAATCTAGAACAGTTAATTTCTGTGTGCAATGTTGGTGAAGGTGGGAGTAAAATGAGCATTTTTGAGCATTGGTGTAGGACTCCATGCTGGTAAAAACTTTCCGGAAATTAACTAAGCCATTTATATTTTGTTTTTTTAAGTGTACATATTTTTGACCTAATAATTTTCCTTCTGATAATCTATCTTAAGAAAATAATAACAAATAATAATAATAAAAATTAGTAGCAAGATATTTCAGGGTCACTTATAAAATTAAAAACAACCTAACTAACCATTCAAAATGCCCAACACAGTAGAAAAGCAGTTAAATAAGTTATTATGATGGTATACTATCATTTAAAATAAAGTAATTTTGAATTCCATTTAATGACAAAGTTTTCTATGACACTAAATGAAAAACATATCTAAAAATTCCTTAAGAAATATTCCAATCTTATTTTTAAACACACACATACTTAGGGTGGGTCAAAAGTAGGTTTACAGTTGTGAGTACACAAAACAAAGTTTATGCTTCTATTATTATTTATTAATTATTGCATTATTTTCCATAAAAACAACTGTAGACCTACTTTTGCCCTACCCTGTATAAGCATATTTTCATTAAAAAGATGTTAATTATAACTTTTCCTCGGTGACAGAATAAAAAAGTTTTTATTTTTTTCTTTGTAACTTTTGGTACTTTTCAAATCATCTTTAATAATCATTTATTACTTTTGCAATCATAAAAATATCCTATATAGTCCAATAAAATACAGAGTACATAAATAAAAATATAAATGTAAAATACAAAGAGATTTTTGCTTCAACACCCAGGATTAGTAGTTTAAAACATTATGCATAACCCAAACTAATAATTTTGGTCTTCCCAAAGGTCAGCTTGCACTGAATTCAAAGTAGACTCATACTGTCAGTCACATTTCCTATCCCCCTAAACTAAAGTAAAACTTTGATATCAATTTTGAAGTGTTTGCTGTTTTGAGTTGTTTGTTTTATTTCTCTAGGACAACAAGGTGGAACCTACTGCAATACTGTAACAGTCTGGAGGGTTTTCTGCATTGCAACACTCTTTCAGGAGGTCATCATACACGTTAGCAATTCTTAAAAGCTCTGGTGTAGACAGCTCTTGATGTCTCCTTGAGTATTCATAAAGAAACCTGTGGTGAGTAAAATATTTTGTATATTAGAACTTGAAAGAGCAAAACACCAAATCCTGCTGTCTTTTAGTCTAGTTACATCTAACATCGAGTCTGCTCTCAAGTGCTGTACCTTCTCTGGTTTGGTCAAGGAGTGATCTAAAAGGGCAATTTGACTACAGGCAATCATTTTACCTAGATTCTCTTTTAAATTATGGTTTAAACTAACAGTGCTTTCATTTATAGGATGGAATTGTCAGTTACTTAGAATTCATTGTTAAGATGATTTAATTCATAAAGTATCAGGAATAATATATCATACCACCAATACTTAAGAAAATACATATTGAGTCTAATACTGCTGGAAAATGCACTTAGACTTTCAACTTGGGATGGTGAAAATATGGATCCTTCCCATTCCCAGTGCTGAACTTGGTGAGAGATTGTAGAGTAACCTTTGTTCGTTACTTCATCCTGTCACTTGTCAAATATGGGAGCCATCACCCTGCAGTTCTAAATTATTGGCAGTGGTTTTCATGGTCTCAATGAAAGGCTCCAAGGGTATAGGTGGGCATGATTTGGGGAGAAAGTGGGAAAGGGAGAGTGAAGAGGCTAACACTTACTAAGCTCTTAACAGGTGCTAGACACTGGATCAACCCTTGGGTGTAAGAGATGAAGATATGCTTCCTGGTCTCTCTATACACTTTCTCATTTAGATTTACTTAGTCCTCGAATAAGTACTATTTTATAGCAGAGGAAACTATCTCTGACCAGTTAGGCATCTTGCTATTCATGGAAGTGTAGAATTTGAACCTAGGTTACCTGTGATACCTGCTTCATTCTTTTTTAAACTATAAAACTCTCTTAAGACTCTTCTGAAGAGAGGAGTGTCTTCTCTAAGTACCTCAACTGCGCTATTTACAATCTTCTCTATAAGTCAGTCTTATCCACTCAAAATAAATTAAAATGGTCTTCCATGTTTTGTGAGAGCAATACCTCACAAGAATTTTTGAAGTCCAGGGAACTTTTCTTAACCTTTTTCTTGCAGCATTTGACTGTTTTAATTAATCTTGTTTTTTCTGACATATCTCCTCCTTCTCCATCTGCCTTCTCAGTCCCATTTATGGGCTATATTCCCAGGCCCTAAAGCAGAGGTGTTTAACCTTCAGAGAATTAAGGGCTCCTCTTAATATCTGACCTAAGTCATGGACCTTTCCCCAAAAATAAAATTACACCTAAAACACCATCAAAATGTTGCAAACAAAACTTTTGGAAGTCTACCCTAACTTGGTAGACCCACTGAGGTCTTGCATCAAACATTCACATCCAGAAAGACTGTACCTTATATCTCTGTTTCTGATTTAACATGTTCATTGTTGTTCTATCATTTCTCCCCACACTTCAAACACTATCTATGTTGTGATAGTGATGATGATGATGATGATGATGATGATGACGACGACGACGACAACGATAAAAATACTTTTATTCACTAAGCACATGTGCCAGGCTCAAATGAAATGCATTATAGCTATCATTTGGTTTACTTTTATTTGATCTAGTACCATGACTTGTGAGAAGCAATGAAGTCAGACTGTTTGCATTTGAATCCTGGCTCTACCACATATCAGCTGTGTGACTTTGGAGCAAGTTACTCAATCTCTGTGCTTCAGTTTCCTTGTTTGTAAAATGAGAATAATAACAGTGTTTTAATATCAGAGGGTTGTTTTGAAAATTAATTTGTTAATAGGTAAGAAGCACTTAAAGTTTGCTAAGTATTCAATAGCCTGTATCTTCAGTTCAGGCCTTCTTCCAGAGCTCCAGGTTGTCATATAAAATTGTCTGGTGCCAGTCCCAGTTAGTTATTCTACAGACACATCAGAGCCAATGTGCATAGATCCAAACATACTCTCTTACCCCAAACCTGCCTCTTCACCCATACTTCCCATCTCATTGAATCTGAAAACTACTTACCCAACCACCTAAGCCCCAAACTGGGATTCATTCCAGATGAAGTTTCTAAAAAACAAAAGTGATTTTGTCCTTCCTTATTCTTTAGTGAAAACCCTTCATTGGCATCTCGATACTTAGCATGCCTGCGTGATCTGAACCCTTATATCTTTCACTACGCTGTCTCTCACTGCAGATACCCTACTCATAGCCACATATACACCAAGTCGTTTTATACTCCGATCCGTGCTTTACCACTCTGTCTGGATTACCAAGATTTCCTCAAGAACTTCCTTTCAATTAAGCCTTTCCAGCAGCCCCAGGTACAATGGGCGAAGTGCCTTATATAGATGATCTACTTAATCTATATAAGGCACTTCTCTGCCCTCATTAATTAGTACAGAGCACTGTCAGAAATGAAAGAATATTTCTTGCACTCATTTATGTATGTCTGTCTCTTCTCACATTATGCTCCCTACTGATGAAAGTTTACTGGGGATATAGAAACCCTATAATAAACTTAGTAAAGTTCCTGGATTATATTTTATTACCAATAAACTAAGAATGAATGAATGAATGAATATTCCAGGAATTTTACATATGATGAATTAAAGCACAGAGAGGTTAACTTGTCCTAGTGACTCAACCACCACTTAAATCTTGTCCCTTTGCTTCCAAATCCACTAGTCTTCCTCTGAACAGCTCTGGGGTGGCATCACATGGCGGTTAAGCCTACAACTTCTCAGGTCAGAACTTCTGGAGTCAAATTCTTACTCTGTCCTGTTTTTTTTTTTAGCTGTGAACTTTGAAAAAGCGACTGAGCTTCTCTGTACCTCAGTTTGCTCATCTGAAATATTGGGGGAGATCATTTATTTCACATAATCTTCTAAGAATTGAAATAGATAATCTATATAAGGCACTTCGCCCATTGTCTGGCACATAATCAAGTACTCGATAAATATTAACCATTACTATAATACATTACTATTATATAGTAATTAATATAGTAATATTAACCATTACTAAAATACAGTTGCATTTTCTTAAAATTGTGAAAATACTATAATCTATAACCATGATTTTTTTAAAATTGTGTTATACCCATTGATGTAAATGGTTCCCATTTCTTCCACCCAAATTAGCCAAAATAGGTCAAATCATAAGTTTCTGTTTGCCTTATAAATTTCAATATAGAGTTATATTACTTAGCCATGAAGATATGTTGGTCAGCATTTCGTTCTTCACAGACATTTTTGTTTTCAGTAAATTTTGCTTCTCTTAGAGATAAATCCTCTGGTCTGTCATCTTTATATGAGTGAATTATGCACTCGCCACGTTCTGGAATTTGTTTTTCACAACACTCTTTAATTTTGCTGGAGATGGAATCTTGTTTTAAACAAATATGGCTCATAACTTTGCTCTGTACCAAGTAAGAATGAGACATAAATTTATTTTCACAATTCTGTCAGGGCTGTATTTTCCTTCATAATGGAATGCAAAGCCAACCATGAGTGTCACACCTGAAATTGCTTTATTTTGATAGATCAAATGTATTTAAATTTTGTATTAATTTAAAACACATGAAGTTTCATATTAAAACCAGCTTTATTACTCAAGATTTTAGATGATGTAACTATGAAAAATAAACTTTATTACAAATTCATATTTATTGTTAAATATTAATCTTTTAAATACTTTACCCCTACTTTGATATATTGGCATTTTGAATTCTACATTGTTGCTTCTTTCCCATAAGAGTTTACCTGCACTTCACTGAGGGGCACCAGACATGTTACTTTAATATCTATAATCCTACATTTCTTATCTTTTGTCCTGAAACTACATTGTCAAGCACATACTGGAAATTCAGTAAGTATTTGATAAGTGAAAGGAAGAATGATAAACAAATGAACCACTACAGTAACTACCAGATGAACTCTGAAACATAAGAAGCTATTCTACTCATTATTGTCATTTTCCAATAGATATTATTAATTTGAAGCTCTTCAAATGATCAAATAATGTACAAAATCAAAACCTTACTCTAGTTCCTCTCTCGACCCCTCATCCTAAGTCTGTTCTCCACATAAGGTTATGGAAATAAGACAGAAGCTGAAGTGATCTTATTTACTCATTAGTTGGATAATTTTTTACAAGCTGATCTGGCCCCTAGTTCCTTCTCCAGACTCTCCAGAATGAGGCTGCACATTCTTTCTACTCCCCCTTCCAGCTTTATATGAACTACATTGTATTCCACCAAAAGAGCAGGCCTCTGTGACTTTGCCCAATTTGTTCCTCCTGCCTAAAATTTTTTTCCAGTGCACATCAAGGGTGAAGCATGGAATGAAGCTCTGGGTTGAGCTGAGAAGTGGAACAGGAGTTGGCACCATGTTTTCAATAAACCACATCATCCCGGAGAGACAGTCTCTGCAAACATATACACATGTCACCTAATGCCATTATTGTTCAAGACAACTCATATCTTACTGTCTGGAATTCATTTCTATTTAAATGAACTACAATTTAATTCCTCTTATTTCTCCATAAAGGCATCAAAGAAGATATTAAGGATATAATATGATCCCTTTGACTCAGCTCCAAATTGCATAGAAAAATCTTCAATTATATCCTGATTCAGTATATTATATTTAATATTATAAAACCTATATCCCCATAAAAATACAAAAATAAATAGTAAATGAGATTGCTTTAATTGGAGTATGATTAGGAACAAAATAATTCTTGGGGACTTCTGTTGTCCACTGATTGAAATAAAATATACATATCTTTATATTCAAAAATTCACATTATTTAATTAACATACTCTTTCACTGTAAATTTAAAACAGTAAAACTAATTAAAAGATACTAATAAAAAGTCTAACATCAACCAACAAGTCAGGAAACTTTTAATGAAATTGGTTACCTTCATATGCATGAACAATTTAAACTAAGTCAATATATTTACCAGTATGCACTCTTAGAGAAAAATTTTAAACAATAGAGTAAGAGTTATTTTTAATGAACATATTCAGTCATTCTGAAAGACTGTTCCTAAATAACCTGAGGAAACTCAGAGAAAACAGCTCTTAAAAATATAATGGTAACAAATCATTCTCTGAACTTTACTATTGATTTCTAATATCTCTAAAAGAAGATTTGCAATATTTTTTTATCCTCACCAGAGATGTTTGTGTTTTTTGTTTGTTTTGATTTTAGAGAGGGAGGAAAAGAGAGAGAGTGATAAAGAAACATCAATGTGAGAGAGAAACATTGACCAGTTGCCTTCTATACGCACCCCTATTGGGGATCAAAGCTGCAACCTAGGTACATGTCCTAACCGGGAACCGCACCCACAATCTTTAGGTGTACAAGACAATGTTCCAATCAACTGAGCCACCTGGCCAGGGCAAGATTTGCAATATTAAAGAATACTTCTATCATCTAAATGAATGTGCATGAATTCTAAATTTATGAAATTTTATGTCAGAGACATTTAGTCATATGAAACAGAATCTGCTGAATAATCTAACGACCCCATGTATTAAAAAAAAAGTTTTGTTTGGGCATATTTGTAAACATTTTGCTTTTTATTATATTTACTTTATGTTATTAAACACAATGTTAACAATCTATTAAATTTCTCATTTCACTGCGGTAAGGTAGCCACACATGAGGACAAGTTCAGGATAAAAAGTGGCTGTGAAAATCACTCTCTTTACTCGGTTTTAGAGAATATTTACCCTGCCATGAATGCAATGCACAGCATCCCCTTCACAGCATCCACTGTACATGGAAGAAACATCTTCTAGAAGGGAGGTGAGTTCCTTAAATTCAATCTTGGGGAATTTTTGACTAAGTGTAACAATGTATCTGGAAAGAGAATTGATAAACCACTAAAACAATTTGAACAGCAAGTAAGACAAAAGGGAATTATATGATGATACAGTATAAGTAGCTGCAAAAAGCACTGGTACCTTTGTTTTTTCACAGATATCTTTCCCAAATAGCTGTTTATGCATTGCCTGACCTGCATGATAACTATGAAAATCCTAGGCTGATATTTGGATCCTAACCAGGACTGGGGGAAAAAGGGCTGGAGAGATGTGCTGTCTTCCACAATTTTTACAGCAAAATTATGGAAGGTCCTTGTAAGGACCACCATGTCCTGTTCACCATGTCCATGGTCAGCATAGATAATCCGTCACAGAGCTCTGTCCTGCTTATCTATTTGAAATTTTAGAATTATTCTCAAAAAATTGCACTAACACCATTATTAACTGGTTAGGGGTAAGCAATTGAGATAGAATTTATCCATATAAAGTAGACTCCTAGTTATTAAGGTCAGAGATGGGTAGATATGTCATACTAAAGCATTTGGAGGATTTAGTTCCTAGTTGGGAACTCTCAGACCAATTCAGATTCCCAGCTAACCAAAGAATATCTCAGAAGTTGCCCTCTTTCTTTCTGGGCTCTCTCTGCCTCCCAAATCTTTTTTCATCTGTGTGTAATGTCCTGGTTCTGAGCTATCCACCTAGACTGAGGAACTAGGGAGAGTATAAGTAAAAAATCATCAACGATTTAACAAAATTGGAACACAGACAAGAAAATACAAGTAGAGACAAGGTACATATTATAAAACTCACATAGATTTTAAAACTTGTGGTCCAAACTTCAAAAATGCCCCACAGACAGTTTTTTGATAAGAAGACAATGCTTTTAAATATTGTATGACAGGTACCGCCTGGAAAGAGAAAGAAAATTCTGTTAAAGCAAAAGCAAAATCCCACTACTCTTAATCCTTAACTACATGTCAACTAAACTGTTCCAAAGCTTGCTCAGTAATAAAAAATATATATATGGGATTTTTATTGCAGTGAATTTACATATCAGAAAAAATACACATGTGTGGCACATGACTAAGGTGGGGCCGGTCTTTCTGATAACTGAATTGCACTTGGTGGGAAGATGCGTCATGCGGCATGCTGTGAGTTTCTTCATCTCTACCAGGATGATTCCATTTTAGGGTTAACTAAAAGAAGGCTTGCCCATGACTCATCTATATGTTGTTTACAAGAGACCCACCTCTCAACAAAAGACTCACATAGGTTGAAAGTGAAGGGATGGAAAAAAATTTTCCAAGCAAATGGAAAGCAAAAAAAAGCTGGGGTAGCAATTCTCATATCTGATAAAACAGATTTCAAAATGAAGACCATAACTAGAGACAAAGACGGCCACTACATAATATTGAAAGGATCTATCCAACAGGAAGATATAACCTTGATAAACATATATGCACCCAATATAGGAGCACCAAAATATATTAAAAATCTTCTGGAGGACTTCCAAGGAGAAATCGACAACAATACAATCATAGCAGGGGACTTCAACACCCCGTTGACAGCACTGGATAGATCCTCTAGGCAAAAAACTAGCAAGGAAACAGAGACTCTAAATGAAGCACTAGACCAAATGGATTTAATAGATATCTACAGAGAATTACACCCCAAAACTACAGAATACACATTCTTCTCAAGTGCACATGGGACATTCTCAAAGATAGACCACATGATAGGACACAAACTAAATCTCTACAAGTTCAAGAAGATTGAAATCATATCAAGCATCTTCTCAGATCACAATGGCATGAAACTATAAATCAATTGCAACAAGAACATGCAAAGACATTTCAACACATGGAGGTTAAATAGCATGTTATTAAACAATGAATGAGTCACCGAGGAGATCGAGGAAGAAATTAAAAACTTCCTGGAAACCAATGAAAATGAACACACAACACAGAATCTATGGGATGCAGCGAAAGCAGTTCTGAGAGGGAAGTTCATAGCACTACAGGCCTACCTCAAAAAACAAGAAAAATTTCTAATTGACTGTCTAACCTCACAACTTAAAGAATTAGAAAGCAAACAAAAAGAAAACCCCAGAGCAAGTAGAAGGAAGGAAATAGTAAAGATCAGAGCAGAAATAAATGACATAGAGACCAAAAAAACAATTCAAAGGATCAATGAAACAAAGAGCTGGTTTTTTGAAAAGATAAACAAGATTGATGGACCCTTAGCGAGACTCACCAAGAAACAAAGAGAGAGAACCCAAATACACAAAATCAGAAATGAAAGAGGAGAAGTAACAACCAACACCACGGAAATACAAAAGATTGTTAACAACTACTATGAACAACTATATGGCAACAAATTCGACAATCTAAGCGAAATGGACAAATTTCTAGAAACACACAGTCTCCCAAAACTATTCCCAGAAGAGATAGAAAACTTGAACAGACCAATAACAACTAATGAAATTGAAGAGGTAATCAAGACTCTCCCAGCAAACAAAAGCCCAGGCCCAGATGGTTTCACGGGGGAGTTTTACCGAACATTCAAAAAAGAACTAACACCCATTCTCCTCAAACTATTTCAAAAAATTCAAGAAGAAGGAAGACTTCCAAACACATTCTATGAGGCCAGCATAATTCTAATTCCAAAACCAGAAAAAGACACTACGAAGAAAGAAAACTACAGGCCAATATCCCTGATGAACATAGACGCCAAAATCCTGAACAAAATATTAGCAAATCGGATCCAGAAATACATCAAAAAAATTATTCACCATGACCAAGTAGGATTCATTCCAGGGATGCAAGGCTGGTACAATATTCGCAAATCAATAAACGTGATACACCACATAAACAAAATGAAGAATAAAAACCACATGATCAGATCAATAGATGCTGAAAAAGCATTCGACAAAATCCAGCATTCATTTCTGATAAAAACGCTCAGCAATGTAGGAATAGAGGGATCATATCTCGACATAATAAAGGCCATATATGAAAGACCTACAGCCAACACATACTCAATGGACAGAAACTAAAAACATTTCCATTAAGAACAGGAACAAGACAGGGATGTCCACTTTCGCCACTCTTATTTAACATTGTACTGAGAGTCTTAGCCATAACAATCAGACATGAAGAAAAAATAAAAGGGATCCAAATTGGAAAGGAGGAAGTGAAACTGTCCTTATTTGCAGATGACATGATATTGTACATAGAAAACCCTAAAGACTCCATCAAAAATCTATTAGACTTAATAAATGAATTTGGCAAAGTAGCAGGATACAAAATTAACGTCAAGAAATCGACGGCATTCTTGTACATCAATGATGAACTCACAGAAAGAGAAACTGAAAAAACAATCCCATTTACCATCGCGCCAAAAAAATTACGATACCTAGGAATAAACTTAACCAAAGAAGTAAAGGACCTATTTGCAGAAAACTACAGGTCATTGAAAAAAGAAATAGAGGAAGATATAAAAAAGTGGAAGCACATACCCTGTTCATGGATTGGAAGAATTAACATAATTAAAATGTCCATACTACCCAAAGCAATCTATAGATTCAATGCAATCCCCATCAAAATACCAACGACATATTTCATAGAACTAGAACAAATACTTCAAAAGTTCATATGGAACCAAAAAAGACCCCGAATAGCCACAGCAATCTTGAAAAAGAAGAACAAAGTAGGTGGGATCACAATACCAGATATCAGGTTATACTACAAAGCCACTGTAACCAAAACAGCCTGGTACTGGCACAAGAACAGGCATATAGACCAGTGGAACAGAACTGAAAACCCAGAAATGGACCCAAGGCAATACGCTCAATTAATATTTGACAAAGGTGGCAAGAGCATACAGTGGAGTAAAGACAGCCTCTTTAATAAATGGTGTTGGGAAAATTGGACAGCTACATGCAAAAAAATGAAAGTAGACCATCAACTTACACCATACACAAAAATAAACTCAAAATGGATAAAAGACTTAAATGTGACCCGTGAATCCATAAAAATTCTAGAAGAAAATGTAGGCAACAAAATTTCGGACATCACACGGAACAGAATTTTCACTGATACATCACCTAAGGCAACAGAAATAAAGGAGAAAATGAACACATGGGACTACATCAAACTAAAAAGCTTCTGCACAGCAAAAGAAGCAATCATCAAAATGGAAAGGCAACCCACTGTATGGGAGAACATCATTGCCAATGATGTATCAGATAAGGGGTTAATTTCCAATATATATAGAGTGCTCATACAACTCCACAAAAGGAAGACAAAGAACCCAATTAAAAAATGGGCAGAGGAGCTGAATAGACACCTCTCCAAACAGGACATACAAATGGCCAAGAGACATATGAAGAAATGCTCAACATCACTAATCATCAGAGAGATGCAAATTAAAACAACAATGAGGTATCACCTCACACCTGTCAGAATGGCCGCCATCAACAAATCATCAAACAACAAGTGTTGGCGAGGGTGTGGAGAAAAGGGGACTCTAATACACTGCTGGTGGGAATGCAGACTGGTGCAGCCGCTATGGAAAACAATATGGTGCTACCTCAAAAAATTAAAAATTGAACTTCCATTTGACCCAGTGATCCCACTGCTGGGAATATACCCTAAGAAGCCTGAAACACCAATCAGGAAGAATATATGTACCCCCATGTTCATAGCAGCACTATTTACAATAGCTAAGATCTGGAAACAGCCCAAGTGTCCACCAGTAGACGAATGGATAAAAAAGCTGTGGAATATATACACAATGGAGTACTATGCAGCAGTAAGAAAGAAAGATCTCTTATCCTTTGAGACGACATGGAGGGACCTGGAAAGTATTATCCTAAGTGAAAGAAGCCAAGCAGAAAAAGACAAATACCACATGATCTCACTTATATACAGAATATAATGAACATAACAGTCTGAGGAATACAGTAGACCCAGACACATGGAAGTAGGGCACAGACTGACATCCCTCAGAAGAGGGGATGGGGGGTGGGGGAGTGGGAAGAGATAAACCACAGAACTTATATGCATGTATGCATGACCAATGGACATGGACAACTAAACCGGGGACAGGGTGGAGGGGGGGTAGGGTGGGGGGTGCCAATGGGGTAAAAAGGTAAAATATCTGTAACAAAAAAATAAATAAAAATTCATTAAAAAAAAAAAAAGAAGGCTTGCCAAGGATAGAAGGTAAAATGTCAGATTTTACCCTGAATATTTATTCCCTAGGGTTTTCTTCTGATGTACAAGGAAGACAAAGCCAGAAGAGAGACCCCGAAATGGGTGATTGTAGTTCAAGGGTTTCGGGTAATAAGGGCTTTTAGATCAGCAGCAGGTGGCTAATAGGTTGAAAACCATAATGTAGAAAGAAATTGGTTATAAATGATAAACAACTCTTTTGCTATAATTTTAATTTTCAGTAAGGATCTGCTGTATTGGATACTCCTTATCCTTATCCATGAAATAAATGTAATACCCACCTTTGTTTGAAAGCAGTTAGCTTTGTCTTGTTCCTCACAACATGTTTTAATCATCTCCTCAATACGAACAGCGACTGTTAGAAGTGTAGGGGCGAAAACAAAGGGGTTCCTTCTGGAAACTTCATAGATATAACTATAATAGAAAAAAATAGAGAAGGGAAGAAATAAAGAAATAAAAGACAAGGGAGGAGGAAAAAATAGAAGGGAAAGGAAAGACAGGAAAAGGCAAGAAGATCAAGTTGTGAAAATGAAAGTACAAGGAAGAAGGGTTTCCTGTTAGAGAAGTCTTCAATATAAGGCAGCAATGTCCAGTTCCCAGGAGAAGTATTTTAGAGTCTTATCATTGAATTACCAACTCTGAAATAAGATTGATGATTGCAATTCTAATCTTGAACACTGAGATATGAAAATTGTCCTTCCCTCCCCACACTGCCAGGGGGCTAGCAGCTCTCTCCTCCATGTTCAAAGAACAGCTACTCAGACACACTATCTGAGATTCAAGGATCATATTCACTTATTTTCAAATAGACTTGTGATTTAAGTTTCAGTGTGTACAAGAGCTTCCAGAAAGTCTCTGCTTCTGCAATTACTGCATTATTGAAAATAAATTTTTGCTAAACATTTATTGATTTCATGTTTGTTCTTGGTAAAACCTACACCTTCCCTTTGGGAAGGCTATATTATTTCTTCCACTAGTAATTTTTCGCCATGCACATACTTCTGTTATAGGGCTTATCAAATAGAGAATACACATCATTAATGAAAGGATCTTGAAAGCAGGTTTCATACCTTATTTATATTTATATTCTCAACACTAAACACAGAATCTGACACACAATAAACAATGGATGTATTAATCGGTCAGTGAACACCACTGTGTTTCTTTGAAATAGATATTAGGTATTCTTTAGCTGAAGAATAATTTTTCAATTACATCATTTTTCTATTAAAATTAAACTTACTTGCTTAGAAAAGATTCACTGTTACTTTTATAAGCCTGGCATTTCACTTCAGGATCCAGAGTAGGCAGAGGAGGCAGAAATCCTACATCAGCTTTCTTATTAAGAAAGAAACAGAGTCTTCTTTCAAAGTCAACCTTACTGCAGCAGTGTGAAAAATTATGCTCTTTTGGCAGCCCCTCCATAGAACATATTGCTTCTAGTAAAGCATCATTCTGTACAACAAAGAAGTAAAAGACACTTTTCATTCACTGTATAGTTTCTCAATCTTTTGAGATGATGCAATGACTAGTGAACATCACCCTTTTAAGAAAAGATTGCAATTTTCCCAAATATCCCAATTGCAATTTGACCCACACCCTTGACAACCATCCCACACTCTGGGAAACTCTATTCTATCCTGAGGCTCTCGAACCTCTTACTTTTTCCTTTGCAGCTTTTTTGCCTCCTCTCCCAAGGTGACAAAGTCTGAGTGTGAATGTCTTGGTAAAGTATTTAGTAGTGATGTTTAGTAATACTTTTCTGGAGATGCAGATGGTAACTCTAAGCGGAAAGGCTAAGAAAAGAGGGTGTGACTGTAGAGTACATATTAAAAGAGGCAGCTAAGGAGGGTACCGCTGTACTTCTGTGAGCTCTGCCAGGCTTTTGGCTGCCCTGTACCTGTATGCATATGGACTGCAAGCTCATGGGCATAATGCAGACTTGCATCTCTCTTAGGCAACTATCTTATCCTAAATGTCAATGCCAGACAACATAAAAAATGAGGGCACAGAGTAACTCTCATTTTAGATTTTTAGCCAAAAATTGTCTCAGTGTTGACTAATAAACATGTCTGTTTAAGAAATGCAAACAATTTACTTACAGGTAGTTTTGAACACTGAGGGAGTGTCCTGTTGGTCAAGCATTGATCTCTGTATTCCGTCATGGCTTTTGCCAACATTTCTACTTCCTCAAAGGATGCCTTCTGAATATATTGAGCAAATGTAATAATGGTGCTGCAACAGTCCACACAGAGTGCACAATGACTACCTGCAGAATTTCCATGTATGCCCAACAAACCCATAGGACATCCACTTGTTGACTAACCTCAGGAAATTATCAAAGTGTGAGGCTATACATTGTACAACTTCTTCACAATTCAATTACCTCACCTGTATTTACTTTTAAAATATGGTTTCTACTTAATTAAAGTAATTTTGAGAAGCATTAACAGTTCTGGAATATACCAGATGAGATTACGATAAACACCAACATCATCATCAAAAAGATTTTAGAGAAACTCACATATATCCAACATTCTCTTCTATAAATTTCTGGGTAATACTAAAATCATCTGAAAAGCAAAGATATTTAAGTTATATATCCTGGTAATTTAACATTTTCCCAATAAATAACTATATAGGATATTTAAATTTACAAAGTATAAAATATGGGATCTTAATCACAGCTGAATATGTGCTCAAAATATATCCATTAAATTGAATTGACTTGAATTAATCTCAAACCGACTAGACTTAAGATTTGTCATTGATGGCTCCCCAAACAAAATTTCAAATAAAAGCACCAATTTAATGTTAAATATTTATCATGTATGACTATAAAAGTAACATGAAGGTAAACTGATAGGTGATGTAATGTTACAACAGAACCAAACAAGAGCTACTATAGCATACTGGGGGTCAGTATAGTTTACAGTGCTAGCCAGACACACACATTTAGGTGATCTCTGAACTAGTCTCAGATCATTGATTCCCTCCCAATGAGCATAAACCAAGCACATTTACATTTGTCCACATAGACAACTTTCATGGAGTCCTTACTTTAGCATAGTATTAGGCTGTACATTATGAGGCAATCAGTGATGACCAAAACACCTCCCTTGGACCTCAGGTTCCTAAGTATTCTCACAGTACAAGTGACTCATGAACATGACTATGTCTAATCCAATTTAAAATGTATATAACAGCATACTGGTTAGGTGATCAAATACTTTACAAAGTGTTCCCCCCAATATTTCCAGTACCCACCTGGCACCACACATAGTTATTACAATAGTATTGACTGCATTCCCCATGCTGTACTTTACATCCCAGGGACTATTTTGTAACTACCAATTTGTACTTCTTTTTTTTTTTCTTTTAATCCTCACCCAAGGATATTTTTTTCCATTGATTTTTAGAGAGAGTGGAAGGAAGGAAGAGATGGGGAGAAAGAGAGAGAGAGAGAAATATCGATGTAAGAGAGATATATTGATTGGTTGCTTTCTGCACGTGCCCTGACCAGGGCAGAATCAAACCTGCAACCCAGGTACATGCCCTTGAACCTGAAACCTTTCAATGTGCAGGCCGACACTCTAACCACCGAGCAACACCAGCCAGGGCTCAATTTGTACTTCTTAATCCCACTATGCTGTACATCTTAAACTAATATAAAATAATATTGAACGTAAACTGCAATTTAAAAGTAAAATGTATATGACATTCTAAAATAAGGTGGGTAAGTATTTGACAGGAATGCTTTATGATCCCTGGTGAAGAACTAGGAATAGATTATGGGAGAACTGGCATATGAGTTAAATCTAAAAAACTTTACAAGATTTCCGCTAACAGGAAAATAAGGAGCCTCATCTTTCTATATGGATAAAATAATGTGAGTAAAAGCACAAAGGTGAGAAGTTTTGGGATGTTTTTAGGGAAGGTCAATTAATCCACTTTGATGAGAACATGGGTCATAAAAAATAATAATGGAATCTAAGATAGAACAGACCTGGGCCCAGATTATGGGGGTCTTGCATAGAAAGCTGGGAGTTTGGGCTTCAACTGGAAGTCATAGATAGCCATTGGAATGTTTATATAAAATGATTATTTCTATATGATAAGAAATACCAGTCAGGTAGTAGTATAATATGTTGGGATGTCCCACAGAGGCTGATAAATAAAAAGTGATGAGAACTATTTGTTAAATAGATGGATGGAAGAATGAATGAATGGATAGAAAAAAGAAAAAACTTATCAGAAGACTACTGCAATTGTCTTATTGAGAAGTCAGCAGGACATGGATTTTAGTAGGATAATGGAAATGCAAAGGAAAACGTAGAGGCAAAAGATATCAGAGACAAAAATCAATAGAATTTTTGAACAGGTTGTTACAAGGGGCAAATGAGAAGGAAAATTAAAGAACAACCACTCTTGTTCAAGCCCTATGAGTGGGTCTTACTGGCAGGCACTGTGGAGGGTATCTAATTGAGTAAGACACAGTCCTCATCTTCTAGGCATTATGTACATTATGAGGTAATCAATAGACTTACGACACCTTTGTACAAGTTACAAAAAGGTGCTCCTTTGAGGCCAGAGGGTTTACAAAAAACACCTCCTCTCACAGATGAAGTTCAAAATGTTCCCTTTTTAGGTAGAAGAAATATAAAAGTCACACTTTCTCCAAACAGACACTGCCTTGGCCAGGCTTGTGGGCCGGGGCTGCATAGGCTTGGGGAGATTTATAAACTGTGCAGTTGGAAGAAGCAAGGTCCTTCATACCCTAAAGGTGTTTTCTATCCAGTTGGTTGAACAGCTAAAGTTTCCAGAAAAATCTCAACTCAAACCTGGTGTTCACTATCACCATACACTATACACATATGCAAGAAATACAAGTATTTTCAAATCCATATTATATCTCCTAGCAACACTTTCGACACTGACATAAGACTGATAACCATTTGCTGGATGTGATTACTGTCTCTGTCTATAGATTGGGTAATATGACCACCGAAATACAAAATTTAGAATAGTTCCGGATATCTGATCAGTATATATAAACTAGCAGTGGTGGGGAAAAGAAAAAAATTAAAATTAAGTTGAAAGAATACAGGTTAAAAAAATAGAAATTACCCCAATTTAGTCATTTCATAGCTGAGATACAAGTAAATTTCTTACCAACATCTTGAGGCTTTGTGGGCAAGCTTAGGGATTCAGTCAAAAAGAACAAGAAAATAACAAAATCTACAAGTTTTAACTGTTTCATTTCTTTAGAAATCACATTCACAAAGGAAAGTAATGTGATTGAGGAAAATCAAGTTTTTATATTATTCTTTGACACTGCTGGTAAAAAAGTAACCTGTTTAACCTACTGCTCACATGTCTCATATTTGATTGTTATTTGATCGCGCTGCAGAATTTTTGCTAATTATTAACTAGGAAAAAATTATTTCTGTGTTTCACTGAGAAAAATCTGTTGAGTTAGAAAGAAGTCCACAGGTTAAGTATGCACAATACTTAATCAAATAGACAACTGAAAAAAAGTATTGAAATGTTGCAAGTGCTAAGAGAAAAAGGACTGAAATAAATAATTCACCAAGGAGAAAACACAACTAGAAAGGTGTTAAATTTTGCTGGCAATCAAAGAAAATTAAATTTAAAAATAATAATTTTTTATACCTGATAGAATTAGGAAAAAGAAAACAATTAAGATATCTTATTCTGGTAAACATAGAGCAAAACAAGTACCCATATATTTAAAGCTTTTGGAAAACAAGTGTCAACATAAGGATCAATAGTCTTAAAAATATTCAGGTTATTTGAACCAATCATTCAAATTTCTGAACCTATACTAAGAACATGATCCTAAATATGGAAATATTTTTAACTACATGATAAAAAAAGAAAAGAAAATCTAATAAAGCTGGCATTAATGAGAAGAGTAACAGCGTAAGCAACTGGGTGTGATCTTACTGGGAACTGTCTGAGTGGGAGATTTCCTAGAATTATCCTTCCAGAGGACTGGGAAACGGGCATTTATCCACTGACTGAGGTATACATGAGCAAAAAGAATAATCACTAAAACCCTAAGAAGAAGAAAAAATTTAATGGATACAGTGTTGTGCAAAGCAACACTACTATATATAAAACAAATTCTAAAATGTTACAATAATTAAAATAGTGTGGCATGGGCAATCAAGAGAGAGAAATATACAACAAACTGAAAATCTAAAATTATATTCAAATGCCTCTCTATACACTAGGATGATTTCAAACAGATCAAAGATTCAAGTGTATAAAGGAGAAACACACACACACACGTACACACACACACACACATAAAAGTACTAGAAGAAACATAACTTATTGGGAGGTAATTTTTTAACTATGGTGCAAAACCCAGAAAAATGTAATGAATACAACTACATAATAATTTTTTTCTAAGACTTAACATGAAAAATCACTGTAGAGCCTATAGGCAAAGTAAAAAACCCAGAGGAAAAACTGAGAGAACATACTTGCAATCTATATCATAATATACAATGAGCTCCTGAAAATTGGAGGGAAAAAGAAAAAGACCAACAATCTAACAGAAGAGTAGTAAAATGATATAGGCAGATAGTACGTAAGAAGAAAAAAACAAATGGGCCTTAACCATGAAAAGATGATGCTTACAAAGAAACACAAATCCTCAATGCAGTTTCTCACCTATCTAATTGGCAAAAATCTAAAAGTTTGATGACATATATTTGAGAATAAACTGTTGGGAAATAGGTCCTCTCATCCATTGATTATTTGAATGCAAAATGATGATACAATATCTATAAAGGAGAATTTGGCACTATCTAAAAGAATATGCATTTGTCCTTTGGGCCAACAAATTTTCTAATAGGTACATATCTTAAAAATACACTGCCACTATTACTAAATGACTAATGCACTATGTTATTCATTGTGGCATTATTTGTAGTAGTAGAAGATTGGAAATGATCCAAATGTCCATCAGTAGAAGTTTGATTAATAAACTATAGATATAGACACAAAGAAATGATATAAAGCTGTTTTTTATTTTTATTTTTTTCTGTAGTCTATTGAAACTTTAGTTAATGATTTTTAGCCATCCATAGGTGGCTTATAGAACATTGATTAGTGTCTTAGCTCACATTGCTGTAACAAAATACCATTCACTTGGTGGCTGATAAACCACAGAAATTTATTTCTCACAGTTCTGGAAGCTGGAAGGCTGCGCTCACCCCTCCAGCATGGTCAGATTCTGGGGAGAGCTCTCTCTCGGGCTGCCCACTGCTGACCTCTGATTGTGTCTTCAGATGGCAAAGGAAGGATATCAGTCCTCATAAAATGAGTTGGAAAATATTTCCTGCTCTTCAATTTTTTTTGGAAGAGTTTGTGTATAAATAGTATTATTTTTTCTTTAAATGTTTAGTAGAATTCACCAGTTAAGTCTGGAGTTTGCTTTGTGGAAATGACCGTAACTAAATTTTGTATTTCTTTAACACATACAGAAGCAATCAGGTTATCTATTTATTCTGGAGTGAGCTTTGGTAAATTGTCTTTCAAAGCATTTGCCCATTTCATCTAAGTTGTCCAATTTGGGGCAAATTATTTTTCAAAATATTCCCTTATTATTATTTTAACACTTCTAATATTGGTAATTTATCTTTTCTCTTTTTACCCACTGATAGATCTGGCTAGAGGTTTACCAATATTATTAATCTCAAAGAACAAGAATTTGGTTCATTAATTTTTATTTATAGCTTTTTCTGTTTTCTATTTTATTAGTTTCTGCTTTTATCTTCATTATTTTCTGTCTTAAGCTTACGTTGCTTTAATTTGTTCTTTTTTCCTTTTCTTTCAGTTTCGTAAGGTGGAAGCTGAGTTCATTGATTTGGGATCGTCCTTCTTTTGTAATACATGTTAACTGAAACTAACAGAGGACTGTAAAGTATGAAACAGAGCACTATTAGTGCTGTAATTTTAAGTACTGTCTTAATGGCATCCCTCCAATTCTGGTATGTTATGTTTTAATTTTTATTCAGTTCAAAATATTTTTAACTGCTCTTTTACTTTTTTGATTTATGAGTTCTTTAGAAATGAGTGACTTAGTTCATAAGCATTTTGGGATTTCCTGAGACCACAGTGTTATTTATTAACAATTATTTTATGCTATCAAACAATTCTTTAGAATCTCACTTAACTCTCTTTGGCAGAAACAAATTCCTTATATGGTAATCCATGATTGGGGCAGGGAAAGTTTGGAAGAGCTAATTCTTTTTTTTTTTTTTTTTTTTTTAAGAGAGAACCAGTATTTATTTGTTTGTTTGCTTGTTTGTTTGTTTAGAAAGTATTACAGATGTCCCCCTTTTTTCCCGATTGACCCCCTCCACTCCTCCCAATTATACCCTGCCACCCAGCCTTCCCCAACCTAATGTCTGTGTAAATTGATTGTGCATATATGTACATAAGTTCTTTGGTTTATCTCTTCCCACCCTTCCCACCTCCATTCCTCTAAGGTCTGTTAGTTGGTTCCCTACTTCCATGACTCTGGATCTATTTTGGTCAACAGCTTATTTTGTTCATGCTGTTCTATATATAAGTGAGATCATGTGGTACTTGTCTTTCTTTGACTGGTTTATTTCACTCAGCATAATGCTCTCCAGTTCCCTCCATGTCGTCTCAAAGGGCAGAAGATCTTTCTTTCTTACAGCTGCATAATATTCAATTGTGTAAAGGTACCACTGCTTTTTTATCCACTCATCTACTGATAGACATTTGGGCTGTTTCCAGATCTTACTATTGTAAATAGTATTGCTATGAACATAGGGGTGCACATATTCTTTCTGATTGGTGTTTCAGATTTCTTAGGCTATATTCCTAGAAGTGGGATAACTGGGTCAAACGGCAATTCCATTTTTAATTTTTTGAGGAACCATATTGTTTTCCATACTGGCTGCACCAGTTTGCATTCCCACCAGCAGTGTATCAGATTATCCTTTTCTCCACATCCTCCCCAGCATTTGTTGTTTGAGGATTTGTTGATCACCACCATTCTGACAGGTGTGAGGTGATAACTAATAGTCATTTTAGTTTTCATCTCTCTGATTATTAGAGATGTTGAGCATTTTTTCATGTTTCCTGGCCATTTGTATGTCCTGTTTAGAGAAGTGTCTATTCAGGTCCTTTGCCCATTTTTCAATTGGATTGTTTGTCTTCCTTTGGTTGAGTTTTATGAGTACTCTATATATTTTGGATAGTAACCCCTTATCCAATGTATCAATGGCAAATATGTTCTCCCAGAGAGTGGGTTTCATTTTCATTTTGATGCTGGGTTGCTTTTTGTTTTTTGTTTTTGCCATGCTGAAGTTTTTTGGTTTGATATAGTCTCATTTATTAATTTTTTCCTTTGTTTTTCTTGCCCTAGGTGATGCATTGGTGAAAATTCCACTACATATGATGTCTGAGATTTTTCTGCTCACATTGTCATCTAGGATATTTACAGTTTCACGAGTTACATTTAAGTCTTTTATCCATTTTGAGTTTATTCTTATGTATGGTATAAGTTGGTGGTCTAGTTTCATTTTTTTGCATGTAGCTGTCCAATTTCCCCAACACTATTTATTGAAGAGACTGTCTTTTCTCCATTCTATGCTCTTGCCTCCTTAGTCAAATATGCATTGTGCATACTTTCTTGGGTTGATTTCTGGGTTCTCTGTTCTGTTCCACTGATCTATGTGCCTGTTCTTATGCCCATACCAGGCTGTTTTGATTATGATGGCTTTATAGTATAAGTTGGTATCTGGTATTGTGATTCCTCCTACTTTGCTCTTCTTTTTCAAGATTTCCATGGCTAGTCAGGGTCCTTTTTAGTTCCATGTAAACTTTTGGAGTATCAGTTCTAGATTTGTGACATATGCCATTGGTATTTTGATAGGGATTTCATTGAATCTGTAGATTACTTTGGGTAGTATGGACATTTTAATGATGTTAATTTTCCAAGCCATGAACATGGTATATATTTCCAATTCTTTAATATCTTCCTCTGCTTCTTTTTCAATGTCCTGTAGTTTTCTGAGTACAGGTATTTTACCTCCTTGGTTAAGTTTATTCCTAGGTATTTATTTATTTATTTATTTATTTATTTATTTATTTATTTATTTATTTATTGTTGCAATGGTAAATGAGATTGTTTTTTTAGTTTCCCTTTCTAAGTGTTCATTATTGATGTATAAGAATGCCATTGATTCTGGA